GCCGCCTTCGCCGCCGCCCTGGGCCCGCTCAGCTTTGGCTTCGCGCTCGGCTACAGCTCCCCGGCCATCCCGAGCCTGCAGCGCGCCGCGCCCCCGGCGCCGCGCCTCGACGCCGCCGCCGCCTCCTGGTTCGGGGTGAGGCCTCGGGCTCACCCTCCACCCCGCCTGGGACCCTCCTCCTCCACCCCCAAGCCGGGCGCCGGGACCCTCTGCGCCCGCCTCCACGGTGGTCACTGGGCCCCTCCACGTCCACCTCTTCGGACGGGCGCCGGGACCCTCCCCTTACCTGCTTCGGGCGGGCACTGAGACCCTCCGACCAGTACGTCCCGGCTCCCCTGCCAGCGGTCGCCTTCTCCCCGCCCTCCAGCCAGGGACCCCCCCTCCCCTTCCCTCCGAGGCCGCTGGGGGTGGGGTGGAGGGCGAGGTAGGGTCGCGGCCCGTCCTCACTCGGCGGTCGCCCCTGACCCCCAGGCCATCGTGACCCTGGGCGCCGCGGCGGGGGGCGTGCTGGGCGGCTGGCTCGTGGACCGCGCCGGGCGCAAGCTGAGCCTCCTGCTCTGCACCGTGCCCTTCGTGGTCGGCTTTGCCATCATCACCGCGGCCCAGGACGTGTGGATGCTGCTCGGGGGCCGCCTCCTCACCGGCGTGGCCTGCGGCATTGCCTCGTTGGTGGCTCCGGTGAGTGTCCCCCAGCCTCGCGCCCTGGGACCCAGGAGAAGGAGCAGACCTGGGGCATGGTTCTCCCTGGCTGCGGCTTCTTGGGGGCCTGGCCCCTGCGTCTTATCTGCTTTATCAGAAACGTGAAGTTCTTTGTCCACGCACAACTAGTCAGTGGTGCAGCTATTACTCAAACCCAGGATTGTGCCACTTAACCAGGCCTCTCTTTCACTCTACAAATAAGACAGCATCGGGGATGGTCAACGGCAGCCTCACACTATGGCTTAGATGGCCCCTGTCATTCAGACCACTGACTACAGTTTAGCAGGAAAATCCGGTTCTGGTTTGTCCTCAGGGGCAAAGTCTACTGGGACCTGCTGCTCCCCAACCAGTCCTCCAGCTGCTTCCGGCTCACTGTCTCCTGACCCAGCACTGCCCAGGCTGACTTTGCAGCTCTACACACCTGGGTGAAATCCTGGCTCTGCCACTGACAGGGCAGAGCACCTCTCTGGGCCTCAGTTTCCTCCCCTGTAAAATGGGAACCGTGGCATTACCTCATGTGATGGTTGTGAGCATTCAGTGAGACTCTGCACATACGGCCCTGGCACGGTTTGTGGAAGCTCTTGGACCTGGCAGCTGGCATTGCTGAGTGACCAGTGGACTGCTGCTGGGCGTTGGCTTTGATGATCAACCACCTACCCCCAACCTGGTCAAGATGGAAAGCAGCAGCTCAAGGTCCTCCCTGGTCATCCCCTTGCACCTGCCACTCATTTCACGGCATTTGCTGGGCAGCAGGCAGCAGCTGGATTGGGTTTTATGTTTTTGGTTTTTTTATTGGGCAGAAACACATCTGTCTTAATCATGAGCATAAGGTATGGAATACCCTAGAAGTGCAGGAAGCCTTTCTGGCCCCTGAGCCCAGAGGGACCAGTGACATCACTGGTAGCGACTGAGGTGAAGAGTTCCTGCTTTCACTCCAAGGGCACCTCTCCAATTGTGGTCCTTGGGCCAGCAGCCTGGGTGTCACCTGGAGCTAGTTAGAAAGGCAGAGTCTCAGGCCCCACCCCAGACTGCTGCTTCAGAATCTGCATTTTATCAACGGTATTCATACAATTAAATGAAAGTTTGAAAAGCTCTGTGCCCTCCCCACACACACATGCACACAGCAGCCACGTGTATACCCTTAATCCCTTTAAACCTGCTGCACATCACTTGGTGGGGGGCGGGGAGCGTGGGGAGGGCTCTGCTGACTTGGGACCTGCAATTAGGGGCCCTCTAGGCCTGCAGCAGCTCCAGTTGAGTCTCCGCTCGGCTCTGATTGGCTGAAGCTTTTCAGTTTTAAGAACGCTGCGACCCCAAGTAAAGTCTCATCTTAATTGCTGACAGGTCTATATCTCCGAAATTGCCTACCCTGCGGTGCGGGGGCTGCTGGGCTCCTGTGTGCAGCTGATGGTCGTCACAGGCATCCTCCTGGCCTACCTTGCAGGTACAGTTTTCACCTTCTCTCTTGATCCCTGTTAGTGGCTGCGTGGCCGTTTTACAGATATAGAAACTGAAGTTCAGAGAGGTCAAGAGACTTGCCCGAGGTCACACAGCCAGTGCCCAAAGTGCCAGCTTCCCAGACTGCCTTCCTGAGACCTTGGGATATGTGGATCTTGTGACTAAGTTCCAAAGAAAGCTGGAGAAGGTGATTTCTCATGTTTCTAGGGTGGAAGCCCATTCCAGGGGTATGGGGCAGGCTGACTGGTTAGGTAATGTAATGACAAACTGAGGATTCCTTGGGGGGATGGGGCACCCCGAAAATCTTCAGCCCAGGAGCTTGGAGGACCCAAGCCTATCTCCCTCAGAAATATCAGTGCTGGATTTGCAGCATGAAAGAGGTGGGGTCCAGGGGACCCGAGGATCAGGGCTGGGGCCAGCATGAGGAAGCTTCCAGAGGCAGACATGTTTTCACCAGAACTGGGGTAGAAAGAAGGCAGGCTTCAAATCTGACAGTCCCAGGTTAGAGGACGGCCTCTGGAACTTACTAGCTATGTGACCTTGGCCTAGTCACGCTGCCCTGGGAGCCTCACTTTCCCATCTTTAAGTGGAGACAACTCCAGCTAGTCTAAGGCTGCTGAGGGACTAAATTAAGTGACACATGAAAAGTGCCCACTTACCATCCTAACTCCAATTCAGAGTGCTGCCAGCATCTGGCTGCCCTGGGGCCCAGCAGTGCCAAAGCCCCTGCCGTGTACAGACATTGACATTCGGGACACACGTGTGGGTGTTGATACGCCCATAGAATTACCTCCAGTTCATCACAATCTGCACTTTCTTTTATTTATTTATTTTTTTGTGAGGAAGATCAGCCCTGAGCTAACATCCGTGCTAATCCTCCTCTTTTTGCTGAGGAAGACCAGCTCTGAGCTAACATCTATTGCCAATCCTCCTCGTTCCCCGCCCCCCCCAAAGCCCCAGGAGATAGTTGTATGTCATAGTTGCACATCCTTCTAGTTGCTCTATGTGGGACGCGGCCTCAGCATGGCCGGAGAAGCGGTGCGTTGGTGCGTGCCCGGGATCTGAATCCGGGCCGCCAGCAGTGGAGCGCGCACACTTAACCGCTAAGCCACGGGGCCGGCGCACAATCTGCACTTTCACTGATCAATTTCTGTGAGTTTTGATCCACTGGCGTTCACTGAAAAGTCTCCCCAACTCTGTCCCCCTTCCTCTCCAAAGGAGCCAGCCTTGCCTGCTGGTGGCCCTGTGGAGAGAGTCTGTGCGTGTGTGAGGTCTACGCGTATTTATTCTCCCCCCACTTCCTTTTAGACAAGTAGGGCCATATCACACCACGTCCATACATAGCGAGCGCCTCATTCTTTGTTTAATGATTACGTAAATATTCACAGAGCAAATGTAGCATAATGGTATACCCACCATCATTTCTACAACGTTTATCAATAATAATGACAATATCAGAACAAACACGAGGGTAGCCATGCAGAGCTAGTGAGGTCCCACCCTTTAAACTGAGTCCCTGGGGTTGGTGAGGGGGCAGGCATTCTCCAAGAAGGGCCAGGCTGGCTCACCCCGGCTCTGACGTCTGACACCCCCCACCAGGCTGGGTCCTGGAGTGGCGCTGGCTGGCCGTGCTGGGCTGCGTGCCCCCCTCCTTCATGCTGCTGCTCATGTGCTGCATGCCCGAGACCCCACGCTTCCTGCTGACTCAGCACAAGCGCCAGGAAGCCATGGCCGCCCTGCAGTTCCTGTGGGGCTCTGAGCAGGGCTGGGAAGAGCCTCCTGTCAGGGCTGAGCACCAGGTGAGGGGCTGGAAGCCAGAGCTGGGGGGAGGCGACAGTGCAGCCAGGGGAGGTGCACGCGCACACGGGCAGTGTTGTCCTGTGTACGAGGGAGCAAAGGCCTGCTCAAACCCCACTACTTGGCTGGGCCCCAGCCTCGATCGTCCCATCCCAGGAAGAGCAAGGCCAGGCCTGGGTCAGAGGGAAATGCACGCGCAGACTCGAGGACTTGGATTTTAAATGGGGAGTTGTGGGGCAGAGGAAAAGATTGAGTCTCTGTCGCTCACCTGCTTTGTGACCTTCCCACCTGTAAGCCTTAGTTTCTTCATCTGTAAAGCGGGAGTCATAGCGTGTGCATGGTGGTGGTGAGGATTCAGTGGGCTGGGAAAGGCATTCAGCCCAGGCCCAGGCCCCAGGCTGATGGGATTCTGGAACCCCTGGCTCTTTGCCCTGTAATCTTTGTGGCTCCCCCAACAAATCAGGAAGGGGCATGAGGAGGTGAGGATCTTGCCACGCTACAGCTGGGGAGGCCAAAGTGAGGCGAGGACCTGTCTGGACCTGAGGCCCAGGACAAGAAGTGAGCTGAGGCTCACTCTCTCCACCTGGACTTAGGACGGTGGGCTCAGAGGCAGGGTGCCTCTCGGGGGAGGGTGGAGAGAAACACTGATGCCCGGTCTCTGTCTGAGCAGGGCTTCCACCTGGCCCAGCTGAGGCGTCCTGGCATCTACAAGCCCTTCATCATTGGTGTTTTGCTGATGGCCTTCCAGCAGCTGTCAGGCATCAACGCTGTCATGTTCTATGCGGAGACCATCTTTGAGGAGGCCAAGTTCAAGGTAGAGAGGCTTCTGCCCTGACCTGCCTCATCTGGATGCCATGTGGCTGGGGCCCAGTCCTGGGGTCTTTGCCCTAACCCCCTCGGCCCATCTCCCCAGGACAGCAGCCTGGCCTCCGTCGTCATGGGTGTCATCCAGGTGCTGTTCACGGCCGTGGCAGCCCTCATCATGGACAGAGCTGGGCGGAGGCTGCTCCTGGCCTTGTCAGGTAAGGCCCGAGGCTGCTGGCTCAGCCCTATGTGTGGGGGGTGGCGCGGGCCAGGCTCCCCACTGGAGGCTAGAGGGTCTTTGCTGAGGCCACCACGTTGCGGGAGTAGGACAGCCGAGCATCCCTGAGAACAAGGCGGAGATTTAACGGGAGCTCTCACTGAACGTTCGCTCCAGGCCAGGCCTGTGCTAATGGCGTCACCGCATCATGCTTTAACCTTTGCAATGAACGTAAAAGAAGGCGCCATCAGGGGCCCAGTTTACGATGAGGAAACTGAGGGTCCGGGAGGTGAAGTGACTCGGAAGCTTGTGGTCTTTTTGGGCAATTGACTTACCTCTCTGAGCGTCGGTTTCCCCTCTGTGAAATGGGCGTAATGGTGGGCCATTGTGAGGATCAGGAGACGATCCACGTGTGCCAAGGCCCTCCACGTGTGCTGAGGCCCACGGAGCACTTGGTACTGTCGGGGACGTGGGGCTTAAAATAAATAGTGCTGCTGCCACTGTCACTGCAGCTCCTGCTTCCTCCGGCCAGGGAGGGTCTCCTTCCGGAGCTTGGAGTTTGCTGTGATTTGAGGTCCAAGCCGGGGCTGGTAGAGCCGGGGTGGGTGCTGCCCAGTTAGGGCTCCCAGATACTGCTCACTGCCCCTCTCAGAGGCATCCAGGCTACATGGCTATGGCCACACTGCACTGGGATTCCAGCCCCATGTGCCACACGCCTGGGCTGCGGCCGCTTCCCCTAACGTCCTGCCCCCCACCACCCTCCGCTTGTAGGTGTGGTCATGGTGTTCAGCACCAGTGCCTTTGGTGCCTACTTCAAGCTGACCCAGGGTGCCCCCAGCAACTCCTCGCACATGGACCTCCTGGCACCCGTCTCCATGGAGCCTGCGGAGGCCAGTGTGGGGCTGGCCTGGCTAGCAGTGGGCAGCGTGTGCCTCTTCATCGCTGGTGAGAGGGGGCTCTGAGAGAGGGTGGTGGGGGCCAGTGGGGACGCCCTGTCACCACCAGGTTCCTGCAGCTCCCAGCAAGTCCAGGCCTACCTGGCCTCATCTGTCCAACATGTAGGTCCCCAGCTTTGCGTTTATAGCTCTGACCACGTGCTAGGCACCAAGCTAAGCCCTTCTCTGCTCCTTCCACTGCATCCCCACAACACCCCTGTGAACAGGCCCCATCATCATCCCATTCTATAAAGAAAACCCTGACACGTATGAAGTGAAGGGACTGGCCCAAGACCTCACAGCAGGAAGGCACAGAGCTGGTGGGCCCAGACTGGAGTCCAGGCCCCTTCAGCCCACGGCCGGGCAGCCCTGCGAGGCTTCAGCCCAGGGGGTCTGCAGCTAGCCAAGGGGTCCAGCCCCTGTGGGCTCTGATGTCTGTCTTGCTCCCACAGGCTTTGCTGTGGGCTGGGGGCCCATCCCCTGGCTCCTCATGTCTGAGATCTTCCCTCTGCACGTCAAGGGCGTGGCCACCGGTGTCTGTGTCCTTACCAACTGGCTTATGGCCTTTCTGGTGACAAAAGAGTTCAGCAGCCTCATGGTGAGTGCAGGCCGTGATGGCCTCCCCTTCATGCAGTCAACAGAGAAGCACTTTTTAGAATTATTGTCCTTGCAAAAGGTGAAGGGTCAGTGGCCTTGCATGCAGGCTGAGGCCCCACCATCCGGGGACACCAGCCGTCTTGGTCAGGGGTAAGGGGGAGACGAGACAGGCCGCGGCAGGCCAGGATCCCAGGCTGTGGCCGCTCGGGGCCTTCAGGCTGTCTTGGTGGTTGGGTAGCAGGGCTGGCCTCCCCCATTGGACATGGACTGGGAAGGGGGGCTGTCAAGGCATTCGTCCAGGCATTCACTCCCCCCAGGTCTCCTGGAACATGCCGTGTCCAGGCCTGTTCAAGGTGCTAGAGATGGCAATGACTGAGATGGACAGGGTCCCCTTTATGCAAGGGCTGGGACAGCAGTGGACAGTGGTGGGAGAACAAACCACCAGGAGGCTGGGCTGGGGCGAGGGGCGGCAGGTCATGAGAGATGCGGATGCCCAGAGCTGGCCCGGAGTCTGTGCAGGGCCTGGGCCCACTCGGGCAGGGCTGCCCCCTTAGGAAGCACATCGGGAAGACAAGGGCAGAGGCCTGGGGGTGGAAACTACTTGCTGGGGGCTTGGAGGGGACCAATAGCGAAGGAGGGCAGAGGAGGCAAAGGACCCAACAGTGACCCGGGGGTGTACAGTGTCCGAGAGGCCAAAAGAAGGGCTTCAAGGAGGAAAGGAGGGGAGGAGTCACCAGGTCCCAGAGCAAGAGGAGCTGAGAAGGGAGGGAGCTTTGGCTCTGGCACCTGGAGGTCATTGGGGCTGGGCTGGGAGGGTGGACAGGCTCTGACCAAGGGGAACTGCTCACTCTTCCCTCCATGCCAGTGGGCCCTGAGTGTCCCCATGTGTCACACTGCCCCATCTTAACCTGCTGCTAGCTCACCATTTCCCTCTGGCACCAAGAAGAGAGACTCTTCTGGCGGCAGGAACCTCAGAGGGCAGGTCCAAAGCTGAGTGCAGAGGGTGGGTCTGTGGGCCCTGGATTCAGACCCCGGGGGCAGGAGCCCAGCTGTCGCTTGATAGCGGGTCTCTGAGCTGGGGGCAGTCACTTCATCACAGTGAGCCTGTTTCCCCAGCCACACCACAACCACACCTGGACAGTGCTTGGCCCAGGCTTCTAGATGACTGAGCCAGACCCTCCTCTACTCCCCTGAGCCTGGGGGCTGGGGCCTCGGCTCGTGATCGTGTGAGGGCTTCTGACCCTCTGCCGCGTCCACACGTGGCCTTTCCCCTCTCTCTGCAGGAGGTGCTCAGGCCCTACGGTGCCTTCTGGCTTGCCTCTGCCTTCTGCATCCTCAGTGTCCTTTTCACTTTGTTCTGTGTCCCTGAAACCAAAGGAAAGACTTTGGAACAAATCACAGCCCATTTTGAGGGGTGATGGCAGCCCCTTCCCATGAGTGGCTGCCCCTCCTAGCTGGGCCGGCTTTGGGCTTCAGAGGGGATGGAGCCCACCTGTGACTCTGAGCTGTGCCTCAACTGGAGCCTGGAACCCCTGCCTGCCCCCAGACTCCCAGGGAGCCGGGATCCAGAACCATAGCCCCTTGGAGCCTTGTCCTCCAGGGTCCCTCCTTCCTGCTCAGCTCTCTACAGCCCAGTGAACCACGAGTGTGAGGTTGCCAGCCCTTGGATCCAGTTCCAGCTGCTTCTCTGCGACTCAGGAGGAGGGAACATCTCGGAGGGGCTTCACTGCCCTGTGGTCCGTCCTCCGTGAGCCATCTCTGTCATGACACGAAAGCGACAGCGGAAGGAGACCCTTGGCTCCTTGTTTTCTGGAGGAGATGCTTTTGGAGGCTGGTTGATGGCCCATGGTTTCTCCTCTCATGTGGCTGCATTATCAGGAAGGACTTTGTTTGCCAAATAAAAATTTGACTCAGAAAATCAGGCCATGGCCTCTTTGCGTGAGCCACAGTCTGAGAAGGGCGTTTTCCTATCCCTTCCATAAACCGGGCCTCCCACAGACTGGGCCTGGCCAAGAACCTCTACGGACTTACTTTCTCATGGTCAGCCAGGCTTACCCTTGGCACTTGGAGATCATTTCTGGCTCCTTCCTTGGGATCAGTCCCCTGGATCACTAGTCATCAAATCCTGTTGAGTTTCCAGGGGGAAAAAAAAAATCTCTCTTTTTCTATTGACTTTAATGGAGCCAGAAGTCTTTTACAAATTACTTTTATTATTCATTATATAATTAATACGTTTATTGTAGAAAAATTGAAAAACAGGCTTATTTATTTTTATAGCAGTTAGCGATCTGCTAGGCACTGTCCTAAGCACTTTATAACCATTAACTTATTTATTTGGATAAATAATAATTCTTCTCAGCTGTACGTTTCCAGAGGTAACCTCTGTTAAGAATTGGGCTCTGGCTTGAAAGAGCTCTCTCCCAACACACACACATCACTACACAGGAGTGGGACACCATACTTCCCATTCCGTCACCTGCTTTATTCATTTCCCAGGCTGTGCGGCCCGAGCACATGCCCACTTGGGCATCTGCTATTAAAGCCTTGTAATGAGACCAGAGAGCGGGGGAGTGGAAGTACAGTGTGGTCCAGGGCAGAATGGTGGGGAGAGCAAGACCCCAGGTTTGGTTTCTGGAAGATCCTGCAGTAGCTGCTCTGATTTTGGTAAAATGTGCTAAGTAACACATAGGACAGCTTTCAACTTGAGCAAAATCCAAATTCCTTGGGGCCTTCCAGAACTGAGGTCACGTCCACATGCGGGCACATCTTCCGTGTCGAATACTGCATACCTACATTCTCATTCTTAGTGCCTGCAGAGTGGTCCATCGATTGGGTTGAGAACTGCATTCTACTGTTGCGGGGTGGAGTGTCTGTGAGTGTCAGTGAGGTCAAGTTTTTTCATGGAGTGATTCATGGTTTTTACATCCCTATTGATTTTCTGTCCATTTGTTCTATCAATTATTGAGAGAGAGGTGTTGAAATCTCCACCTACAAGTGTGGATCCATCTCTCCTTGCTGTTCTATCAGGTTTTGCTTTATGCACCTTGAAGCTCTGTTATTAGGTGTGTGTATATTTAGGACTGTTACATTCTCCTGATAGTTTTGTCCTTTATCATTATGAAATGACCTTCTTTATCCCTGGTAATAGTCCTTGTTCTGAGGTCTACTTTGTCTGATACCAATATAACCACTCCAGCTTTCTTTTGATTGGTGTTTTGACAATCATTTAAAATTCTATCTAATCACTGTTCTTTTTAATAGCAACCTATACTTTTCTTTTCGATGGAATGCCTTTTTGGGTTTCTCTGAGGATACAGATTTTCACTTTAAAACATGAGCTTTATGAAGGCATTATTTACATACCATAAAATTCAACAATTGTAGGCATAAAATTTGATGACTTAGGTCAAATGTATACAGCTGGGTGCCCACCACCACAATCAAGATATATGACATTTTCATCACCCCAACCGAAATGTTCCCTCATGTCCCTTTGCAGTCAGTCTCCTCCCTCCAGCTATGGCCCTGGCAACCACAGGTGTGTTCTGTCCCTATAGTTTTGCCTCTTCTAGAGTTTCATAAAAATGGAATCATAGTTTGTAGATCTTTGTGTCTGGCTTCTTAGCACAGTGCTTTTTAGATTAATCCATGTTGTTGCATGCATCGTAGTTCGTTTCTTTTTACTCTTGAGTAGTATTCCATTGGATGTTGGCTGGTTCAAATTTTTGGCTGCTATGAATAAGGCTGCTATAAACATTTGCATACAAGTCTTTGTGTAGAGTGGAATGGCTGGGTCATATGGTAAATTTATGTTTAAGTATTTTAAGAAGTTGCCAAACTGTTTTCCAAAGTGGTTGTACAATTTTGCACCCCCGCCAGCAGTGTATGAGAGTTCCCGTTGCTCCACATCCTCAACAACACTTAGTATTCACTATTATGAATAAAACTATACATTTTAACTTTTTGAATGTTGTCTTCTATTCTCTGATTTCCTCTGGAATCAGTTATGTTGTTTATTTTTGTACTTCTCTGTAATGCTGCTGATTTATCTCAAATATCTGGGGAGCTTTGGTTGTCCATATTTAGGAATGAAGAACTAGGGGGTTTAACTGCAGTAGCTGGTGTATGCTTCCCCTTCCCTACCTGTCTTCAGTTCTGTTATGGATTTGTTCCCTTTTATACATCTCTGTGAAGAGAAGAGGAGGTAAATGTGTAAGTTCAGTCTACCAGCTTGGAGTGGAAGCTTTCTTCATTCTTTTAATGACGATGTAGTATTTGTTTGCCACTGGAGCCATGGCGTGTGGCAAAGAGTAGGTGTTCAAATATTTGTTGAATTTAAGATTCATTGTATAAATATATCAGAACTTAAATCAACCTCAGGTTGTTTCCAGTTTTCTGCTTATTGATAATTCTGCTATTATATAGTTATAGATTTAGAGACAGAGAGACGAGAGAGACAACCGAGGGAGAGGAGAGAGGAGATGACAGATGAAATAGAGGAGAGGGGAGAGAGAGTTTGACAGATGAGAGAATGAGATGAGAGATGATGGAGATGAGAAAGATGATAGTGATAGAGATGGAGGTGATGCTGATGACAGAAGTGGAGATGGAGACGGAGGTGATAATGGGCTGAATTGTGTCCCTCTAAAATTCATATGTTGAAGTCCTGACCCCCAGTATCTTAGAATGTGACTGTATTTGGAGATACGGCCTTTAAAGTGGTAATTAAGATAAAACGAGGTCATGAGGGAGGGCCTAATCCAACATGACAGGTATCCTTATAAAAAGAGATTAGGACACAGACACACACAGAGGGAAGACCACGTGAAGACACAGGGGGAAGATGGCCATTTACAAGCCAAGGAGAGAGGCCTCAGAGGAAACCACTGCAGCCAACACCTTGTTCTTGGACTTTTAGCCTTCAGAACTGCGAGGAAAACAATTTCTGTTGTTTAGGCCACTCAGTCTGTGACATTTGTTACACCAGCCCTAGAAAACTGATCCAGAGGTGATGGTGATAAGGGAGATGAAGGAGATGACAGGGGTGGGAGGACAGAGAGAAGAACTGGAGATAGACTTGTGCGTAGGCAAACAGAAATTTCTTAGGATAAAACCTTAAGGGTGTAATTGCTGGTCAAAGGGGCTGTGCGTTATCAAAGCTATTGTTCCACCAGGTTAGACTACACACAGAAGGTTATATACTGGTGCGTGTATACATGAGAGCAGCCTATTGCCCACCGTCTCAGAATCCGTTATCGGTGAGTCCACACCAAAGACCAGGGACCAGGACCTTCAGACAGATGCAGGCACACATTAGGTGTCTAATGACTGGCACAGCCTGGGCACCTGTGCTGCTCGCATCCACATCTGACTCACTGTGACAGGCCACAGGGGCCTTGGGCAAGTGGCTTATCCTCCCTGAAGCACAGTCTCTGCCCAGGCCACCTACTCTCAGCCACCTTGCAGAAGACTGGTCTTTGTACTGGATGCTTCTCAACATGGAGCTTTAAGCAGAGGCTGCTCTCCGCTCCTGCTTGGCCATCACCCTGCTCTGCAAATGGGGGCTGGCAAAGGACCAGAGGGAAAGCAGGGGACTGGGTCAGTCCCCCAGGCTGCAAGGGAGATGATTAAGCTTGTGGGCAAGGAAAATGTCACTGGGCTTCAACCCCACCTTGGCCTCTTTTTTCTGTAATCCAGGGGTCAGGAGCCAGCACAGTACGGTGAGTAAGAGCCAGTGGGCTTAGTTCAAATTCTGGTTGTACTACTCACTCACTGCCTGTGTGACCTGGACAAGTCACTTAACCTCTCCAACCTCAGTTTATGCATCTGTAAAATGGGCATAATGATGCTATCTCCTTTATGGGGCTGTTGTGAGGATGAAAGGAGATAATTACGCAAAGCACTAGAACTGAGGATGGCACAGAATAAGTGCTCACATTTGAAAGCTTTACGTATTTTTCTCTTTATATTCTATGTCCTACCCTGCTTCCTCAGCAACTCCTCCCCATAACACCTCTGATTGCTACCAGCCCCCACCTACAGGTACCAATGACTGTGGACACACACACTCTTCAGAGGTCCCCTTAGATGCCCTTGGGGACTTCCCATCAGAGCAAAAGATGCCAAGGGACCAAGAGCCAGCCCTAGTGGACAGTCCTGTTATCTGCCCTAGGAGCCCAGCTCAGCACCATCAGGCACACATCCCCAGAGGACAGGTGCAGCAGAAGCTGTGCTTTACTCATTCCAGCGTAGAAATCTGCACTGCCTGCCGACACCCACCCCATCTCCCAACCCCGCCCTCAGAACAACTTCCAGGAGAATCCTGGCTTCTGCGAACCTGAGGCAAGGAGTGCCCTAACGGCACCCCGTGGCCATGGGCAAAATTGCATTAGCTGAAGCGTGAAGCACTCTGCCAGCTCCCAGTGCCTAAGGATGGGATCGCAAGACTAAGGCAGGAAACCCTCTACCACCCATTGGCCACTATAAGGTTAGGACCCGCGGGACCTTGTCGCCGTGGGGAGAACGGCACCAGCTGGAAGGCGCCACGAGCCAAGGAATGCAGGCAGCCTCTGAAAGCTGGAAAAGGCAAGGAAACAGACTCTCCTCTAGAGCCTCCAAAAGGAACATAACCCTGCCAACACTTTGATTTTAGCCCAGGGAGATCCGTCTCAGACTGCTGACCTCCAAAGTTGTAAGTGGAAAACTGCAGAAGCCCAAGCTAGAGAAGGGCTCATCTCAAAGAGATCTGTGGGTGTGCCTTGCCTAATGGAGTGAATCCCAGTAAGATTCATACAAGACCCACATACTTAAGAGAATTATATTGGCAAAAATGCTACCAGCTATGACTGAAAGGGTCAGAAACAGCACAAATTGAAAAAAGGCCTTAGGAACCCCAAACTCATGTCTGCTTCCCAGGTAACGCATTCCCATCTTCTCAATATCAAAATGCTCCTAAAACTGAATTGGTCATCAGAAAACTGCTTGAGTAGTCAATGCTCTGAGGAAGCCCACTGAAATATCCTCTGGCGCAGCCTCCAGGGCACAGGCTATTCAGAAATCTCCTCTCGCAACAGTGCTGATCAAACACTATTAAAGTGCGCTTGTACCCCTGAAATTACTGAAGAAGTTCGCTCCTGCCGTGGGATTGTTATACTTGGAGAGTTCCAGGCCACCAACCCGTGGCTGCTCTGTTCACACTGAGGGGCCCTCATTTCCTTTACTCTTCCCAACCTTTCGGTACGGCTCAAGAAGACCGTGAAGGCGGCTAAGGTTGAGCCCCAAGCAGAACGGCGCGGAAAGAGAAGATCACCGCGACCCGGTTCTGGATACGTATTACCGCTGAAGAGAAACCAGGCGCCCAGAACTAGCGTAGATCTGCGCCTGCGCTAAAACCACCACTCCCAGGATCCTTCGCGGCCAAGCTGTTTCATGTCGCAGAGGCCCCTGTCGTTTTATTCCCGTGGACCTGAAAGGCATGTGAAACAAAGCATGATAGGAAATAGGTTCTCGAGCGAGAACAGGCAGAAGCCTCTCTGGGAAGTACGGGTCATAAATCTGGCACCGAGAAGAAAAAGGTTTTGGCCAGGAACAGATCCTGGAGACTTCTGAGAAATGGAGTCCGATGGGGCAAGGAGGCATGTGCGCATGACCGGAAGTGACGCTATTCAGCTGCGTCCCCTTTGGCGCGAGAGCAGGGCTCGGCGTTAGGCACCTGCGTCTGATCTCGCATTGGTGCGAGGGAGCTCTGTCAGGTATCCGGCTGCGGTTTCCTCGCGCGGTGTTCTGCTCGAGCCCGAGTCGGTGGTTGCGCCACGGGCTCCTGAGCCGAGGCCTGGCGAGAAAGTGAGAGACGCGGCTGGACAGGCCCGACCGGAGCGCCCAGGGCCCAGGACCGCGGGCTCAGACCCGGCCTCTGAGGGGAGAGGCCGGAGAGGAGAGTCCAGCCCGGGAGCAGTCAGAGCAGGCCTGCAGAGTGGGGCTGGGGCTGCAGAGAGGCGCCGCTGACGCTTAGGAAACTGCTAGGAGGTCGTGGCGCGAGGTGGGACCCAGATGCTGGAGGAAGGAGGTGAGAAGGAGTGGTGGAGGGAGAGGTTGGCAGGAGATCGGCCGCTTGTTCCAGCTTGCCCCCTGACACCGCTGTGCGACCCAGACCAGAGCCCTGCAGTTCTCCTTTCCAGAAGTGGTTGGGGGCGATCATTTTTTGAATGAAGAATTCTGGGGTCAAAAAAGTTTGAGGATCTCAGACCTGGATAATCTCTGAGTATCCTACCCCTTACCGCGATCTGCTTGATGGACCGATGGCGTTAGAGAGTGGAGAGAAATGGGTCCTGGGAAGGAAAATGGGACGTACCCAAGGTCTCCTCGGTGGCTTCTGATCTTCCAGCCCTTCTTGAAGCAGCCAAGGATGCTCGGAACAGGAGCCTATTGGCTCCACCTGAGGTTGAGGGCAGGTTTGACACAGTTGGATGGTGAAGTCGTGGAGGATACTGGGGATTTGGAATGAGAAGACTAGGGTTCCAGTTTAAGCTGGCGAGTACCGGCCAGGTTTTTTAACTTGTGTTTCTTAATAGAGGAAAGGGTAAAAAACGTTAATTACCTCATTTACCTCTAAGAACTGTAAGCATCAAATAAACATTTTTGAAAGCACCTTGAACGCCTTGCAGAACAGAACAAATGTGTATGTAGTCTTAACCACCAAGGCCAGTGCCATCCTGCCCTAGATCAAGGGGTCCATGTATTGGTCTGTAAGTCTTCAAGTGCAATTTCATATCCAGCGTTTCATGCTGTCTTCCCCAGAGACCTGGGAACAAACGGAATGGTTATCATCCTCCCCATGCTACCAAAGAGGAAAATAAGACACCGTGGAATTAGGTACAACTGAATCACATAATGTGCTGAGACCAGTCAGTATCCAGACCTGTTCTTTTTCTGAGCGATTTCTGAGGACTACACTACCTCTACTATTTTTTTTATTGAGATATAACTCACATGCTATAATATTCACTTTTTTTGTTTAATTTTATTTATTTATTTATTTTTCCCCCAAAGCCCCAGTAGATAGTTGCATGTCGCAGCTGCACATCCTTCTAGTTGCTGCATGTGGGACACGGCCTCAGCATGGCTGGAGAAGTGGTGCATCGGTGTGCGCCCGGATCCGAACCCGGGCCACCAGCAGCGGAGCGCGCACTTAACTGCTAAGCCACAGGGCCGGCCTAATATTCACTTTTAAAGTATACAGTTCAGTGGCTTTTAGTATATTAACAAAGTTGTGCAACCATCAACCGCTCTTTAATCCAGAACATTTTCAGCACCCCAAAAAGAAACTCATACCCATTAACCATCACTCCCCATTGCCCCTTCCCCCTAGTCCCTGGCAACCACTAATTTACTTTCTGTCCCTATGGATTTGCCTATTCTGGACATTTCATAAAAACAGAATCATACAATATGTGCGTATAGCTTTCATTTAGCATAATGTTTCAAGGTTCATCCATGTTGTAACATGGATAAATGTACTTCATTCCTTTTTATGGCTGAATAATATTCCTTTATATGGATAGTCCACATTTTGTTTATCTGCAGTTGATGGATAGTTGGGTGGTTTCCAGTTTTGGCTGTTAAGAATAACGCTGTGAACATGCCTGCACAAGTTTTCGTGTGAACATGTTTTCACTTCTCTTGGGTGTATTCCTAAGAGGTTTATATAATATATAAGAAGAGAGGAAATGCTGTGACATATGGTAACTCTGTTTAATATCAAAACATATCAAAGATATGGCAATGAAGATATGGCATTTCTTCAATGCCTAATGCTGTTCAGCATCTTTTCATGTACTTATTGGCTATTTGTATATCTTGCTTAAAGAAATATCTATTCAAATCCTTTGCCCGTTTTTAAATTGGATTATCTTTTCATTGTTGAGTTGTAAGAATTCCTTATATATTCTGGATACTAGACCCTTAGGAGATATATGATTGGCAGAGATTTTCTCCAATTCTGTTGTTATCTTTTCACTTTCTTGATGGTGTCCTTTGAAGCACAAATTTTTTAATTTTGGTGAAATCCAGTTTGTATTTTCTTTTGTTGCTTGTGCTTTATTCTGGGTCTCTTGCATTTCTGTATGAATTTTAAGATCAACTTTTCAGTTTCTGTAAAAACGCCAGCTGAGATTTTGATAGGAATTGCATTGACTCTGTAGACTAATGTGGTGAGTATTGCCATCCATCATTATTGTCTTCCGATCCATGAACATGGGATATCTTTCCATTTATTTAGATCTTCTATGATTTCTTTCAGCAATGTGTGGTAGTTTTCAATGTACATGTCTTGCACTTCCTTTGTTAAATTTATCCCTAGGTATTTTATTCTTTCAGTGCTCCTATAAATGGACTGTTTTTTGAATTTCGTTTTTGGATTATTCATTGTTAGTGTATAGAAATATAGCTGGAGAAATGTCTTGCCCTTTTATGATTATGTTGTCTTTTAATTTTATATTCATCTTTATTTATTTATTTTTATTATTATTTATTTTTTGTGTGTGAGGAAGATCAGCCCTGAGCTAACATCCGTGCTAATCCTCCTCTTTTTGCTGAGGAAGACCGGCTCTGAGCTAACATCTGTTGCCAATCCTCCTTTTTTTTTTTCCCCCAAAGCCCCAGTAGTTAGTTGTATGTCATAGTTGCACATCCTTCTAGTTGCTGTACGTGGGACACAGCCTCAGCATGGCCGGAGAAGCGGTGCATTGGTGCGCGCCTGGGATCCGAACCCGGGTCGCCAGTAGCAGAGCGCGTTCACTTAACCGCTAAGCCACGGGGCCAGCCCCTATATTCATCTTTTATCCTGCAACCTTGCTGAACTTGTTTAGCTGTGATAGTTTTTATGTGAATTTCTTAGGGTTTTTTACACGCAAAATCATGTTATCCACAAATAGAGACAGTTTTATTTCTTCCTTTCCAATCTGGATGCCTTTCATTTTTTTTTCTTGCCTAATTGCCCTCACTAGAACCTCCAGTATAACACTGAATAGAAGTGGCGAGAGCAGACATCCTTGTGTTGTTCTTGCTGTTAGGGGGAAAGCATCAGTCTCTCACTATTAAGTATGATGTTAGCTCTGGGTTTTTCATAGATGCCCTTTATCAAGTTGAGGAAGTTCCCTTCTATTCCTAGTTTATTGCATGTGTTTTATCATGAAAGGGTGTCAGATTTTGTAAAATGGCCTTTTCGGTGTTTATTGAGATGATCATGTGGGGTTTTTTCCCTTTATATTAACATCGTGTATTAATAGATTAATTTTTGTATGTTGAACCAATCTTGCATTCCTGGGATGAATTCCACTTGTTCATTACCTCTTCTTTTGCTTAAGCAAATGTGTTAAATTGGCAGACCACTTTCTCCAAAAAAGTAAGTAATAGGTAATATTTATAAACTGTATACTTACATGCTAGGCATTGTGCCAGCTGCTTTCTCTGCATTTTCCTTTAATCTTCACAGCATCCTTCCAAGGGATTAGTATCCCCATTTTACAGATGCGACAAATGAGACTTAGAGAGGTTACGTGATTTCCACGCTGCTAGTAAGTGGTGGATCTGGGATACTTGAGCGTCTGTTATACTCTAATACCTCCCTAGGTCTGAGTGAATTGATGGGATTTCTGAGATAGGAAGGGGAATGGGAAAATTTACATCCCACTGCAGGTCTGCAATTCAGTCAACTGCCCTGGAACCTGCAATGTCTTTGGAACCCCTTCTTCAGAGTGAGAATGTGAGACTTTGTAGCTTGGTGAGCTGTAAACTTTTGTGCCTCATTGGTTTTTTTCTCTTCCTCCAGAGCCACCTTCTCTGGACCCTGCCCTTCCCCAAGAGGAAAGCACAGGAGAGGAAGGAATGGTGGCTGGTCTCCTCACAGCTGGGCCCCATGTAAGTTGGAAATTTACTCTGAGATGCAGCTTCTTTTTTTTTTTTTTTAATATTTTTAAAAACTTTTAATTGCAAAAGAAATTCATGTTCATTGTAGAAAACCTATAAAAGATAGAAAACACACCCTTTCATCCCACAAAGAGATAAAACATTTTTATTTGTATGCTTTCAGTCATATTCTTCCTTTTCTGTTTTCCCAAAATGGATTTGTTCTGCTTTGTAACCTTTTTATTTCCACTCAGCAGAATTTGATTAATATTTCCCCCATTTCATTGAGAGTATTCTACAGAATCATTTCTGCTATATTTCATTGCATAGTCATACTTCTCTGAGGGTAGGAACTGTCTTCTCCCTTTTTTTCTTGACTAAACTAGATATTCTGTTTATTTTCATTTTTAGAAAGTCTGCTGTTGGATTTCCTCATCAGTTTATTCTTTATTAACAAATTTTTCAATATTAATTTTTTGCTTCTGCTCTCCTCAGATTTATTTTAAAATTCATTTTTTTAACCTCTCGAGTTGAATCCCTAATTCATTTTCTTCCTTTCTTGTTTATATTGAAACTTTTTGGCTGTGAGTCTTATTTTTTTAAGATATTCAAAAATTGTGACTTTGGTTTCTTTGCCCATTGGGCTGGTCCATGATCCATGGGGACAGAGTCTATGTCTCTCGTCAACACAGAACACCCAGGTATAATGTGATTGTAGGGCATAGGGTTTGATGACTCTGTTAGCTCAACCTTATTCATTAAATTGCTCAGTTCTTCCATACCTTTATTTTTTTATTTGGTATTAACTCTCAACAACTGAATTTTTTTAATATCTCTTGTAGCTGTAATATTTTAAATTTCTCCTTTAACTTCCTACAATTTTTCCTTTATGAATTATATATTTGTTATTTGTTTCATAACACATCTTTATAGTGAGTTTTACTCTTTATTATGAAATGACCCAAATGTTTTAAACCTTTCATAGTTTTAAAAAATGACCCTCTTTGTCCCGTTTAATGCATTTCTCAGTGTGAAGGATGGATTGGAAGAACAAGTAAAATTAGAGATCAGGAAACTAGTTATAATTTGAGAAATGATGCTGGCTTAAAACAAGCAGTAATGGGGCATGGAGAGAAATGAATGAATTCTAGTGATGCTGAGGAGGAAGAATGAATAGGCAGTTGATTTATGGGGAGGTGCAGGAAAGGAGAGGATAACACCCAGGTTTCTGATGTGGCCAATGAAGTGAATGGAGCTGCCACTCCCTGGGCTGAATACAGACACAGAGACTTCTCGCCTTCACACCTTTGCTCATGCGTCCCGAGCCTGACTGGATCTTCTCTTTCTCCATCTGAGGAACCTTCTTCAAGGCTGGCTCAGTGATTGCCTTCTCTCTGTGGTCCTCTCTCGTTGTCCTGCCCACCGCCCTCCACCCGGGTTTCTTCTTCTGTTATCCTAACAACTGGTCTGTCCATCTCTTGAATACGTTATTGCAGGTGTTTTGTACCTGCCTGGCTCTCCTGCTGTACTGTGTGATGTCAGAGTTCATGGAAATGTTTATTAAATGTTCTGAAAACATTCAGCTGTCACATTTCTTTGCTAATTTGCACCTGATTCCTCATTGCATAAACTCATACATTCTAATTTTGTTTTTTCTGTATTGGCTCTTTTAATTCCCAAGCACCTATTAGTTTCTGCCCAATTACTGCTCCTATATATACACATTATCTATTTATATGTAAAATCTACCAGAATTATAAACATGTGAAGACAAGACATACTGTATTTTATTTTTGTGTGTCAGTATCCAGTATAGTGTTAGGCACACAGGAAGTGATCAATAAGTTTTTCTGGAACTACCCAGCGCCCTGAATCCTTTCAAAGATTCTTTGCAGGCCTCCTCACCCAGAGTCGTGTCGTCGTCCCCCCGCCCGCCTGCCCGATAGCCTAAGGCCGCTGGGCAAGAAGGAATGTGCTTGTTGTTTCAGGGATTCACGCCCTTCAGCAGTGTGACTGAAGCTGTTACCCAGGAGGGGTGGAGGCACTCGGTCCCTGCTCCGAGGGACAGGTTCAAGGAGGGGATACCAGAAAAGTCCAGAAACCTGGTCCTACTGGGTAAGGAAACCATTTAAAATTCAGAATCTGCTCAATTCTGAAAATGTGTGGCACTTTGCACTGTTGAGGGATCCTGAATTGCTCTGACACACTGCAGGAATTATTATTAGTAGTATTATTCCTCCTCGTTCTCTAGTGAAAGGTCTCTGCATTCCCAGTTGGGAAATAGTTTGATTCTGCACCCCCTGAGGCTGCACCTCCCCATTTTCTTACTTCCCAGGACAGCTGTGGTAACCTTCAGGCCAGTTCTTCCACATTCAGTAAGTTCCTGTCTTCCTAAAGAGCTTGCGTTATGGGCTTAGCTTAACTCCCTGGCTTGACCGCTCCTTAAGGCTGTTTCTTTTTTTTTTTTTTTTTTTTTAATTTTTATTTATTTATTTATTTATTTATTCCCCCAAAGCCCCAGTAGATAGTTGTATGTCATAGCTGCAGATCCTTCTAGTTGCTGTATGTGGGACGTGGCCTCAGCATGGCCAGAGAAGTGGTGCGTCGGTGTGCGCCCGGGATCCGAACCCAGGCCGCCAGCAGCGGAGCGTGCGCACTTAACCGCTAAGCCACGGGGCCGGCCTGAGGCTGTTTCTTTAGCTCCTTCCAGAAATGCTTTACCAAGACCTTGGCACCATATCTGTCTTATTGCTGTGTCCCCTAGTCCCCGGCACCAAGTAAGTGCTCAATAAATATTTGTTGAATGAATGAAACGAATGACCTAAGTGGCCTTTTTCCACTTCCTTGGGTTCTGGGTCCTATTTATACTTAGTACAGATCTCTAAAGCCCATTTTTTTCCCCTTGAATAGGACTTCCAGTTTCCCAGCCTGGCATGAATTCTCAGTTGGAACAGAGGGAAGGCTCATGGGTGCTGGAGGGAGAAAGCCTAAGGAGTACCCGTCCAGGTAAGTGGGCAAGCACTAAGCCAGTGCGAGTCTCAGGAGCGAAAGCCCTTTGAAACACGCATTCGTGCATTTGATTATTTTATTAATTCTGGGAGGTAGATATTATTATTCCCATTGTACAGATGAGGAAATTAAAGCTGAAAGAGGCTAACTCACTGGTTCAGAGCCTCACAGCTAGAAAGTGGTGAGGCTGGGGTATGAAGCAAGGTCTGTCGGACTCCAGAGCCTGCTATTCCATGCCACCTCGTCACAGTCTCCCCAGGCTGGGAGATATGTGGGAGCACAGGGTATTGCTGGCTCAGGGGAAATGAGTCGTCTGTGCTGGCCGAGCACATTCCCTGCTTGGGGTTCACCTGACTGAGGACCTCAGGTGCCCACCTTTACCTATACCTCCAGCTGTGACACCTACTGCTGCTCCCCTCTCTGGCCCTTAATTGGATTCTAGTGCCCCCTCCCCTCCCTTCTCTCCCCCTATATGGCTATGCGAGAATTTTCTAAAGCACTGATACTAAGAAACTCAGGAAAAATAAAAGCAACGGAAAGCATAATTTCAGTGTTTATGTCTTGCTCTTCATCTAAGGTTGCTCACTCCAGCCCCGTCTTCATATTTCAGCCCCTGCCGTTGTGGGACCTCTGGCTGGGCCTCAGTAGCTTCACCCTGTGGTTTCAGCCACTTTTGATATTTTGAAACTGAAAGCGTCCAAGGTACCAATGAACTTAACAACTTTAAAGTGACCAAAGTTTTAAATTTTTCTAAAAATGCAGCCTAATGCTTTATAGCTGTAGTTACTGATTATGGTTGCTGTAGGGCAATGAAAACAAAGCCCCTGGCTTATTTTCTGCCCGGTTCATGTGAACTCTCTTCTCCTTCCTGTCTTATCATCCTCTTTCTAAGTGGTCTGTCACCCTCAGCCCTCATTGTTACTACAGGCAGCACTCACACCTGCTGGAACATTTCTGTTTACAGGGAATGTCACTAGTCCTGCTGCTTCCTTCTCCCAAGGTGCCCCACCTTCCCAACACTATATTTGTTGTGCAGGGCCTTTTACCCTGAACCCATAGACCCTGTGTGGAACTTCAGAAATTGAACGAGGTGTTTTGTGGCTAGGGCAGTAACTGCATTTTTCTGGAAAAAGGTTTCATCAGTCTCGGAGAGAGTCAAGATGCTTTTTACTCTAAAGGGTTCCAGTCACCATGTTGTTAGAAACAGAAGTCAGGAAAGGGTGCTACCACCAAGGGTCTGTGCTCTGAGGTAGTAGTGTTGGGTATCAGTATAGAGGCAACTTTGGATATGGACCCATGAAAGATAGGCATTCAGGTCCAAGCCTGCTGTGTAGTAACTACATGGATTCAGGGTAAACCACTAAATGATGTGGTCATCTGTTTCTATATCTGAAAAATGTGGATAATGGAACCCTTCTTACTTATTTGACAAACTAATATATGAGAACAAAAGTTGTCAGTGATGAAGTGCTGTATCAGCCCTGTGATAGGGAAGTGGTTTGAGGGAAGTGTTAAATCTGGCTATGAGAGTGACTGAAACACTGCTTCTGTGGAGTTGCACCTCTGCTCTGAGACCACAGAGTATCCTGGGCATTGCTACACCTCCATGGGCCTCCACTCTCCCTTCCCACCCCTCCCACAGTGACAGACCCGGGTCTTTAAAGTAGCTTCTGTCTCACTCTTGCTTTGGGAACTTCTGTTGTAGATGTTGATACTACCCCAGACCCAGTGATCAGTTTGCCTCCTTCTCACTCATTTCATTATTCCTTCGGTCAGCAAATGTGCATTAAGCATTTAGTACACGCCTGGCATTGTTTTAGCTACTGGAGGTACAACAGAGAACAAGACATAGTCCCTGCTTCTATCGTAGTGAGGAACATAAATAAAATGAGTAATCAAGATAACTGATATGATTCTGGATAGTGGTGAGTACTGTGAAGAAAACAAAGCAGGATAGGGGATAGTGACTGGAGGTATGAAGATGAGAATGGGAATAGGATGGGGTAGGGGGCTATTTTAGATAAGATGGATAGGAAAGACCACTTCGAGGAGGTGACATTGGAGCTGAGACCTGGAGGAAGAGAATGAGCCAGCCATGTGAGTACCTGGGGAGGAACATTCTGGGCCACAGCACGTGCCCTGAAGCTCTGAGCTGGGAATGAGTCTAGCTTGTGTTAGGATCAGAGACCCTAGGACTCAGTAAACAAGAGGTAAGCAGGGGGCAGATCGTGTAGGGCTTTGGAGACTATGGTGAGGCATTCAGATTTTATTCTAACAGGAAGATGGGAAGCCACTGAGGGTTTTGAGCAGGGAAGGGACAATACTGTCATGCACGACATAATGGTGTTTCAGTCAACAACAGGCTGCGTTTATGACACTGGACCCAGAAGATGAGTACCATATAGCCTGGGTGTGTAGTAGGCTCTCCCATCTAGGTTTGTGTAAGTACTCTCTGTGATGTTTGCACAATGACGAAATTGAATAATGACGTGTCTCGCAGAATGGATCCCCATCGTTAAGCGATGAGTGACTGTATTTGATTTGTGTTTAAAAAGATAACTCAGCAGATGTGTAGAGAATAGACTTTCAGGATTCAAGAGTAGAAGCAGGGAGATCAGTTAGGAGTCTGTTGCAGACATTCTGGGGAGAGATGATGGTGGCTCGTAAGGATTCGGAACATATTTGGGTGCGAAAGCCAACAGGACTTGCTAGTGAATTGGATGTGAGGATAGAGGTTTGAAGTATGACCCTGGCTTGAGCAGTTGGGTGAATGGGAAGACTGACAAAGACACTGGCTTGAAAGGAAAGTCAGCGGTTGTGTTTTGGGTATATTCGGTTTTGGATGTCATGAGACAGTTTTATACAGGAGCCAGCACCCAGTGGAGACGGGGCCTAAGGTACGACAATTCATGAACATCACATGGTCTCCTGAATTGCTTCTTTCTCCCACTGCTTCTTTTCTTGTCACTTTTCTCCTCCTTTCCATCTTTTACTCAGATAGATGGTCTGTTTGTGAGAGCTGTCAAAGCCATATATGGTCAAATACCATGTTACATAGAGACACTCTCAACCTGAAACAGGACACCTATGCCCTCGGTAGACAAGGCATTAGTACGCACATGCACCTCAGAAGGAGACGTGCTTCACGGGAAACCATTTCGGATGGTTCACGAGGAGGGGTCCACCATAATAACAAGCCCTTGGATTACACCTAGCCACTCCTGAACCCGGGCAGTCTGGGCCAAGATTCTGTATAGAAATTTGAATAAAGCGTACCTAGAACTCACCCTGCTGGTCTCTCCTCTGAGAAATAAGGTAGAAACAGGAAGACTCTTTTCAGGAAAATTGACTTTTGTGATAAGAAGCTCCTCCATAGCCCTCCCTAAAACTCCACCCCCTTTCCTACAAGCCCCTGTGTTGGAGACAGGGAGAGGTGTCTGAGACCCCATGCTTCACTGATTAACACTTTCTAGATATGATACATTCTTCACATTTTAAAGTTTTCTCTTAAAATGAATGAGGTCCCAAAGAGAGGTAAGAATCATTAACTCTTCTTTTAAAAAACATCTATTTGGGGCTGGCCCTGTGGTGTAGCAGTTAAGTGCACACGCTCCACTGCTGGCGGCCCGGGTTCAGATCCCGGGCGCGCACCGATGCACCGCTTGTCAGGCAATGCTGTGGTGGCATCCCATATAAAGTGGAGGAAGATGGGCACAGATGTTAGCCCAGGGCCAGTCTTCCTCAGCAAAAAGAGGAGGATTGGCGTGGATGTTAGCTCAGGGCTGATCTTCCTCACAAAAAAAATAAATAAATAAAATAAAAAATATCTATTTGATTATAAAAGCAGTGTTATTTATTCTTTTTAAAATAACTTTTTTTCTAGTAAAAATAATACCAGTTCGGGGCCAGCCCAGTGGCGTGGCAGTTTAGTTCCCGCATTCCGCTTTGGCAGCCCGGGGTTAGCTGGTTCGGATCCTGGGTGCAGACCTACTCACTGCTCATCAAGCCATGCTGATGCAGTGTCCCACATAGAAGAACTAGAAGGACCTACAACTAAGATATACAACTATGTACTGGGGGCTTTGGGGAGAAAAAAAGAGGATGATTGGCAACAGATGTTAGTTCAGGGCCAATCTTCCAAAAGGAAAATAATAATAATAATACAAGTTCACTTAAAATTTGGAAAAGAATAAAAAAGAAAATCAAGATCCCCTATCATCCCACCACACAGAGGGAACCTTCAGTCTTCTCCATTTCATAAAATGCAGTAATATATTTTTCCAAAATTGAGATGACAGTATGTACTTTTACATATTCCTTTCCACTTTAACAGAATGTTTTATAACTTTTATTATAAAGATAATACTGTCAACTGGAGAACATTAGAAAATACAGATAAGCACTGAGGAAAATAAAAATCACCTCTGATCCCACAACCCAAAGATGACACAACTTACATTCATGTTGTGTATCTTTCCAGTGTTTTTTTGATAAATGCCTTTGTGCAAAAAGGAATTTGAGTGTATAGATTTCAAACATGACTTATAATTGCTAAATCATGTCCCTCGATTGGCTACACTATGGTCATTCCCTTATTATTAAACATTTAGGTGTTTGCTCTTCCTCTGACAAGTGGTGCTGTGACAAGGGCCTGTCGAGGCAGCTCTGTATGATCTCACATCCCTCCTTTAGGATAAGTTCTTACAAGTGGACTTCTGGTGTCAGCATTTTAAAGACTCTTGACACATGCGACCAGATTGCTCTCCAGAAAGCTTGTCCCAATTTATGCAGCTGTACTGGTGTCTAAGATATCCCATCATGCTGCACCCTTACCAACACTCTAAATTAACCATTTTTGGAAATCGCACTGATCAGACAGGTGAAAGAATTCATCTTGCTGGCATTGGTCATCAGCTTTTTCAAGAGAAGTATGTAAACTGGTAGACAGATTGCCCAAAACCACACTGAGAATTGTCAGGCTAAGAAGACAGCTTGAGGGCCGGCCCCGTGGCTTAGCGGTTAAGTGTGCGCGCTCCGCTGCTGGCAGCCCGGGTTCGGATCCCAGGCGCGCACCGACGCACCACTTCTCCGGCCATGCTGAGGCCGCATCCCACATACAGCAACTAGAAGGATGTGCAACTATGACATACAACTATCTACTGGGGCTTTGGGGAAAAAAAAAGGAGGAGGATTGGCAATAGATGTTAGCTCAGAGCAGGTCTTCCTTAGCAAAAAGAGGAGGATTAGCATGGATGTTAGCTCAGGGCTGAACTTCCTCACACACACAAAAAAAAAGACAGCTTGAGACTGACCACCCAGTACTTGGCAAAAGCAGAGAGGGGCCGGCCCCTTGGCTTAGCAGTTGAGCACGTGCGCTCCGCTACTGGCGGCCCAGGTTCGGATCCCGGGCGTGCACCAATGCACCGCTTCTCCAGCCATGCTGAGGCCGTGTCCCACATACAGCAACTAGAAGGATGTGCAACTATGACATACAACTATCTACTGGGACTTTGGGGGGAAAAAAGGAGGAGGATTGGCAATAGATGTTAGCTCAGAGCCGGTCTTCCTCAGCAAAAAAAAGGAGGATTAGCACGGATGTTAGCTCAGGGCTTATCTTCCTCACAAAAAAAAAAAAAAAAAACAGGAGAGGCGCGTCAGAAATAAGAAAGGAGAGAAGTATTGCATCTGAGGCAGAGGATGAGGCTAAACTTCATCCCTTTGTAGTTTAGGAAGGGGAGCAAAGGCTGCTAAGGTCTCTGAGGAGCCACATTGGTCATGATTTACGGTTTAGAACAGAAACGTCCTGGGTGACAGGAGACGAGGCATCAAACCCGTCTGCCTAAGAGCTTGGCCAGATTCCTTCAGCCTTCTGTATTTTGGGAGTATCTTTTCTTCCACCAAAGGAAAAAAAATGCTTTTCTACCTTTTTTTCAGACCGGAAGATTGTCTCTGAATCACCACCCGAGCAGGACATTTCTGGAGAATCATTCCAAGACACAAGTGTAGAGATGCCCCCTGGGGAGTCAGGTCACAAGAACAGTGAGGTGGGGAAGAGCTTCAATCTGAGACCAGTCCTTTCTCCACAACAGAGAGTTCCTGCAGAAGTGAGGCCCCGGAAATGGGAGAAACACACAAAGAGCTTCAGGAAGGAGACAGAGATGAAGAAACCTCACAGAGCAAAGCCGTACACATGTAACGACTGTGGCAAAGCCTTCAGTTACTGTTCTTCCCTTTCTCAGCATCAGAAGAGCCATACTGGGGAGAAGCCATACGAGTGCCATGAATGTGGGAAGGCCTTCAGCCAGAGCTCGTCTCTCATTCAGCACCAGAGGATTCACACCGGAGAGAAGCCTTATAGATGCAGCGAGTGTGGGAGAGCCTTCAGCCAGAATGCAAACCTCACAAAACACCAGCGAACTCATACTGGAGAAAAGCCCTACAAATGCAGTGAGTGTGAGAAAGCTTTTGGCGACTGCTCAGCCCTTGTTCAGCATCAGAGAATTCACACTGGAGAGAAGCCCTATGAGTGCAGTGACTGTGGGAAGGCCTTCCGTCACAGCGCAAATCTTACAAACCACCAGAGGACTCACACGGGGGAGAAGCCCTACAAGTGCAGTGAGTGTGGGAAGGCCTTCAGTTACTGTGCGGCATTTATTCAGCATCAGAGAATCCACACAGGGGAGAAGCCCTACAAGTGTAACGCCTGTGGGAAGGCCTTCAGCCAGAGCGCAAACCTCACGAACCACCAGAGGACTCACACTGGAGAGAAACCCTACAAGTGTGGCGAGTGTGGGAAGGCCTTCAGCCAAAGTACAAATCTTATAATCCACCAAAAGACCCACACTGGGGAGAAGCCGTATCAATGTAATGAATGTGGGAAATTCTTCAGTGAGAGCTCAGCCCTTATTCGCCATCACATTATTCATACCGGAGAAAAACCCTACGAGTGCAGTGAGTGTGGAAAGGCCTTTAACCAGAGTTCATCCCTCAGTCAGCATCAGAGAACTCACACTGCTGTGAAACCCTACGGATGTAGCGAGTGTGGGAAGGCCTTCAGGTGTAGTTCAGCCTTCATTAGACATCAGAGACTCCATGCTAGAGAGTAACTGGGAACATGACCAAGGGATGGGGACCTGACAGGTAAACGCAGGGAGTCTGAAAGCAGCTGGAGACATCTGACTTGGATAGTCTCCCACCCAGAGCTGCATGCAGCAGCATCTCTAATAAATCATCACTTTTTTACATGTTGGATGTGGAAGGTCTAGGGAGCTGTATTCCTTCTTAACATCTTCAGTAAGCACAAACAGCCCAGGTCACATCACCCTGTCTTAGAGATTCACCATATTCAGTGGGCCAAAGTGCTCTTTGTGTAGCAAGCACTCCAGAAACCTTGGTTTATAGGAAATAAGTGATGAAATCAAATGGGTGAAGGACTTGGTTCCTCCTTCAAAGCCAGGTAGTTTGGCAACAGCTGTCATCTCCCCTTGAACAAGGACTGTTTGCCAAAGGAGAACCAGGAACATTGGCCAGGAATGAACATTTCTCCATAATGGGGTCTCTAAGGTGTCTGATTTGGGGGAGTAAATTCCTCAAGTGAAGAAAAGGATTCTAGGGCCAACTATTAAATGCTAGTCTCCTTGGGGGCAGGGAGGGATATTCACTTCCTAAGGCTGAAGCTATGTAAATAGACCCAGAAGACACTGCCAGGCCCCAGCTCCACTTTGTGAGCTGTTTTAGGTGGTGGTTCTGTAAAGACTACAGACCCAAAGCGAGGGACCACCCAGAGGCCAAGGGTGCAGGAGGAAGCTAATGAAATCCCTCAGCAAGAGGGAGACCCTAAACAGGGAGGAAGACCCACAAGATTGGGGCAATCTGATGACATCCATGTTTTCCCTGGCTCAGACACGGGTGGGTAGGTCATTCTTCACTCCTCTTCCTCCTGATGAAGGCCAGATCCAGCTTTTTAACCCTGTTGACCTGGGTCCTACCTTGCCACATATACCATCCTCCCTCCCAACTGGTGTGATCTCATCTCAGCACTTCTAACCAACTCCTGTGCTTCCCTGGTTTGGGTAAGGTAAACATTTCATTTCTCAGAGAAGACTCCCCGTTCCTCGTCTTCTGCTCTAAGGGAAGCTGGTTGTGCCCTTAACCATCACCTGAGGCTTGTAGCTTTAACTCCTTGGTGACTTAGCACGTGTCAGAATGCTGCTGCTGCACATACACACACCTGCAAGCCCCCAAGTTTCCACTCAAGCCAATGCTCCAACCCTGCTTGCACCTGGGGTGATGAAAACCCACCTACTTAAAGGGACTATTGACAAAATTCATGGGAGCAAATTAGTGACCAATGCCAAAGAAGCCAGTTCTTGGGTTCATCATTCCCAACTCGGGTGTGGCTTGTCCCAGCCCCCAGAAGTCTTGCGGTTCATCCCTTCCTTCACTGCATATTGTCTAATAACAAAGGGGGAAATGAGCTCTAAAAAGTGAGTCCAAAGGAACAGCACTAAGGGAGGATGAGAAAGAGACTTGGGAGAGGTGAAAAGAACAGAAAAGAGCCTGTTGCCAGTGTAAAGCAAACAGGTTCACAGGGCTCAGAAACTCAGTGCACCACAGAAGTCAACTTGACATTCCGAATTTCACATTAACTCGGATCAGTCAGGGACTCACAATAATGGTTGAGTTCTTTTGCTCCCATCAGTGGTTCTGAATCCCCAGATGTGGTGAATGAAGCCTTGCAGGCCATGGGCCCCCAACCCTCCAAATGATTTAACTGGTCTGGGAGGAGGAGCTTCCGCCCTGTGTATTTGTGCCTAACTGCCTAACTATTAAGTTTTCTTCCTGGCCAACTGTTTTCTTATAAGGAGCTCTACGACTATGTGTCCACAAAAAGCACTGAGACTTCCTACGTGTCTTTTCTGAGCTACTCACACAGGGCAGAAATCTGTTACCCACAAGGAGCTTGTTCCCCAGACAGAGGAACACCCACTGGCCACCTGACCACCCCACCAACCACCATTTGACCACGAAGGAGCTAGCTCCCCCAAGGAAGAGGCCACATCCAAGAGCCGGTTAGTTGTCAAGTGATCCTTTATTGAAGTATTGTCCTCAGCAGATCTTAACTCTGTGGGAAAGAAAGAATCCCCATCAGTAACACAACTAAAAATTCTTATCACCCAACCCCACTGAACCATTTCTAGAACTTTCCAGCTTATCTCCATGAAAACATTAGCTCCCCTCCAGCTTTTGCCTTCATTTTTAAACAACGGAAACCAACACAGATGTCACTTACAGCTGGGCATTCCACTGCACCACTGTTGATGTCGTCTATGACGTCATGAGGGTGGCGGCCATCAACATTGCAGCCCACAGACTGGGCAGTCCCCAGGATCTCTTTAATGGTTCCTATAATTAAGAAAAGGTGGCAATGTCAGTCCCTCACAATCCCCAGATCCGGTGGAGTTCCAGATCAGGCAAGGAGAGGAATAACCCTATTTTACAAAACAGAGGGACTAATGTCCCTGGCTCTCCTGATCCAAAATTCAGAGCTGCATTTAGTTTAGGCTCTGGATGCAGTCTCTGTGGGTCCCTCGATACACAAAGGAAATACATCTAGACCAAAATCCTCACCAGGACCTCAAGCTATTCTTTCATTCAAACCCAGAAGTCACTGCACCCCAACTTTGGGTCTTATAAAGTGTCCTTTTAGTGGGAAAACACTACCACTCAGTGAACACAGACCACACATCACAATTAAGGTCATTCTACGTCATCCCACTCTTACCAGAGAGTTCTCTGGCCAGTGACCGGTGTCGCATCTGTCGAGCAATGTTCACAATCTCATCAAAGGTGATATTTCCACTGTGCTTAACTGCAGAAAAGAAAACAGCAAAAGCTGGGTCACCATCCGAGGTCAGAGCAGACCACATCACCTCCTCCCTATTTCCAGGCTGTTCCCATGCTTTCGGCACAGAGTCATCCACGTGGAGAGAACAACCCTGTTTCCTAAGCTGGGGTTTACTATCAGCTCACCACTGGATTGCACCAGCCAACAGAGAACTGGTCAGGTGCAGTGGCGGGTGGCTAGGGGCCAAAGTCTTTACTAATCTTACGTGGAAGAGACTATTTCAGAGATGAGAAAAGACAAAGCTTCCCTTACTAGGGTTAGTTGAGCTGTTTGGCGTCACCCAGCTCACAAGTGGTCTCTCTTGATCCCTGGTCATCATTCTCAGTTGCTTCCCTCACTTACTATTTCCCTCCTGCACAGGCTGAGAGTCGGACCTGCCCCACACCAGGGATCCGGGAAACCCCCGGCTCTGTAACAGCTTAACATCAAATCACCATGCAATCCCTGTTTCATTAAAGGGAAAACGTGTAGCTAAGTATCAAACACTGGGTAAACCACACCACTCAGGTTACCAGGGAAAAGGCCACTCACTGTTTTTCTGCTTCTTCCGGTCTCTTGGCGGTTCCTTGAGGGCTTTGATGATCAGAGCAGAGGCAGAAGGTACCACCTCAATCTGCACAAGAGATTCTCAGTATGAATAAGCCCTACCCCAACCTCCAAGATCAGTACTACCATGCACCTCAGCTCTCAGAGACCACCGGCCAACCAGACACCAGGTTTGCTGTACACTTGAGGAATTTTCCCAATCCGAAACACGTCCTACCCAAGGAGGTCTAAGTGATTTGCTCAATGTCACAGAAACGACAGAGTTAACATTTGAACCTGTGTCTCTGCCCTTGGTCCATGCTCTCGAAAAAGCCTTACCCACAAGTAAAATTGCTCAGCTCACCACTGGTGGCAGGTGGCCACATCAGCCAACATCTCCCACCCAGGAATCCCAGAGGGTTGCTACCTCTGCCCCCAACCCCAACCAAGTACCTGAGCCTGTCGGTTCTGGATAGTCAGTTTCACCGTGATCCTCAGACCCTTCCAATCACCGGTTGCCTTGGCAATGTCATCGCCCACCTTTTTTGGAGACTACCGAAATAAAGGGATGGAGTCACACTGTGCCTGAAATTGAACCACAGCCTGAAAATCTGCCCAGTCCTCCTCAACTTTCCCTATCCTGCACACAGGAAGCTGTCAGAAGCACAGGACTGTCTGTACCTACCCGATCAAGGCCTGGCTATCACCACAGTATAGACTGGGAAAATGAGGCTGGGGCTGAAGTCTGCCCAGGGTTCTAAATTACAGGCTCAGGGCCACAAGGGGCCAAGCCCCTTAGCTACCTATCTTCCCATAAGGACCTATGTGGCAAGAGATTTTCAACCAGTTAAGTTCCAATCACCTGGGGAGCTTTAAAGATAGCAAGTTCCTGTGTCAGACCAACCCAAGTTCATCTGTGGGGATGGGCTCTGGGCATCTGCTCCTTTACAATTTCCTCCTGACCACTAGCCTAAAGGCTCCAGAGAGACATCCAGTGAGTGCCAGCTGAGCTAAGGGCCAAGCGAGAGCAGTTAAGACACTGCTCAAGGAAGAGCAAGCAAGAGGGGAGAGCATTTGGGACAGGCGACCGCCGTCCAAGAAATGAAGGCCTCATGATGTTCAGGGAAACACAAGTTCAGTTTAGAGCACAGCATGGAAGGAGAGGCAGGAACATAAGACCAGTCATAGGGAACGCCGGTCATACCAACTAGGATATCAGGAGCAGAGTTATTCTTATGAGTCACCATAACCTTCACCAGAATCTTCACCCACACCCATGCCATCCTCCCAATAGCGACCTGTCCATTTCCCTGACTAGGAAACAAGCTGCCAGGTAGGCTGCCCAGTGTCACAAAGCCACTCCTGACCTCAGAACCCTCACACTTGACCATCCCTCAGATATACTAAAAGCAGCAGCTAACAGACAATGGAGACGAAGCTACAGCTTCAAGGTACCACGTGCGATCTCCACACACGTATCACCTTTCTACACGCCTACTGCCACTTCACCGCTCAGACGTCTAGTCCGGGATGGCAATCCCTCAACGCCACCGGCACCTCGGATACGCTCGGGTCTGCACGAGCCCGAGTTAACTTTGCTCTCTTCGTCCGAGTTCAGAAAAGACCCCTCCAAGTCGCCCCCCCGAGAATGACTTACCAGACCCAGGGGGCCGATCTTGGGGGCCAGGGCAGACGTAGCACCCACTTCCCCACCGGTGCACCTCAGGTACACTGCGAGAAACGAAAGATCAGCGCCCCTGCAGAGGGAGCCCCGAGCCGCATCCTCCCGGGACCCGCCACGCCTCCTCCTGCCTCTTCTCGGAACAGCACTGAGAGCCTCAGCGGGGAGCGAGGCGGGCCACCCCCGTCCACGCACGCACGCACGCACACAGCGGGCAGGCCACCTCGCTCCACACACACGGGCACAGCCGGCGAGCCGCCTCCCGCTCCGGCGCGGGCCGCCCCAAGCGCCACGTGGGACAGCGGCGGCCGAGCCCCACGCCGGGTCCGGCGCAGAGCAGCCCGGGCCGCCAGCCAGCCCAGCCTCGGGGGAGAGGCGCCGGAGACAAACCTTACCCTAGGGCGTGCGGGCTGCAAAGCCGCCGCGGGTCGTCCGGTCCTCCCTCCCCATCTACACGTGGGGAAGCTGAGGCCCAGAACGAGAAGAGCCTCGCCCAGGACCGCACAGCGTCCTGAACGCAGCACCGGGGAGGCCTCTAGGAGGCAGCGGCTTGAAAGCTCGAAAACGTGGGAAAGGCCATTGCGGCGGGGGCCGCAGGCCCGACAGGCTGCGCGGAGGAGGAATGCTCCATCCCGCAACCCAGGCCACATCGAAAGCACGCACCGACTTTAATCTCGTTGGGGTCGAACTTCGGCGGCATGGCGGAGGCGGCTGGTGTCGGATGAACCCGGATTCGGGACGACCGAAGAAAGTTACACCTTCGCCTCCTCCGAGCCGAGAGCCGAGAGACCGGAAGGTGCTCCGGCTACGTCAGATATAGACAGGAAAGCGCTGCTCTCGCGAGAACCGCCGTCTCCGCCCAGCCCCCCAGCGACGTCCTTGCCGCCATGCTGGTTGTGGGCAGGCGCCGGAGGCTGTCGGCTGGAGAACGCAGCACTGAGGTGAGCTGTGGACAAGGGTTCGGAACCGGGGTTCGTGGCAGTTATCTCCGGGAAGGCAGACAAGAGAAGGCTGCTCCCGACATCCTGTGCCCTGCTGTTCCCCATTTCCCCTTATCGTGAAGGTCACCCGTGGTCCTTCTCACCCAATCCCAGAGCCCCGCCCCTACTCTGAGGGTTCCGCACCCCGATTCTGAGATCCCAGGGCCACTGCGACCCGGACCCCCTTCTGACTCCCTCGTGATCCGTGTATTTTAGTTATCGAAACAATTTTATTTGGATCTAAATCCGGTTCAACTTCTAATTCCAAGATTCTACGGTTCTGAGTCTCGGACTTCGTCATCCTGGTCTGCATGACTTTCTGAGATCCTTAGTTTGGAGGAGTCCTGACTCCGGCTCCGCCAAGCCCGTGCCGGGTGGTCTGCGACCCGGCGTGCATGACCAAGCCCTACGAGTGCTCGGCCTGCCTTCAGGTCCTCCTGAGGGAACGCACGTCGGGGACCTGCCCACAAACCCAGGTCGGGCACTGCCCACTCCAGCCAGGGGAGGGTGGGTGTGGTTCTCTTCATCTAGGCTGGACGTCGAGGGAGGGGATGGATGAGGGATGGACATCGGGGAGCAGGTTGGGAAGAGCTGATTTTCTGGGCGGGATGGAGGAGGGATATGGCCATTGGAGAGGAGGTGAGAAGGGCTGGACTTCGGGGAGGGGTTCAGGGAGGGTTAGTCATTGGGGAGCAGAAGAGTAAGAGCTGGTCATCAGAGAGGGATGCATGAGGGCTGTTTTTAGACTATTTCCCATCCCTGCAGGCAGGTGAGGTGACCAGAGGAGCCTGAGCCAGCTCAGCAGGCTTGGCCAGCTCTCCAGACAGCCTGCGCCCATGTGGGTGGAGACCTGTGATCTCCACCCGTCCGCCTGAGGACTGGTTGTGTGTCTTCAACTGCATCTCTTCGCTAGCCCTCTTCTCCCTAGCTCCTTAAAGTGTAGTAGGCCCTGAATAAACGTTTGTTAGATGCGTGGTGCTAAGTGGCTAACATTTATTGAGCATGCGTTACATGCCAGGTTCTGTGTTATGGGTTTTACATATATGAAATCACTGGATCCTTATAGAACCAGGTGTTGGTAACATCTTTACTCATTCACACTTTACAAATGAGGAAACTGAGGCTCAGAGAGCTGAACCAAGGTGACATGGTTGATGGGTGGCAGATCTGGGATTCGAACTTAGCTATGTTTTATCCCAAGGCCTGTGCTGTTAACCGGAAGCTTCCCTGGAGGATTACTTCCTGGCCCATCGATGTCCCTTATCAAGTGTTGATATTTGCAGATACTGGACAGGCAGTGAGCACCTGGCTTCTGAGTTCAGGACAGTGTACTCAGTGCATGCTAAGATATTTGAGCACCAAGAGTTGGGGACAAACTCCACAGGATCAGGACTCAAAAGAGCAGAGTTCCAGACTGGTTTTGCTACAATCCAGGCTATATAAGCAGATCCCTGAACTTGATAAGCATCCGTTTCATCACTATAAACAGGGCTGTGGTAAGAATCAAATGGAGTAATAGCTGTGAGAGCGGTAAGGTGTCTGAGGATTGCTTTTGAATTTTTAATGAACTCAGAGATCACTTTGGTCATAATGCAGTTGAGCTCCCCAAGGTCATGGCCAGCTGGCACTATGCCATATTTGGTTTGCTGATGCCACTCTGACAGTGTTTCAGGGGCCAGAAGTGGTTCATCAGCTGAGTCTGTTAGGAGTTCTCAAAGAGTGTCCTTGGAGAGGACCTGAGGAAGCTTCTCCAGGTCAACCCCCTTGTCGAACGTGGAGGAGAGATGGGGGCCCAGGATGGGGAAAGTATATGCCAGGGTCTCACAGTGGGTCAGCAGCAAATGTGGGCCTGAACCCAGGTCACCTGGCTTGCCACTGTGCTCTTTCCACCATGTTCTGCTGTTTATTGTTTAGTCAACAAAGAACAAAGAGTATCGAACACCTGCTGTGCTGGGCTCAGGGCACAGATTGATGGTCAAGATGGATACAGCCCCTGCCCTCAGGGAACTTACAGTCCAGCAGATCAGCTACATGCTCCTTGTTACTGTGCTTCCTGTGCTGGGGGTTGAGGACTGTGACAAATTCCCCAGGTCTTAACTTCTCTCCTGTGCCCTAGTGTTGTGAAGATTGCTCCAGGAAAAAGGAAGGATGCCGCTTTTCTTCCGGAAGCGGAAACCCAGTGAGGAGGCTCGGAAACGCCTGGAGTACCAGATGTGTCTGGTGAGGGAAAATGGGTTTGCTCTGAGTCCATCCCCATCTCTGCCTCTGCCCATGAAGCAGGGCTCTGCACTGCCCCCAAACAAACTCCCTCCCATCTGCTTCCGCCACCCCAGAAGAAATTTCTGACTGCGAGCAGATGGATGAGGCCCCCTGTCAAGTGCTCAGGAGTGCACTGCACTCCCCCCACCCTCCCCAGAGACTGATCACACTTGTCATCACTTGTTCGTTTGCTCTTCCCTGCTGGACCTCAAGGCTTATTGAAGCAGGGATCATTGGTCTACCTGCAAGATGGACTAGCTGAACCACTTGGTATCTGTGGTCTCTCACAGCTCCTTAATTCTATGTCTCTTTGCCTGGTTTATCCACTCTGTGAGGATATTTCATTTGAACACTTTTTTTTAAAATTCTTTTTATCCTTAGGCAAAAGAAGCTGGCGCAGATGACATTCTTGACATTTCTAAATGTGAGCTCTCAGAGGTAAACTGGGGTGATGTTCTGGCTGTGAATTTGATCTGTCCTGTTTTATTGCATCACGTATCCCTAGGAAAGACAGATGTGGACTGGGGCTTTAAAAAGGCCAGAAGCACTAGTCCAGAGATGTTTCCTTAGATTTCATTCTTGTCCAAAAGAACTGAGAAGATCTTTTGGCCTCAGCATAGTCTTCAAGAGTCACGGAGTCTAGAGAAGGTACCCACAGATTCCTAGGGCACTGGAAGAGTCTGGGGTTCCTTAGCCTCTGCAAAGCACCAAAGATCTATTTTTTGTCCCTGATATAGAATTCATGGTGGGGATGAGTGGGTGGGCCAGGGCTAGCCAGGGCACTCTCCTGCCAGCTGATCGAAGGGAGGGCTGACTGTTCCTCACCAGCCTTTCCCGTGGGCTTCTCACTCTTCTCCATAGGAGGGTTTTGCACTTCTTTACTTCCTGCCCCGTCTCTCCTTCACATGAGTGCCACTCAGAAAACAAATCAGAAACTGGCTGGAGGGGAGGCACTAACTCAATTCTTTATCTTATCTTAGATTCCATTTGGGGTTTTTGCAACATGCAAAGTTCTCCAGAAGAAGGTGAGACAGGTCTTCATTTTCGGAGAATTGCTTATTGCATGATTACTTATTTAAAATCAGGTGGGACTTTTAGGAGCCGTCTGGCTGGCGCAGACATCTCCCTTCTCTCTGATTCTTGCCCTTTCAGCCTGCAGCCCATGTTTTCATAGTTGGGAGATCAGGCTTTAGCATCAGATGGCCCTGGGTCACACCCTGGCTTTGCCCCTCATGACTTGGGCAACTTCCTTAAACTCTTGCATGTCGTTTCTTCATCTGTGAAATGAAGACATTCGTAGTTCTATTCTCACAGAGAACTATGAGGTTTCAATGAGTGATGGATAGATAGGTAGATAGATAGTGATAGAAATATAAATGCACAGAGTATAGTGTCTGCCGCATAGTAAACACTGAGTAACCTCATTGTTATTAATGATGAAAACTACACTCATTTCATTCTGGTCACCCAGGAGAGATTAAGAGTGGAATGAATGATTTTTCAGAAAGGCATTGCAGCCTTGAATGCAGATAGGTAGGAGTATTCTACTTGAATTATCTAAATGAAGGTAGGTAAAATGTGTTCCATACCAGCAGGGTAGTGAGCTCCTTGACCCTGGGAGTATCCAGGCAGGGGATGCCTAACAAAAATAGCAACAGATGACACGGACTGAGCACTGGACCACGTGCCGGCCCCGGGCTAAGTGCTTTTTGTCTGTTAGCTTGTTAATCATCTTGGCAGCCCTCAGAGGCAGGCATTTTATTATTCTCTATTTTCCACGTGGAGATTCTGAAGCTGAGGAAGGTTAAGATCAGGAGAGCTGCACGGGACCCCTTCTCAGGATGGGAGGTAGAATTAGACCTTAAGGTCCCTTTCACCCTGGAAATTCCGGATTTTAAGGTCATCTGAGTCCACATCAGGAGATCCCATGATTCTGAACCACACTCCCTATTGTGGTGTCCGGAAGAGCAGAGAAGGCTGGGCGGGGCAGGCCGCTGAGCGTCCCGTGCTGACCTGGCTGCCCTGCCCTCAGCCATTCGTACCTGCTGCTCTTCTTCAACCGAACCTGCTGCAAATCTTTTCCACACAGGTGTTGATTGTCCACACAAATCACCTCACTTCCCTGCTTCCTAAATCCTGCAGCCTCCTGAGTCTCGCAACCATCAAGGTACTGGGGCCCTGCTCCCAGGCGCCGGGGACTCTGCATGCTGTTCCAGGTGCAGCTGAGCATCCCCACTCCCTTCGTGTCTCCTCTGTTACAGTTTATGCCAGACAGCCTTAATGTATTAGTCAGTCTGGGGTTTGATCAGCATAGTTTATTGGGTCCCTTCCATGTGCTGTGCATGGGTTGGCCTTACAGAGAGAACCAGCCACAGGGCCTGCCCTTGGGGAGCTTATCCAATAGGTGGAAAGACAAACCATAAACTCCTAGCAAGTGAACCAGCAGAGAGCAGAGAGACTGATGGTGCCAAACAAGAAGGAAGAGGAGGGACGCCATGCAGTGTGTGGTCCAAGTGCAAGAGCCCTGTGATCTGGGGCAACTCCCTCCTGACTGTCAGCCCCTCCAGGACAGGGACAGGGATGTATTCACAGTAGACATGAGGTGTGACGCCAGGATTGTTCCCCGTGAACATGAACTGTGACAGTGAGTATACACACTAAGAAAAAAAAAACTAGTCACATAGGCATCAGAGTGGTTTTCATGGTTAACTCTAGTTTGTGGGGTTGGGGATGGTTTTTGCTTCTCTCTGTTGTTCTGGTCCAATATACATTATTTTTGTAGTCAAAAAAAATAACACTTAAAAGTATTTTTTATATTTATGTACATTTATATTTCATATGTATACATATATATATATTTCCTAGGCCTTTTTTGCTCATTTTCATTGTTTAAAAAAATTAGCAGATATGGTTAAGCAAAGAAGGAAAAATGTATATAATTTCACACTCTAGAGAAGCACTACCAATATTTTATTGCATATTTTGTAGTTTTTTTCTACGCAAATATATGTTTATGCTATGGGGAGTTTTCTTTTTTAGCATACAAATGTCTGCATACTGTTTTTTAGCATACTTTTCACTCAACGGTTAAAAATAAATATTTGATAAAAGGATGAAATGGTATAATATTTTGAAAAAGGAAGGGAGCGGAATGACCGTTTAGTTGGAGAGGAAGGGCTGAATGCACTTTATTCCAACACCAGAGACGTGAGGAGGGCCCCTGGCATGTTCTTTCCGTTCTGGGCCTGAAGGTGGAGGGGCTTTGTGGGTTGGTGGCTGTGAGATGTTAAGCTGTCTTCCTTCCACAGGTTCTGGATCTTCACGATAATCAGCTGACAGCCCTTCCTGACGATATAGGACAGCTGACGTCCCTCCAGGTATGGCTGCAGGAAACAGAAACCCCAAGTGAGCAATGGCAGCCACACAAGCCTAGAATGTTCTAGTTGTGCTGTAGCAAGGGCTGCACTTGGTGCCAACTCCCCCACCCCCACTCGGCCCCTTTGCTGTTCAGATGCCCAGTGACGCCCTCGCCATTGCAGTCTGGGCTGTGGACGTCTCTCTACCACGTTGTTGGCATGTCCTCTTTGGGATTTCAACGTGAGCTTCCGTAACTTTATAGAAAAAGAGCAAGTCTACCTTTTAGAAATGGTGAATTCAGCACTCTGACTCACCATCTCACTTCTAACTCTTGTCATCAGAGCCCCTGCATTTATTGAGTGCTCCCTGCATGCCAGCGCGGGGCTAAGCATTTCCCTTGCGTTATTTATTGATTCCTCGCAGCCTCCCTGTGAGGCAGGTGGTGGGATGGCCCCCATTTTAGAGGGGAAGAAGCATCTTGCCTTCTCACTTAGATTAAAATCTCTTCTCTTCACTGTGCCCCATCAGAACCTATACGATAGGCCCACCTGTCTTTCCAGCCTCTGTTTCTCTCTCCCCGTCGCTCCCTGCAGTCAGCTCCTCAGACTCTTCTGGCCTTCTGTGCCCACCTCCAGCAGGGCCTCTCCACGGGGCTCTTCCTTCTGCCTGAGTGGCTCATCCTTCATCTCTTAGCCTAAATGTCCCACAGATTCCTCCGTGACCTCCCTGTCTAGGTAGACCCCTTATTCTCCTTTGTCTCAACTCTGGCTTATTTGCCTGAGATCACTAATGGCAGTCCATAAATACTAATGAAGTGTTTCCTGGCTTGACTGTCTCCTCTACTGAAATGTAATCCTGGGGGAGCGGCGCCCTCACCTAGTGCACTGCCTTGCACACGGGAGGCTAAGAAATTATTTGAATGAACAACCCTTACAGTGTGGGTGATATCGTATTTTACAGAAGAGAAAACTGAGGTTTGGAGGGATGACTGTAACTTGCCCGAGGTCCCAAAGAGAATGTGTGACAAAACAGTAGTAATTGCCACCACTTAGAGGTACAATGAATATCTTGGTGTAGGATCTTTTGGGACTTTTTTTTATGAGTATATTTTCATAGGATTGCTGCATTCACTGTTTTGTAACTTTTGGATACCAGATAGTAACTCATAACCATCCTTTGGTTCATCAAATATTCATCTGCCACATTGTTTTTAATGGCTGCTTAGCTTTCCAATGTATCTATCTCTAATGGCTACTTAGTGTGTCATCCTGTTGGCCTCATTCATCTCACCGTACCGCATCCTGGAGGGAGTGCAGCCTTCAGAATCCAACAAGCCCAGGTTCCTGTCCCGGCACCACCGGCTGCCGACCTTGAGACCTTGGGGCAGATCCCACTGCCTTTATGCAGCGCGGGTTCCTTCTGCCAACACTGGGGTGACTAGAGCCTTACCACATGCTACCTCGCCTGGATCCCCGAATCTGTTAGTGCCCTTCCTCCCTCCCTGATTGTGGGGCAGTTTTCGGGCGTCTTGTGGTCTGTGTAAATAATAAAACCTCCACAAGAACCAAGTTCAAGGTCTGGCTTTGCTCTCTTGGGTACATTGTGTCACCCCTCTGAGCCTTGGTTTTCTCATCTCTCAAATGGGATCCTAACAACTTACACCTTCCTCACAGGGCTGTCAGGGAGAGATGAGGTGTGTGTGTGGTGTCCAGATGATGCCTGGCCTGAAGCAGGGGTGGACACAGTTACCTGTCCGTGGGTTCTCACGTCGTTTTCTCCTCTTTCTTAGGTATTGAACGTGGAAAGGAATCAACTGACGTATCTCCCGCGTTCCATTGGGAACCTGATTCAGCTCCAGACCCTCAATGTGAAAGGTAGGGGCCAGGAAACCCTGTCCCTGTGACCCTCGGTCAGCTCTGCCCTGTCCCAGCCAGCGTCCACAGGGTACTCCTCGTGGGAGCCACTGAGCGTGAGGGCAGCGAATCCTGGGTGTCCCTCTAAGCTGGACTGACCTCCTGTTAGGTCGGTCTGTCTCCATGGTAACCAGAGACAGGGCATCCGGAGGGTTCCTGCGACTCTCAGAGCCAGGGCCTTATAGGGAGGAGGGCAGATGATGTTGACAGCTAGGCCCCCGAGGCTTGTCATTCATGTTTATAATAACGAGTAGTGGACTGACTGGGCAAGAGCGATTCAGGAGCCACAGTAACGGTTCTGAGTAGTGCTCCACACTCAGTGACTAGCGCTTCCACATTCAGCGACGCAGTGAGCCTCATGACGGGTCTGTGAGGAAAGGAGAGGGAGAAAGTATCACCTCCGATTTACAGATGAGGAAAATGAGGCTCAGAGAGCAGTGACTTCCTCAAGCCCACCCAGTGTGGTAGTGGCATAGCCCAGATTCTAATGCATCAGACGGCTTGCCTCACCATACCCCCCAGCTCTTTCATGTCTTTTTTGTGTGTGTGTGAGGAAGATCAGCCCTGAGCTAACATCCGTGCCCATCTTCCTCTACTTTATATGGGACGCCGCCACAGCATGGCTTGACAAGCAGTGCATCAGTGCGCACCCGGGATCCGAACCTGCGAACCCCAGGCTGTCAAAGCGGAGTGGGCGCACTTAACCGCTGTGCCACCAGGCGCACCTGCTCTTTCATTTCTTATTGTTGTCTTTAAGCACTTTCTACAGAGCATGCCTCAGTTTACCCATTTGTAACATATAAATAATGACACCCCAATAGTTGATCACTTACTATGTGATAGGCACTGCGCTGAGGACTTCATATGCATAATCTCATTGAATCCCTCAATATTCCCAAGAGGCCAAATAGTATTGTTATCCCCATGTTACAGATGAGAAAACTGTGGCCCAGGGAGGTAAAGTCAGTTTTCCAAAGTCACTTAGCTAGTAAGTGGTGGAGTGGGAACTTGAACCCAGGTCGCTGAAACTCCACCATCGTGTTCTTCTTTGCGGAGCCTCAGGTTCCAGGACCTGGCACATGCCCCAGGGTCGCAGTGAGGCACCCACCTCCCCCCGAGTCCTGGCAGGTGTCAGGCAGGAAGCTGGTGAAGGGGCTTTGGGGTGTTAAGCTGTTGTATTGGGATCTCTCCAGACAACAAGCTGAAGGAGCTTCCAGACACCTTGGGGGAACTTCGAAGCTTACGTACTCTCGACATCACTGAAAATGAGATTCAGAGATTGCCACAGGTGCTGGCCCATGTTCGAACCCTGGAGGTAAGTGGGCAGCCGTTCTCACCTGGGGCCCCTCTGGCTTGCCCGCCTCCCCTTCCCATGTTCCTGAATGCCTGCCCCCTGGCCACAGGGATCTCAAGGCATGGTCCTTAGGAGCTCACAGAGAGACCGATGTGTGAGCAGTTGTAATTATGTGACTTTTGCTGCCATAATAGAGGCAGAAAAACTGTTTCTAGAGTGGAGAGATAAGGCTGAATCCTGATGGGGTTAACACTGTATGAAAGATGTGGTATTTGAGGAATAAGCTGTGAAAAAGTGAACCTGGATAGCAGGAGCATTCCGGGGGAGGGAACAGTACGCAGAAAGGCAAGAAGAGAAAAGTGCAGGATGTGTTAAGGGGAGAGTAGGGATCTGATGTGGTTGGAAGTTGCTGTACCTGGAGGGTCCAGATCATGAAGAGCCCAGAGCATGAGGGAGGCAGTGGCCTCAGCTTGGAGCCACAGAAACTGAGTTTCATCAGAACAGGAGGAGGCAGGGAGGGGAGGGTGAGCACTTCCTGGGACACTGTGCTAGTTTCCCAGGGCTGCTATAACAAAGTACCACAGGCTGGGTAGTTTAAACATCAGAGATTTATTTTCTCACAGTTCTGGAGGCTGGAAGTCCAAGATCAAGGTGTCGGCAGGGTTGTTTCTTCTGAGGCCTCTCTCCTTGGGGTGTAGGTGGCCGTCTTCTCCCTGTGTCCTCACATTGTCTTCCCTCTGTTCATGTCTGTGTTCTAATTTCCTCGCCTTATAATGACACCAGTTATATTGGATTAGGGCCCAGCCTGGTGACTTCATTTTGAACTTTATTACCTCCTTAAAGACCCTATATCCAAATATAGTGATGTCCTGAGGTACTGGGAGTTAGGACTTCAACATACATATTTTGGGGGTGGGCACTATTCAGCCCCTAACAGACACTGACACAAGGCAACTTGCCCAGGGATGGTGGGCTCCTACAGTCACAATGACAAGATGGCTCAGATTTATCTGGTGCTTACTAAGGCTGGGTGCTTAACCTGCATCAGTTCCCTGAATCCTCACGAAAATCCTGCGAGGCAAGTACTGTTGTGCCACCTTTGCAGATGAAGAAACTGAGGCATGGACAGTTTAAGGAGCTTGCCCAAGGGCCACACAGCTAGTAATAGCAGAGATGGGATTGAAAACCAGGCAGTCTGAATCAAGGGCCTGTGCTCCTCACTCTGTGCAACTGGGCCTTCTGGAACGGGGACTTACCCCTTCACGATGACACAGTCTGGCCAGGCATCCCGGAATCCTTTGATGAGCCATCAGCAAATTACCTCTCAAGCCAGTCTGCTGAGCTTCCGCATCTGTATCAGAAGTGAGTGGGTGAGCCTGGAGACAGCAAAGGGAGGTGGCTGACCCCAGTGGCTGATCCCTCCTGCCGTGACGGCCAGGCTGAGAAAGGCCATGGTGGTCAGCTCCTCTGCCTGGGCGGGCTGGAGAGACAGGCCAACACGTTATTTTCTGTGCTGTCCAATGGAACTTTCTGTGATGATGGAAGTGTTCAGTGACTCTGCTGTCTGAGTCGGTGGCCAGCAGCCATGTGTGGCTATAGAGCACCTGAACTGTGGCTAGTATGACTAAGGAACTACATGTTTAATGTTACTGAATTCTAATTACTTTATGTTTAAATGGCCACATGTGCTTACTGGCTGCAGCACAGCTCAGAGCACTGTTCCTAATTCTGCAGCCATACTAAGACAACAGGAGCTCTGAGAGTAATTCATTTTATATTAATTCTTTAAAGAAAATATTTTGAGCTTCCTGGTGGCACCTTGGACAACACTTGTTTCAGGCTGTGACAATAACCACAGCCATTCTTGGTCAAGGCCAAGGTCTTTTTCACACGTTCTCTCATATTACCCATCAAACAGCCTACCAGGTCGGCGACGTTGCGCCTGTGTAAGTCTGAGGGCGCTGCCGCTCGGGAAGGTCCGGTGGCCTGTTTGAGGGCAGACAGCTGGAACGTGACGAGCTGGAGCCTGAACCCGGGCTGTGTGACTTGGCACAGCGCCGTCCACCAGCCTCTCCTCCTGCCGAGAGGGGACATGCTCCGTAACCTGTGCTGTCCAGTACAGTCGCCACTGGCCTCCTCTGGCTGTTGAGCACTTGAAATGTGGCTAGTGCAACCGAGGAACTGAGCTTCAAGTTCTTTTTAATTGTGGGGCCGGCCCGGTGGCGCAGTGGTCAAGTTCGCGCGCTCCGCCTCAGCAGCCCAGGGTTTGCAGGCCCGGATCCCAGGCGCAGACCTATGTGCCGCTCATCAAGCCATGCTGTGGCGGCATCCCACATATAAAGTAAAGGAAGATGGGCACAGATGTTAGCTCAGGGCCAGTCTTCCTCGGCAAAAAAGAGGAGGATTGGCAACAGATGGTAGCTCAGGGCTGATCTTCTCCACCAAAAATCAATTCTTCTTAATTTTAATCAATTAAAATTTAAACTTAAATGGCCACATGTGGCTCATGGCCACCGAACTGGGCGCTGCAGCCCCAGCGTCCGTGCTCTTAAGCCACCACACTCTACTGTCGGTGACTAATATCACCCATGTGGGGTTAATCTTCTTTAGATTCAGGCCCCCCAGGTTGGGGTTTTCTGCTCTTGGGCCCCCCAACTGCAGGCACTCGGTTCCTCTGCTGTGGAGCAGCCCCCCGCTGCAGTGCGTGTTCACTCAGCACGCACCGCATGCCAGCTGGGCTAGGGAGGGATGTCTGAGCTGCCCTTCCCACTCAGTGGCCTCGCAGGCCCTGTCCCTGCTCCAGGGCTCCCCTGGCCCCTGAGGCCTGTCTGTCTGTTCCAGGCAGAGAGGATATTGGTTCCTGAAGGGGCCTTAGGTAACACGTGCCAACACTCGGTGGGATCAGAAGGCCAATGGGAAGCGAGAGGACGGCAGGAGGAGGGCTGGGTTAAGAAAACGCACACCATGGCTATAGACAGCTGGGTGGGCGTTTGCATGAGCCTAGGTCCCTGTCTCCTGGGTTCCATAAGCCTGTAACCATATACGTGTGTGTTCCTATAAACATTTGTTTTTTCTTACCTAAAAAATCATACTAAGCTTTACGCAGTGGCAGTATCGTAGCCAATGAAGTTTATCCGAGGCGCGATTATTGCTAATTGGAAAAAAAAAATCATACTACATGATATTAAAAAAATTCCAGTATTAAAAAACATTTCACATAGAAAGTACTCCAGAATCTACCCTTTACAGGAAACCACTGTAAGTTTGATATATATTCTTCCAAATTTTTTTTATAATGTGAGTATATGAATATATTTTTTTTTAACAAAAATGGTATCTTATTCTATATGTTGTCCTACAACTTCCTTTGTTTTGCTCATTCATGTATTTATCCTAAAACATGAGTTGTGCTTGCTGCGTGCTTGTCACCGTTCTAGGTGCTAGGGACACAGCAGGAACAAGGCAGGTGAGCCTTCCCTGCTGGGCAGAGGAGACAGCAGGCACACAAGTTAATAGCTAAACCACATGGTTCCCAGCGGTGTTGAGCAGTGAATGAATGACATATAAAGAGGGGTCCCCTTGTGTCTGCAGACTCTGAACCTCGACGCCTCGTCCATGGTTTACCCACCGCGGGAGGTGTGCAGTGCCGGCACCGGGGCCATCCAGCAGTTCCTCTGCAAAGGTAAAGCCAGGCAGCCTGCCCCCTTAGCACAGTGAGCAAATGTGCCATCGATGGCCCTGTGCCAGCCCAGGCTGGGGGACGGCAGAAACAGAGGGCACAGTCCCTGCCTGCTCGGAGCTCCAGGGCTGGCAGGAGAAACAGGCAAAACAGATTATCCCACAAGGAAATGTAGTTACAGATTGTGGTTATGAGACAATACAATGGGGTGTCTGGTTTAGGGGCCTCGAGGAAGGTCTGTTTGAGCAAGTGGCTTGGCTGAAACCTGAGGAATTATTAGGACTTAGAAAAGGGAAAAGGATGTTCCTGGGAGAAGGAGGTGCATATGGAAGGACCTGGATGGGTAGGGGAGTGGGGAGGGTTCACTTTTAAACACTCATCAAGCTGTATGTGAAGATTTTGTGCTCTTTTCCAGATGTATGTAATACATCAGTTAAAAAAAAAGTTACACACACATCACACAACCCCTAACCAAACCACACATCTACCAAATTCGCCTTCAAGCAAGAGGTGGGTCTAATGTGTACCCAGCCAATGGTCAAGCTGGACCAAACCAGTGATTTTCTTTATAAAGATTTTTAAATTATGTGATATTTAAGTTTACAACAGATATAAAGAATAAAGCAGTGAACATTATATATACCGACTACACAGCTTGAGAAATAATCCTTCAATTTATTTAAACTGTGTAGTTCGTATACATATGTATGTAAAATTTTAGGTTTTGCTCTTTTAAAAACATAAAAAGAAAAAAATGTACAAAAGGTATCATACTGTGTGATTCTGTGCCTTGCCTTTTTCTCTCAGGAATAAGTCTTGGGCCTTTTCCTATCTCGTAACATATGGATCTGCCTTGTTTTAAACTGCCTTATGGTATTTCGCATGGTGGAGCCCCATCCTTTATGTAGCCATCCCCTTGTTGTGAACATGGGAGTTATTTCCAGTTTCCCACTGTTGACATTTTAACCCACACCTCTCTGGCTCGGTGTGAGTGTTCCTCTAGGGCAAGGAACAGTAGGGTTGGCAGGGGAAAGCAGACAAGCACTCTGTTGCCCTCTGAAGTGGTTACACCAGTTTACATTGCCATGAGGAGTCTCTAAGAGGATCTTTTTTCTTTCCATAACCTGGCTAACCCTTGGTATTGTCCTAAAAAGTCTGCTAATCTGATGGGTAAACAAGAGAGCCTATTATTATTTTAATGTCATTTCCTTGATGATTTGAATTTTTTTTCATATGTCTACTGCCCATTTTTAGTATTTCTTGTGAATCGCCTATTTATATCCTTCCCAAGGGAAAAAAAGAGATAACTTTGGCTACATTAAAGTCTAAAACTTCTTTACCTCAAAAGGACACCATCATCGCGATATCAGACGCTCTTCAAGAGTGTTTTCATAGAATGATCTTTGGAAAGCTATACAGATCATCAAATTGGAAACAAATCCAGTACAGTGATGAAAATCACTGGGTAGAAAAATTCTACAACTCTAATACTGTATCAGAAAACTAATGCGGAGAATTCCCTATTTATGGTACCACCGTCCCAGTTAGCCTTGCCTGAAATCTCAGCATCTTCCAACTTCTCAGCTTTCTGCCCCATTCATTCAATCGCCAGGTTTATTCTGCATTTGTTCTTGTAGCCTCCTCCTTCCTTTTATTCCCACACCATTGTTTCCTCTTGCCTACAGTAGCTTCCTAATTAATCTCCCTTGCCTCTGGGTCTCTAGCCCATTTTACACGCTGCCACCAGTAGTATTCTTAAAAGTAGAGAGAGAATCATGTTACTCCCTTGATTAAATACCTTTAGTAATGCAACTGACACTGAATAAAGTCCAAACTCCCTCGTGATTTCAAAGTCCAATGTGACCTGCCCCAACCCACCTTTACAGTTCAACTTACCTTTCAGTTACTAATGATAGTTTGGATATGTTGGGTTAAATAAAATATATTAAAGTTAAAAAGAAAAAAACGGACACCATCAAAGTTAAAAAGACAAGTTACCACCTAGAAGAAGGTAGTTGCAACACGCATTATAGACCCAGTGTTATTAACTACAATATGTAAAGAGCTCCTACAAATCAGCAAGAAAAAGGCAAACAACCCAATAGAAAATGGGGAAAGGGTATGAACCCTTTCAAATGACACAGGAGGAAACTAGGCAGGGCCAGAGAAGGCAAGCAAGTTGCCCAGGGTCTGACACATACAGGAAATGATGGGTAAAGCTTCTCTACTAATCTCAGGTTTTCCATCACCTTGTTCTCACCTGGATGGTAAAGAGGCAGATGGCTGCCCATTTATTCAGTCAGCTGACGCTTATTGAGCACTTGCCACATTCCAGGTCCAGGCGTTAGGACTGGCGAGCGATATGGAGGGCCCAGTCTAGAGCAGAGGGGAGCAGTGGACTGAGTCGGGTGGGAAAGGAGGCTGGAGAGGAAAGAGGGAGGCAAGGCCAGCAGGCGCCAGCAGCTCCAGGTACCTAGGCTGCCTCCTCCCTCCCAGTCAGCTGGTGTCCGTCTCTTGCAGAGTCAGGGCTGGAATATTACCCCCCTTCTCAGTACCTGCTGCCAGTCCTGGAGCAAGATGGAGCCGAGAACTCCCAGGACAGCCCCAGTGGGCCCATGGACAGGTTCTCTAGGGCAGAGGTAGAGTGGCAGGTAAGGCGCACCTGCCTGCAGGCATGTGGGGGGGGAGGGTAGTGCGGGGGGCCCTGGGCATTGGGGGGATGTTTAGAGCTGCAGCCTGTGGATTCCTCCATCAAACTAGAATTCACCTCCATTCAGACTGATGTGCTCAGATGCTTTCGCAGCCACCTCACCTCACTAGCTCACCAAACGTCAGCTGCAGCATGCTCCTCTCTGTTCCTGAACCCCTTGGGGCCTTTGAACACGCAGTTCCCCCATCTGGAATTCTCCCCACTCACTTTCTCCTGCTAACTCAGTGTCGTCCTGCAGTTCTGAGTTTAAACAGCATGTCCCTGCCACACCAGCTCTTCTCTTACGTGTTCTCAGAGCACCCTGTACATTTCCTGGGGAGCACTTATCACAGCTCTAAATTAAATGAAGAATTATATGGGAAATGATTTGTTTAACGTCTGTCTCCCCTGCTGAATGGAGCTTCGTGAGAGTGGGATCATGTCTGTGTTCATTGTTGTCTCTCAACAAATACTTCTTGCCTCTATGCCACTCGCTGTACAGGACGCCTGTCACGCTCTCAGTCTAGAGAAGATGTCAGACAGGCACACATGTCATCAGCATCAGCACCAGGCTGGCCCTCCCGGATGCCTGGCCATGAACTAGCTTAGGATGGGCACGGAGGAGGAAGCTCAGCAAGGGTTTGCCACGTTAGTTGGGGTGCACCTGATATTGGAGCCAGACAGAAACCACCTCTGGCTCCACCCTCTGCTCCCACACCAGAGGCTCACAAACCGGGGGCCCCTGTGGCTGGGAGGCGGAGGGCAATGCCAGGGGGAGCAGGGAGTGCCAGCTGCTGTGGGTTTGGCTTCATATCCTCCCATGACTCTTCTTCACCTCTGGTTCCCTGATGACACCCTTCCCTGTTGACCAGGACTGCTGTGAATGCTTTTGTAGTTGTATATTCCTCCTGACAGCTCCTGGGAATTAGAGAGGGAGGAGATTACTCTCCAGGAGAATTGTCCCAATTTATACTCTCGGAAGGTATTTGCAACATACGCTTCTGAGGAAGGATTAGCAGACTGAACATGGAAAGAACTCTTTAAAATTAATATGAAGCAGAAAACTATCCCAAGAGAAAAAATAGACTAAAGATATATCAACAGATACTTCACAGAATAAAACAGTACAAATGATCAATAAACTTGGAAAAATGCCCAACTTTGCTAGCAATCAGAGACACGTAAATTAAAACAAATATCATTTCCCCCCTCAGATTGGCATTAATTTTGCTTTGATAATTTCTGTTGGCCAGAGTGTGGGGAAACAGGTGGCCGTATAAATTGCTCTTGGGAATGGAAATTGGTATCCCCACTGTGGAAGATAACTTGACAATATATGTCAAAAGTTTTAATGGGCATAGCGCATGATCTAGAAGTTCCACTTCTCAGTACATACCCCAGCGAAACACTTGCACTAAGAGACATTTACAGTGATGTTCATTGCAGCCTTATTTGTATTAGTGAAATATTGGAAGCCCACTAAATATCTGTCAGTGGCAAGAAGCTGAACCAACTGTGTTGTATCCATACCATGAGATAGATCTATTCAGACTTGGGTCACAGGACATATTGACAAGTGAAAAAGACAAATTGTAGAACACAATGGATATAGTATATTTCCATTTTTATGTTTAAAAAGGTTCAAATAAATACATAAAAAAATAGATAGTAATTGCCAGTGGGTGGGAGGAGGGTTTGATGACAAAGGGGCATGAAAGGATTTTGGGGGGTGATGGAATACCATGCCCTCTTAGTCCTGCATCCCAAGAACTGTGTTGAAGACCTTCCTGTGGTGCCAGGGGCAGTGGTTTTCAACCCTGGGTCATCTGGAACCATCAGGGGCCCTTGATCAAAATACCCATCCCCCTCATCGCCACCCACCCACCATTCTGATGCAGTGCTCTGGGATGGGGCTGGGAGTCTGAATGATGTCAGGCTGCCCCCGTGATTCTGGTCCATGTGCCAGTGAGAACCACTACTGTCCACCTTCTCTTGACCACTGTCTTTTTTCCCCCCAGAATAGGTTCTCAGACTACGAGAAGAGGAAGGTAAGAAAATGCCTTTTCTCCTCTGTCACTTTTCTTCTCATTAAAGATCTCAATTATTATAAAAGATATGAGGAAACAAGTTCTTCCTGCTTCTAAATTAGAGGGTAGGCCGGCCCTGTGGCTTAAGGTTAAGTGCACACGCTCTGCTGCTGGCGGCCCGGGTTCGGATCCCGGGCGCGCACCCACTCACCGCTTCTCCGGCCATGCTGAGGCTGCGTCCCATGTACAGCAACTAGAAGGATGTGCAACTATGACATACAACTATCTACTGGGGCTTTGAGGAAAAAAAATAAATAAATAAATAAAATTATTAAAAAAATAAAAATAAAAAATAAATTAGAGGGTAAAGTAATGCTTTCCTCTTACTTAACATCGCCTCATCACATCCTCATCAGCCTCAGTGGGTGGTAGAGCATCTCCATTTGACAGATGAGAAGACTGAGGCTCAGAGAGGTTGAGCCTAACCCCAGACTCCAAACCTCTAGCCTCTGCCAGTGAACAGCCCGTTTTATTACAGTTGGGCCCTGGGCTGGGAGGGCCCCAGCATGGCAGGGTGGTGGTGCTCAGCGTTGGACCTACAGCCTGCACTGTTCAGAGTTGAGGTGTGGAATCACCCTGCTCCCGTGTCCTGACACCCACAGGGCCTGTGCCACCCATCACCAGGATCTACATTCTTGCAGGAACAGAAGATGCTGGAGAAACTGGAGTTTGAACGGCGCCTGGAACTCGGGCAGCGAGAGCATGCCCAGCTCCTTCAGCAGAGCAGCAGTCAGAAGGATGAGATCCTCCAGACAGTCAAGGAGGTTCGTGAGCGGCCGGGTGGGCTCAGGCCTGCCTGTGCACCCCCTACCAGGGCCTCCTGACTCAGACCGAGGTCCCTCTGAATTGGGAGGGCAGTGGGAGAAAGCTGTCTCACTCCATCCTCCAGGACCTGGTGGCCCTTACAGATCACCTAGTCCAGCCTCCTCGTGTGCAGTGGACACTCTGAGGCCTAGCGAGGGGAGGACCTGCTCCAGGGTCACACAGAGAGGGCTGGATGAGGGCAGGAAAGCTGGTCTCCTAACCCCAGTGCAGGGTCTCTCACTGCCCTGTGGTATCGAGGGGGTCCCAACTGCTCAGGACCTCCACCTGTCCTGCTGCAGGAGCAGTCCCGGCTGGAGCAGGGCCTCAGTGAGCGCCAGCGCTACCTCGACGCAGAGCGTCAGCAGCTGCAGGAGCAGCTGAAGCAGACGGAGCAGAACATCTCCAACCGGATCCAGAAGCTCCTGCAGGAGAATCAGAGGTCAGGCTCCCGGCCCCCTGGCCCCCAGACCCGGAGACCTTAACTGTGGTGCTCTCCGAGGAGCCCCGGATGGAGGTCCATTTCTCCCTCAGTCTCTACCCCTGCCCAAGGTTTCCATCGTTAGGATCCGCTCTTGGTGCTGTAATTTGCACCAACGTAAAGAGAAAAGAGTCTGATCTGGGCACAACCAGGTTTGTTTCTTGTCGTGGGACTGCCCCTGAGTGGACCTGTGGACTCCCACGTTTCCCATCTGTAAAATGAGTGGGTTTAACAAGAGAGTTGAGATCACATCCTGCTCCACTGTTTTGGGTTCCACCTAACCTGCTGCACTGAGGTCAGCCATTCACCCTGTCGTGAGGTTTGCAGTGACAAGTCCTGTCCAAGGTGAGAGCAGCTAGGAGCAGGTCTTGGTGGGGCTTGAGAGAAAGGGGGCCAGGTGGAGATCTCAGGAAGCCTGAGGACGGCTGGTTAGGGGACCCCTTGTGGAAAGGTTCCAGCAACAAGCTTTAGCCATACCCCTGTTGCTTCCAGGCTTCCTTTCTTCCATCCTCTGAGTCGCTTGCTCCTCGTCGTGCAGCAGTCACACAGGCCGCCCGCCGTGCACGTGCTCTCCCCACCGGGCCTCCTGCAGGGCTGCTGTCTGTTGGATGCTTCTCATGTGCCTAGCACTTGATGTATATTTTCTCACTCACTCTTTACAAAGACTCCGTGAAGGTTTTTGTATTATTATTAGTCCCATTTCACAGATGAGGAACTGGGGCTTGGAGTGGTTGAGTAACTGGCCTGAGAGCACAGCCCCTAAGTGGTAGAGCTAAGGCGCCCCCCAGCCCAGTTACTAAACCCGCTGTGCACAGCCGGTGCGGTAGGGGGCGAGCAGTTCTGTCAGAAACAGGCCTGCTGGGAACGATGCAGGGACCTTTCATGGTTGTCTCCGCAGGCAAAAGAAAAGTTCCGAGATTTTGAAGTCACTGGAAAATGAAAGGTAAGTGTTCTGCTCTAGCGCTTTCTGGGCACTGCCTTCCTTCCAAGGGTGCTGGGGCTGTGGGGAGGGTCTGAGGGGAGAAGGTCTTGTGATTCTCAAGGATCATGCCAGAAAGCTTTCCTAAAGCTTTGAACTAAAAAGAATCATTGCCTTCAAGTTTGTTAAAACACATATGCACTCCTGAGAAAAATTCAGAGACGTGCGTAAGAATGTATATATAATGTCCAACTATATTCCTAATATAAAAAATACACATTTCTGGGGGGGGGGAAGAATTTGTTCACATAGATTATGTACAAAGGAATAATCTGCAGCCATTAAATGTCTTATAGAAGAATATTCCTTATCAAGGGAGAATACAACATATTGCTAAGTGGAAAAGTGGTGGCTGCAATTAAAGCAGAACATATAGTGTATCATTTCTCAAACTCTGCATGTTTACTGCACTGAGGCGCACCACTTTAGTAATTAGAAAAGATGATAGGTGGGAGGGACGAACCCCATCACCCCATGCACCCCCTCCCCAAGGTATTAATGTGGACCCCTCCTGGTTGTCTGGGATCCCGAAGTAGCAGTGTGGACTTGGCTGCTGTCCTGTGAGAGCCCCCCGCCACAGTGGGCCCAGCCTTCCAGGCCCCTGCTGCCTGGGAAGGCCTCGTGCAGGGCGTTCCCCCGGGGTTGCAGGGTAGCCCCACCGCCTCGCCCACTCCAGCTGTGGTGCTGCGGTAGCTGGGAGTGGTCAAGGCCGAGCTGAGTTGTGGCCGGTGGCATCATTCAGCACACTGGCTGAGGCTGTCTGGGCTGCACCTGGGGTCCAGGGATGCGTCAGATAGGGCCTTCTCTTGAGCAGCCTGGGTCCTGGGCTGGAAGCAGAAGTGCTTAGACAATATATGCTGCTTCTACAAAGTCAGACCCTGCAGAGCTTTAAAGGATGTCGTCCCCTCCCAGCCGCTGCTGCCAGTGTGGTGTGGAACAAAAATGCACACACACGCAGCATGCACACATATACATGCAATCACCTTTTCTATTTTCACTTATTTTGTCATGGATGTATTGCCACTACAAAAACCTCATTGTTTATAATAGCTGTAGAGTATTCCGCTATAAGATTATATGTTTTTTTTTTTTTTGCTGAGGAAGATTAGCCCTGAGCATGTTATCTGTTACCAGTCTTCCTCGTTTTTCGCTTGAGGAAGATTAGCCCTGAGCTAACATCCGTGCCAGTTTTCCTCCACTTTGTATGTGGGTCGCCACCACAGCGTGGCTGATGAGTGGTGTAGGTCTGCTCCCGGGATCTGAACCCACAAACCTGGGGCACCAAAGTAGAACGCACCAAACTTAACCACTATGCCACAGGGCTGGCCCCTATCATGATTTTTTTAATTAGCCCTCTGTTCGTGGACATTGAAGTGGTTTCCGGTGTTTCATAATTACACAATATTACAGTGAACATCTTCCAGATATACCCTTATACACTTATGTAAATATTTCTGAAGGAAATATTCAAAGGGCATTTTGATAGGTATGGCCAAATTGCCTTCCAAAAAACATTTTGCCAGTTTACACGCCTCTCAACAATATATGAAAGTGTCCTCTTCTTCATTGCCAGCACCGGTGGTTATCAGTTTTCTTAATCTCAACCAACCTAAGTGAACGTTCATCTTTTTATGCAAGAAACTCTAAATTACGAGGCCAAAGGTTACCAGGGCCCCAGTGCGGGTACATGATACAGTGGACATTCAGAGAACATGCCTAGGCTGGCACATCAAGGAGGACTTCCTGAAGGAGGTGGTGTTCATCTGGGATCCCTGTTGGAAATGTTACTTTTACTGAATAAACGGTTGGATTTTTTTTTTTCTAGAATAAGAATGGAACAGTTGATGTCCATAACGCAGGAGGAGACAGAGAACCTGCGCCGACGTGAGATTGCCTGTGAGTCTCGGGGTGGGGAGTGGAGGGGGATCATGGGAACAGAGCTTGGCTGACTGTGCGGTCAGGGGTGGACAGCCCTCTCTCCATTGGTCGCATGTCAAGGACACTGAATGTTACCCCCAGGGAGGCGGAGTAAAGTCCAGTAATGGAGCATGGGCTCTGGGAACAGGCTGGGCTTGGATTCAGAATGCCAGCTCAGAAACGAGCCATGTAACCTCAGGGGCATTCCTGGTCCCTCACTGTCCTAAATCTCAGTTTCTTATCTGTAAAATGGGAGAACAATTATTACCTACCTCGTAGGGTCATTATGAGGATTAGATGAGATAATGCCTGGCACAAAGTGGGCATTTCACAAAGCATGCCTGTTAGAGTTTTTGTTATCAAGACCTATGGCTGGCCCTTCTTCTATTTCTGGGAGCTCTCCTTCCTGTCCTTCCCCAGGAGTGATCCTGGGGCTCCACATTGTTCACGCTAATGAGGGGAGGCCTCCCCGTGTGATCCTGAGAACATCCAGCCATTTGCCAAGGAAGGCTGAGGAGGCAGTTCCTTGTAGTTATTTAAAATAAGGAATAATTTTTTTTGGATCGTCCCGCTCTTCAGAGCCTGGGTACTAGGGTAGGGTATTCTATGCCCACTTGGGGTTTACTGAGTACGAGGCACTGTGCCAAGCACTTCCCATACACTGTTCATCTCACTACCTCCTACTGAGGTGTCATATCATTAATGTCCCTGTTTTAAAGGTCACTACTATCCACCATTTACAAAAGAAGGAAAATAGTGTTTGCATCTCCGGAAGGATGTTTATCAGATTAACTGATCAGCAATGGGATCAGTGTCAGGGGACTTTTGTTCTCACCTTTTCAAACTTCCCTATTGCTTAGCTCTTTAAAAATGAACATGTATTATTTTTATAACTAAAAATTTTCAATAAAAATAACAAAAAGGCAAGAAAAGGTAATAACCCAGGGTTGTGAGAGCGTGTGGTATCAGGCTGCCCTGTACACTGCCAAAGGGAGTATAAATCTGCAGGATCATTCTGGAGGGCGGAAACGGTAACTCTCATTATTCATGGGCTTAAAACTGTGCACTTCTAAAATTATTCTTAGGAAATAATCAGATGTGCACAAAGATGTTTGAGCAGGGGTGTTTATTGAAGTATCATTTAATAATTGCAAAAAGAATCCAAATGCCCCCAAATAGAGGATTATCTAAATAAACTTTGGCAATCCATGCACTGTAGTTCTCTGCAGCCATTAACATCATAACACCATGCTGACATGGTAAATTTTATGTTATATATATTTTATCACAATTAAAAAAATTAAAATGTTATCACACTAAACATACCACTTCACACTTTTTATGATTACTTCCCCCATTTTAACCACTTTTAATTGTACAGCTCTGTGGCATTAAGTACAACAGTTCCCCCCTTTTCCACAGGGGATACATTCCAAGACCCACCCCCCCGCCAATGAATGCCTGAAATGGTGGATAGTACCAAACCCTACATATACTGTGTTTTTTCCTATACATACTTACCTATGAAAAAGTTTAATTTATAAATTAGGCACAGTAAGAAATTAACAACAACTAATAATAAAATAGAACAATTATAACAATATACTATAATAAAAGTTACCGTAGATCTTGGCAACCTCAGCATATGATTTTCTTTTTTGCTGAGGAAGATTAGCCCTGAACTAACATCTGTGCCCATCTTCCTCTATGTTGTGTGTGGGATGTTGCCACAGCATGGCTTGATGAGCAGTGTGTAGGTCCATGCCCGGGGTCCGAACCCGTGAACCCTGGGCCACTGAAGTGGAGCACACGAACTTAACTACTATGCCACTGGGCTGGCCCCAGCATATGATTTTTTTTATTTCCTTATTAAGTTGAGAACTTTCACCTTTTCACTTAAAGGAAGTACTTTACAGCTTCTCTTTGGCATATCTGAATTGCCAACATCACTACTCTCACACTTCGGGGCTGTTTTTAAATGAAATAAGGGTTCCTTGAACACAAGCACTGCAATACCATCACAGTTGATCTGATAAAGGGATGATTCACATCCCAGGCAGTACAGAGTAGGACAACTCGAGGTTTCATCACACTACTCAGAGCAATGCACAATTTAAAACTTATGAATTGTTTATTTCTGGAATTTTCTATTAAATATTTTCAGACCAAGGTTGACCAGAGGTAACTGAAACCACGGAAAACGAAACCTCGGATATGGGGGGACCACAGTACATTCATCTTGTTGTGCAGCCATCACCATCACCCATCTCTAGAACTTTTTCATCTTCCCAAACTGAAAATCTGTACCCGATAAACAGCAACTCTCCATTTCCCTTACCCCAGACCCTGTAGAACCATGATTCTACTTTCTGTCTCTATGAATTTAACTGCTCTAAGTAACTCATATAAGTGAAATCATACAGTATTTGTCTTTTTGTGACTGTCTTCTTTCCCCTAGCATAATGTCCCCAAGTTACAGCCATGGGGTAGCTTATGTCAGAATTTCCTTCCTTTTTAAGGCTGAATAATATTCCAGTGTGTGGATAGACCATATTTTGTTTATCCGTTCATCAGTGGGCACTTGGGTTGTTTGCACCTTTTGGCTGTTGTGAATAATGCTGCTATGAACATGGGTGTGCAAATATCTTCTTGCGTCCCTACTTTCAATTCTTTCATTTTAATTTTTTTAAATCCATAAATGTGCATAAAAATTGACTGGAAAAATATATATCAAATATAATAATATCTCAGTGACAAGATTACGGAAGATTGTGTGTGTGTGTTGTTCAGCATTTTATAATTAGTCAGCCTTTCAAGCTTAAGTTGCTTCTGTAGTTTAAAAAGAAAGATCTAAGGTTGACTATCAGGTGGGTGACCAGGTGAACCCTCGGAGGCCAGCCCGGGAGCAGCGGCCCTGTCTTAGCACCCCCACCCCGTGTCTCCTCAGCCGCCATGCAGCAGATGCTGACCGAGAGCTGTAAGAACCAGCTCATCCAGGTGGCCTACGAGTCTCAGAGGCAGAACTTGGTCCAGCAGGCTTGTTCCAGGTAAGGTAAGAAGAGGCTTCCTGAGTGAGGGAGTTGGGGGGGCTGGCTCAGGGCCCAGGACCGTGGGGTGAGAGCTGGGCACTGGAATGCCCTGCCCCTGGCCGCCCCAGCCTCCACCATGATATCTGGGGCAAGTGCCGACTGGTCTGCGTGACTTGTCTAGCTAAATCTTGTGATTCTGTGTTGGGCTGTGATAAAGTGACGATAATCCCTACCACTTCTTGTGCACTGCCTGAGCGCCAGGCACTCGGCTAAGTGATGTGCGTTAGCTTATGGAATCTCTGAGGGACTGTATTGTTATTCACCCCATTTTACAGTCTCAGCTCAGGCTCGGAGAGACTGTGTCACACACCCAAGGAGACACAACTAGCCAGTGGCAGAGCCAGGATTCAAACCCAGGCCAAGTCGGGGGTGTGCTCTTGACGGCAGGGCTCTCGTCGATCTCTGAGGGTCCACGCAGGTCGGGAGCGAGGTGCACTGGAGGGGCTGCTGATGGGGCTGCTGATAGAGCTGCCTTCATGCCGATGGCCGCTCTGGGGCTGGTGCTCCAGGTTCACCATGGCGCTGTGGGTCTGTCTGTTGAAGGAGCCACAGGTGCCCGGCAGAGGCAGTTGAGAGAAGCTCAGTCAATGCTCAGAAGCCCCAGACAGGGACGGGCCAGCAGCCCTGGCTGCCCTCATGTTTCTCCTCCCATCTGGGTGGTTCTGCCACAGCTGCCACCCTCCCGGGCACCTGGAACATGTCAGCATCCTCTGTGTCCCCGCAGATGCAAGGATTGCTCCCCCCTTTCCCAGTGGTATGACATTGTGCTCAGGAGTACGGGCACTGGGGACAGACCTGGATTCAGGTCCCACTTCTGTTAGTGACTGTGAAGTCTTGGGCAAGTTACTTCCCTCTGTGAGCATAAATCACAGGACCTACCCCTCGAGTTGTTGGAGGATTTAATGTGCATTAATGAGCATAACGTCTGCCACGTAAGGATCCAATAATGACAGCTATTATTAGGAAACAAACTCAAAACCAACATTGTACCAAAGTACAGACACATGTGAGGTGAGGATTTTTGTGCCAGAATTACTAGGCTTGTTCTAGGGGGCTGAGAGCAGATCCACAGCCGGGGCAAGAAACGCTGGGGTGGAGGGTGCTTTCTCACAGCCCGAGTGGCTCCCCTGGGAGGTGGTGAGCTCCTCGTTGGTGGAGGCGGTTGGGCAGAGGCCAGGGCAACCAAGTCAGGGGCCTTGGTAGAGGGGATTCCAGTGGAGGCGAGAATGAGCAGACCTGGGTGATTGTCTCTCACAGCTCCTGAGACACACAGACTCTGTCCCCTTCTTTCCAGGGCCGTGAGATTCAGGCACTCTGTCCATGCCCAGCCCGGGACATGGCCCCCAGCAGGCGTTCCATAAGGACTGTTGAATGAATAAATGGTTTATCTTGACTCCTCCAAGGTCCCTGGCACATAATAGGTGCTCAGGAAATGTTCAGAGAGTGAATGATTTTGCTGTCTTTCTGGCAGCATGGCCGAAATGGATGAGCGGTTCCAACAGATTCTGTCGTGGCAGCAGATGGATCAGAACAAAGCCATCAGCCAGATCCTGCAGGAGGTGAGCCCTTGTCCAGGGCATGAGGGCAGGGGCTCGGGAGGGGCACAGAGAGCCCAGGGCAGAACATCAGAACTCTGCACGAAGCCATGTCTTACTTAGCTTGTATGACCAAAGATATTTGGTGAATTTAGAAATGTGCAAACCTTCAGGATGAGAGGAGTGGGGAGAGGCCTTTGGGTGGTAGTTTTCTGGTCCCTGAATTCTAGAGAAGCATCCTCTTCCCTGGCGGGCGCCCACTCCCCACGCTGTGTGGGGGGCTCCATCATAAGGAGAAGCACCCCCTTCCCTGGCAGGTGCCCACTCCCCATGCTCTGTGTGGGGCTCCATCCTAAGGATTTAAGGGGCAGGGGTTGATGGTGATCACACCATGGAGTTAGCCCACAGAGGGCCGAGGGATCTTGGACTTCTCACTTCCAACCCCCTGCACCTCTGTCTGCTCTCCTTCCGTCTTAGCTGGCGCATAGTAGGTGCTCAGTAGGGCTACCCAGTGGACCAGATGAGGAAGGACCCCCGTGACTTCCTCCCCTCCTCTGTCCATATTGTTTGGTCTCAGCTTTCCCATTCCTCGACCCTCGCATCACCTCCCTCCTTTCTTCCTTTGTGATGTCTTTCTGTCGCTGCTTGGCCCTTAGTTCCCCCCTCCCTTTCTCCCCAACTCCAATCTCTCTATTCTTCCAAAAGAGTTTGACTTAGTATTTGTGGGATGGTCTGAGGAAAACGCTCTGTTTCTTAGAGAGGGCGTTGTGGTTGCCGTGAGGCTCAGAGCTAGACAGACATGCACGTCCTAGCGCCCACCAGCTCACTTCTCTGATCCTCACTTTCCTGGTCTGTGAAACGGGACAGTAAAAGCACCCACATCGTCAGTGGTTGTGGAAATTCAGTGCCCCCTGTGGGGAGAGACTGGGCATAGTGTCAGCACTAGTAAACTCTCAGTAAATGGTATTTTAAAAACGAACAAGTGACCTGAAAAGTTATTTTCTCTCTAAGAAACAGAAAAGTCGTACATGAAGGGGTTTCTGACACAGATTTTGTTTTTTCCCCTGGCCAGGCCCCCTGGGAGAGGGAGGCTGCCCGGCCCGTGCTGAGCCGCCATGACCTCTGGATTTCTGTTGCAGAGTGCCATGCAGAGGGCCGCGTTCGAGGCTCTCCAGGCGAAGAAAGACCTGATGCTGCGGCAGATCAGGAACCAGGTGAGTGCTAGGGGTCGTGGGCCCCTCCGAGACCCGTACTGTCAGCCTGCAGAGAGTGCAAAGGTAGCTGACAGGGCAGCTGTTAAGGTTTGAATCCTGGCTCCTTCACTCGCCAGCTAAGCACAAGGTGTCCCCTTGGAACCCCCCTTTCCTCCCAGAACCCAGGTCAGGGGCGGTTGGGAGGTGCTCATCAGTGCCCTGCGTTTTCACGATTTCTCACAGTCCCTGGGGCTGAGGAGAAGGGCGGTGCTAACACGCGACCTTGACTGCTGGGCAGCCTCTGTGCTGATCCGCCCCAGGCAGGACTCCCTCGCTGGGAAAAGCAGCCGCCTCACACCCAGCACCCCCATCAGCTCACACTGAGGAACTGGGATGGACTGGATTTCCCACCTGAGTGGGCGGGGAGGTCCTTATGGCAGAGTGGCCTCGGCCTGGAGGATGGGGCTGTGCTCTGCTGACTTGCGGGCCGGCCATGGGCAGCTGCCACCGCTGTGGCCTCCCAGCCGCTCCATCAGTGGGGCTGTGTCTGACTCGCTGGGCTTTGCCGAGGGTGAGCGGGGTCGGCGGGCCGGAGGTAAAGTGAGCTTTCAGGCTTTGGGAACGCTCATCGCATCGTATTCAGCACACTTTGAATTTCACATTTTGCATGGTTTTTTTCCTTTTTATTCTTTCATTTTCTTTTTTGGCCAAAACCAACTTACCTTTTGATTTCCCTCTTTAATGTCAGTTCCACATAGCCGGACATGAAGCTCATTCCTCTGACCGGGGATTGGTGGGGTAATAGGAACTTAAGGACAAGGGTCTCATAAGGACATAGGCACAAGGTAGAGAGGTCCCTGGCTGTGGGGTCTGACCTCTAGGGCTAACAGCCCCCAGTCACACCCTGAGGGCGAACGGTGACCCCCAGACATTCTCACTGTGGGTGGTTTTGACCTACCAGGCCAGCTATTTCTCTTCAGACCCCGAGTGGAGACATCCCAGGGCAAGTGCTCACTCACTTAGGGCTCACTCACTGCTCTGTGTCCTTCAGCAAGTTATTTAACCTCTCTGAGCCTCCGTTTCTTTGTAAAATGGAAGCGATAATACCTCCTAGTAGCCAGGGGAGAGTTGATGAAATAATGCATATAAAGTGCACAGCACAGGCCTCATACACAGAAAGCCTCAATAAATGTCAGCTACTGCTATTATTATTATTATTCAGTCACTTCCGTTACCCTCTGCGACAGCTGTTTAGAGGAAGCAAGAGAGTTGGACCAGTGAGAGGCTCAGTGAGGATTCCATGTCCATTCCTTAGTCTGGCCTGAACCTTGCAGGAAAGCCCCTTCTTCATTCCACAAGCTTTGATCCACCTCCCACTCTGGGACGGGCCCTGTGCTCGGCTCTCCATCAACAGTACTGACCAGGCAAGCATGTCCACACCCCCAGAGCACTCAGTGCCATGAAGTAACTAATTTTTAAACCCCTGCTGATGAGGGTCCCGAAGCACACAGGTCCCTCCATTCCAGAGACCCCAGAAAGGCCAGACCCCACTTGGCCGTCAGAGAGTAGCAGCACAGAACTGAACCATGGTTAATGTGAATAAAAAACACCCTGTCTCGTCTTCTGTTTAGATTAAGTTAATAGAAACTGAGTTATTGCAGCTGACACAGCTGGAGTTAAAGAGGAAATCCCTGGACACAGAGGCACTCCAGGTATGTAGGGCACCCTGGCCTGCCCTGTCCCTCCCCTCCCCTGATGAAATCCCCCCGCTGCCCCCACCGCCTTTCAGCAGCTGTTCTCCAGCAGACAGGGCTGGTCTCCTCTGTGGCTGTGACTGGAGGATGCCCAGGCCCCAGAAGGCTGATGGGAGCACAGTCTGGGGGCCGAGCCCAGTGCAGGCCAAGGTTAGCGGTGGGGTCAGCCTGTTGCTAGGCAGGAGGGTCAGAGGAAGGAGGGTTTCATTGCCAAGGCTCACCCAGGCAACATCTCCATCTCTGCATTTTCTTTGTTTTGGAGCAGGGTTGCTGCTGAGGTCTGTATCTCTTTAAGCCATGCTTTTGGGGTGCTAGTTTCGACTCACGGGCTGACATCCTCTGGGGAAGGAGCTTTCTCCGTGTCCCAAGGCTGTCTGGAGGAGAGGGCCCGGATGCTACTGTGTCACTTCCTGCAGACAGCTTCTCTGTGAGCTCCAGCCTGGGTGTCCTGCTCACAGAGATGTGGGGGCAGCGGGGACGAGCAGACAGCTTTCTGGACTGCAAGTCTGGGCCCTGGGTTTTGTCTCAGCACAGTCTTGCTGAGGGACCTGGGCAGGTAGGGGAGGAGGGGCGGCCCTTTCCCTTCTCTGGCCCTCAGTCTCCCCAGTTGTACACCAGGGGGCTGGGTCAGTGGTGTGTGAGGACATGTGCCCCATGCTGGGCTTTCGGGCAGAGCCTTCTGTCTGTCCCTGTCCCTGTGTCTGTCCTCAGTGGAGAAGTCTTCAGTTGTCTCGTGAGCTTCTCAATGCAGTGAAAGAACGCTAGGGTCTGGCGTCCTGGTCTCGGGTCTGCCATGGATGTGCTGTGTGACCTTAGGCAGGTCACTTCCCCTCCCTGAGCCTCCATTTCTCCCCTCCATGAAATGGAAATAATCTTCCAGGCCCAGCCTGTGTCTTAGGGCCGTCAGAGAGGGCTGAACTAGCAAATGGAAAGCCCTTTGTGAGCCTGGAAGTGGTCTTCAGAGATGAGGGGGTCGGGGTAGCTCTCGGAGAAGATGTGGCCACTGAGCTTGGCGGGTGCCCTTGTCTCCTGCCCGTTAGAGCTTGTGGGGCTCCCACCTCAGGGGCTCCATGGGGTTTCCCAGAGTAAGAGATGGGTGGAACCCAAACACAGTCTGCATGTGCCTCCATCTGTGTAGAGCTTTCCAGACTGGTGTGGGGCTACACACCTACCCTGCCTGCCGTTTGCTTCTGCCCACATGCTCTGTAGTTGGTGAGATGAAGTCAAATACTTGTGCCTTGTCATTTCCTTTGTTTGACGTTTCCTACCGCTCCACCATCGTCAGTCGCTAGATCCCGTGCCTGGCTTTAGCCCCACGGGGAAGGGGGTTGCAGGCTTGGGAGAAAGTGGGAAGGGGATGCCCAGGGAAGAGAGGCCCCTCGGCTCTGTCCCCCAACTCAGCCTGAGACTGTGGGCAGAGCCTTGAATTGAGTCGGGCTGCCATGGTAAGAACCGAGTGCGGGAGGATCCTGCCACCGTGCCACGGGAACATCTGGTGCCGGGGTGCCGTGAGCTTCCAGCAGCACTGGCTGTGGTCTCGTGTTGCAGGAGATGATCTCGGAGCAGCGTTGGGCCCTCAGCAACCTGCTCCAGCAGCTGCTCAAAGAGAAGACGCAGCGAGAGGAGGAGCTCCGGGAAATCCTGGTGCGTTTGGCTTCTGCCTTCAGCATCGCACGTGGGTTTGCTCTCTCTAAACACGCTCCCTTTCTTAGAAACACGTTTATTATTCAAGTGATAGTTGTTCGTCAAAGAAAAATGGAAAGTACAAGGGAAAGGGTCACTTCTGAGAGTTATCTATTGCTAACATTTGGTATGTTCTCCAAACACTGTGATGCGTATTTATAGCTGTACACATATGTGCCTTTAAACAAAGAACAGTGCATACCCCGTTATAACCAGCTCATTTTCATCTGTTCTTCTCATGTCACTAAAGTGTCCCCTACGTTCTTTCCATGGCTGCATATGGATGGCCCATCCTTTAGCCGTTGTTCAGCATTTAGGCTATTTCTGGTTCTTTACCTGTGTAAGGATTGCTCTCTGACTGTCTTTGTAGCTAAGTACTGAGAACAGCCATGAGTATTTCCTCAGGACAATGCTCAAGAGAGGACTTACTGTGTCCAGGGCAGGCCGTTTAATAAGCCTTTAACAGGAGTTGTCCGACTGTCCCTTGTACCCAAATGGGTTTGACTCTGGCACATTATCAGGGTGGCAGAGCCTCATTTAGGGGGGCAGATTGGGGTCATTTCTTCCAGACCCTGGGTGCACCTGAGTGGTAAGGACAGAGGCCAAGCCCACCAGCTGGGGCTGAGAGGACTCAATTGCTCCCGTGTCATTGTTAATGCACCAAACGTCCTCTGAGCTCCACCGTGGGCCGGGCCCTGTGCAGGGTATGGAGGAGAGTGAGACTGGCTCTTCCTGGAGCCCCGCACGAGCCTGGATAGTGTGTTTGTGCTGGTTGGTAGCTGCCTGTTCCTCACGATGCCTCACTGCCGCTGCCCATATGTTGTGTTAACACGTGGACAGTGCCCCTGGCGTTGTGCAGGAGCAGCCATGTGCTGTGGCCCTGTGCTCCTGCCCTCAAGGGGCCTTGGGGGACTCACCATCAGGAGGAGGAGGCACCACCTCAGCAGAACATGACCTCAGGGTCATAGGCGCCAGAAGAGAGGTGTGTCACAGCCCGGGGAGCACCAGGGCCAGAAGAGGGGACCAGCTCGGAAAGGTCTAGGAGGGACCACCAAGGGCAGTCAGGCCCCCAGGGGACTGGGGAGATGCCTCTGTGAAATCCTGCTCCCCAGGCCGGCCCAGTGGTGTGAGTGGTTAAGTGCGCGCGCTCCGCTTCGGCGGCCCAGGGTTCATAGGTTCGGATCCTGGGCGCGCACTGACGCACCACTTGTCAAGCCATGCTGTGGCGGCGTCCCATATAATGTAGAGCAGGATGGGCACGGATGTTAGCTCAGGGCCAATCTTCCTCAGCAAAAATAGGAGGAGTGGTGACAGATGTTAGCTCAGGGCTGATCCTCCTCACAGAAAAAGAAAAAAAAAACCCTGCTCCCCGAGTCACCTCTGGCCCCAGCATGCGGCCGCAGTCCTGGATGGGCCGGCTGGTTGTTCAGAGCTCAGGCTCCAGAGCAAGACAGTGGTGGTCTGGATCCTGGCCCTGACACCGGGCAGGTTACCGATCACTCTGCACCTCAGTTTCCTCCCTTGTGAAGTGAAACCTACGTCACAGAGTTGTGAGGATTAAGGAAACCGGCATCTCGGGTGCACAGCACAGAGTGTGGCACACAGGGCTCTGAAAATGTCAGCCGCCGCAGCCGCTGTGTTGGTGGTGGTGTCGTGAGTCTACTGCTCTGTCCCCGTACCCAGAACAGCGCCTGGCCTGGAACAGCACTCAAGGAACGTTTGCCAAGTGACGGGATGGAGGAGTCAGTCTCGCCAGCATGTTTATAACTCCCCAACCTTGTCAGGACAGGGACACCCGCTCCGGAAGCTGAAGCTGTCCTTAGAATCCTCTTGCCCTCCCGCCTGGCACCCAGAGCCCCAGCCGAGCTCTGTGGGGGAAGGAGACGGCTGTGTGGTGCTTTGCTCTTCCCACAAGCCGATGAGAGGGTGTCCCTCCCGAGGGGTGGTGCACGGAGCGAGGCGCAGGTCCCCCACCAGCTGCGCGGTGTCTCTGAGGTCATTCCCAGCAGTGAACTGGGGATAGATCTGCTTCCTGCCTTTCCCGTGTCAGTAGGTTAAACAGCGAGATAGTAGTCGGTGGGAAAGTTCTTTGTAAAATACCACGTACCATCCACGTGCTGTAGTCACATCGTCACTGTCATCATTGTCCCTATTTAATGGTTTGTACCTAACAGTGTCTGCTTCATTCTTGGCAGATGGAGTTAGAAGCCAAAAGCGAAACTAAGCAGGAAAATTACTGGCTGATTCAGTATCAACGGCTTTTGAACCAGAAACCCTTGTCCCTGAAGCTGCAGGTGAGGACTGGGGCACCCACCCCCGCCGGGGAGCCAGGAGGGCCTCCTTCCAGAGGGCCCTCTCGTGCCTCGGCGATGCCCTGCTGCTTGATCTTTCCAGGTTAATTCCATTCATATTTCTGGTGACTCTAGTGCGCCAGGTCCTGTGCTAGGCCCCGGTGGGGACAGAGATGAGAGAGAGGGAGCTTTCATTCTGGCGAGGGGAAGACAGCTGCTGGTCACCGCTGTGTGGCGTGGAGACCTGTGAGCCCACAGTGGGGCCGAGCCAGCTGGGCACCCAGCGAGACGGGCGACAGCAGCTGTCACGAGCCCTGCTGTGGACAGGACAGATGGGGTCCCTCCCCACCTCCCTCTCACCTTCTCACACACACACACACACACACACACACACACACGCTTTTTTTAAAATAAAAACACAGTTTTTCTGTACAAACTATTTTGGCAGCTTTGTTTTTTCTCCTAACAATAGTGATGGGCAGTTCTCTGGTCCATACGTATAAATCTCCTCGTTGTTTCTAGACAGCTGCATAGTATTTAGTATGTGGATGAACCCTCATTATTTAAAGATTTTATTTATTTATTTTTCCCCCAAAGCCCCAGTAGATAGTTGTATGTCATAGCTGCATGTCCTTCCAGTTGCTGTATGTGGGACGCGGCCTCAGCATGGCCAGAGAAGCGGTGCGTCGGTGCGCGCCCGGGATCCGAACCCGGGCCGCCAGCAGCGGAGCGCGCGCACCCAACCGCCAAGCCACGGGGCCGGCCCCTGAACCCTCATTATTTAGACAGTCTCTCTTCGTGGGGACTTCATTTGCTTATCATTTTCACATTTACAAATAGAGTGGCAGTGAACTTCTCTGTGCATTTGTCTCTATGTGCTTACATATGCATTTTTGTAGGAAAAATTCCATGAATACATTTTACATATTAAGTTATATACATTCAGACCCTTTGTTTGCTGTTGTAAATAATGGCTTCTTGTTTCTCTTCCCGGTCGTGGTGCACTCGGCATTTCTTGTGGGTCTGCCGTGCAGGAAGAAGGCATGGAGCGCCAGCTGGCGGCCCTCCTGGTGGAGCTGTCGGCCGAGCACTACCTGCCCATCTTTGCCCACCACCGCATCTCGCTGGACATGCTGAGCCGGATGAGCCCTGGGGACCTGGCCAAGGTGGGGAGGAAGCAGCAGCCCCTCGGGGGAGGTTAGGGAAGTGGGAAGGGCCACTGGCCCCACCTGGCCAAGGGTTGACTTGCTCTCCATGCAGTTCTTGCTGAGATCTGCCGTTATCAAATGTCCCAGGGCCACCGTGCTTCCAGATGGCCAGAACACCTGCTCCTTCTGTCCCCACCACCTGGGCTTGCCTTGCATGCTGTCTGGCTAAGAAAATCCGGGCATGTGGGTCCTGCCGGCCCAAGACTGCCCCACCCGCTCAGATTGGATCTTCCCTCGGTAGCGCCAAGACAGGTCCTTGGAGGTCATCTGGTCCAGCCCCCACCCCACGGTTTTACAGATACCGTAACGGCTACACTGCCCGAGCATGGTTACGTTCTGGGTACCTTGCACTGATTGAGTTACTCTTCAGACGAGGCTGATAATGATGCTAGCCAACACTTGCCAGTGCCAGGTGCTGTTCTAAGCACTTTCACATCCTAACTCGTTAAATCCTCCTGACAACCTTGGCAGGCAGATGTCCTCGTCGTCCTCATTTTTCAGATGAGGAAACTGAGGCACAGCAAGGTAGTAATTTGCCTGAGGTCACACAGCAGAGCCGGGACCCAAGCCCGGACAGTCTGGTGCCGGAGTCCATGCTGTTTCCCACTCTTCTCTGCTGCCTGTCCCTCCGCAGATGCAGAAACCAAGGCTCAGAGGGCTACACGGGGCTGTGTTGCCAAGCTCAGGAGCTTGTGCTCTAGAGGCTGAGGGACTGTGACTCCGGTGCTGTCACTTCTCAGCAGCTTGACTTTGGTGTGAACCAGCCAACCGTGGGAACTGTGACCGAGGGTCCTGACTCCCCGGCCGTCACGGGGTGACATGAGGTTGTGCAGGTGAAGCTGGCAGCACCGTCCCTGGAGCAGGGGAAGCACCTGCCAAACCGTAGCTGTTTCTAGTGTTGGTGTCCTTTCAGGTCTCAGTCTCTCCCTCTGCCACACTGATTGCTGGGCCCCAGGGTACTAGCCCCAGTCAGCCTCTGTGTTTCCAGCTGAATATGCCAGAAGCCAGGAGTGAGGTGCTGCTGCATAGTGGGCTTCTGCCCAGCCCAGGCCATAATCTGCTCTTCCTTGTTCTGCAGGTGGGCGTCTCAGAGGCTGGCCTGCAGCACGAGATCCTGCGGAGGGTCCAGGAGCTGCCGGACGCAGCCAGGATCCACCCAGGTACTGACACCAGGGCCTCTCCTTAGCAGAGGCCCCAGCCTTACATGTGGACTGGGGTTGGGGGCGGTCATCTCTTACACTTCAGGACGAGTCCTAAGGGCTGGTTCCATCCCCTGCCGGTCCTTAAGTTTCCCTCCTACAAGAATAGGATTTAAAAGTGGGAAAAACAGGCCACAAAAATGGGAAAAAAGGGGAAGCTTCCTTGCAGCAGTGAGGGGCCCTCCTGGCTCCTGTCCCATATCTCTAAATGCACCCTACAGACACTGGGAACCACACACCCAAGATGCTTGAACTAGAGGGAGAAACCAGCCGTACCCGGTGCCCACGACGTGCCCAACACTGTGCCTGGGCAGGCCTGTGATTTGGACATGGATGCTGTTTGTGATGGGTTGTGAAGGGGTAAAGGCAGGTCATAAGGGCACTCTGCCCTGTCCAGAGGCCCAGGAGAAGGTAGATGCTGTGGCTGATGCAGGGGCAGGCATAGGGGTCGGGGGCTCTGGTGTGCTGAGCACTTTACACGGACCACGTCGTGTCAGCTTTGTTTCAACCCCATGAAGTGGGCACTCTTGTTGTCCTCATTTGAGGAATGAGGAAACTGAGGCAGAGAGAGGTCAACTTTTCTCCCGTGACTCCACACAGCTGGCGAATGGCTGAACCACTGGGCTTTACTACCAACCTCGGGAAGAGGCCGAGGGGCCTTGACGAGGGGAGGAAGCCTGGGGCCTGGAGCAAGGACAAAGGAGAGGACAGGCGTGGGCTGCCGGGCTGGGCAAGCCCACAGCACAGCCAGCCTCGGGCAGGCTCTGTTTGGGGCAGAGGCTGAAGGTGGACTTGCCTGGCCGGACCGCAAGGGTGAGGCAGGAGCTCAGGCTGCCCCGCAGAGAGGAGGCCCTGCGTCCCTGGGTGTCAGGGCTGGTGGCAGCGCCGTGACATCTGCAGACTCCAGCTTTCCAGCCAGTTTTACTCCAGGGACACTGACTGAACCTAAAAAATAGTCATTAAACTTCCAGCCCTTTAATATCGAGTAATGTGGAAATTAGGCACCTTCCTCGCCTTCCAGATGTTCCACCCGGCACTGGCCCCTCCCGCTCTCAGACTGGAGGTCAGGAAGAGTTTGGCATCGGGAGTCAGGGTCACGTCGGGCAAATAAACCTCCCTTGGGCGGGTGTCTCTTCACTGTGAGCCCCACCAGTATCCCCAGCAGTGGCTGTCCCCCACCATCCCCAGGTGCCGGGAGCTGCTCCCTGCTCAGAGTTAACCGGCGGCTTCTTCCCTATGCTAGAATGTCCATGCAGGTCCGTGCCCGATGCCTCGGCTGCTTAGGGCTTCTTCCGGATCGTGCCCACCCCGCAGGGAAGGGGGCTGTGGCGGGACGGCTCCTTCTCAGCTCCAGAAGGGACAGGAGATCCTGAGGCATTTTCCTGACAGTTCTCCTATTGCTCCCAGGACTCGATATGTGTTCTGTTAAATATAGAAGGGCCCCTTTACAGTGATGGTTGAGGGCACCATGATACCTTTAGAGGGCCTAGTGTTCCAATAGCTTTTAAAAAAGCTTCAGGTTTTTTCCAGTTATAAAGAATACTACTCATAATTCCAGCCATAGAATAAGTGAAAAATGTGAACCATGATTGGGATGGGGATCAGGGAGGAGAAAGACTCAGAGATGGTGATGGTGCACACTTCACGATAATGAAAGCGACTTTGCATTTTTTATGGGTCCGTTCTGATGTGGTACCCCGGGGCTGGATGCTGGCTCCAGGGCAGAGCGGTGGGCATGCTGGGGGCTCTGCCAGGGGGTCGGGAGGAGCAGCCTCGAGGGCTCTTCACTCTTCTCCCTGCTCCTCTGAGTCGCCTGATGGGCAGTGGCCCATCCTGTCTCCTGGGTGACCGGGTGGAGAAGCTGAGAGCATGGCCCAGTCCACCCCGGAGCCCTTTACCAAGGATTCCTGCACACGGCCCCACCACCAGATGGCCCTGTGGCCCTGGGCAAGTGACTTCCCCTCTCTGAACCTCAGATTTCTCATCTCTGAAAGTGACGAGCCCTACTTGCAGGGTGGCTGTGAAGGATCCTGGGGTTGTTAGGGTGAGAGGCCCTAGTTAACCAGCGCCGTGGCCATCCCTGCCAGCGTCCCCACACTCCCATTTTACAGATAGGGGAATGAGGCTCAGAAAAGAGAAATAAGAGGGTGTGTGGGAAGGCGGGCCCTTCCCTGAACTCTGAGGTCAGAGTGTCTCCCACCCTCCGGCTCACTGTCCACTCGGGGCAGGCAGGGCCAGGGAAGGCCCTGGGGGTTGGGATCGTTGGGGGATGACCCTGGCTCAGCCTATCCCTCTGGTCCCCTGCAGAGCTGCTGAAGCCACCCCAGGGTGAAGTCCTTGGGACCGTGGAGCCCACTGCTCCTGAGGAGCTTCCTGAGCCAGTGAGGCCCTCGGCTCCGCCCGCAGAGCTGGAGGTGCAGACCTCCGAATGTGTTGTGTGCCTGGAACGGGAGGTGAGTCTGGGGCAGCGGACGCAACCCCCATGCCCACCATTCCCCCTCCCACCATTCCCCCTCCCCCCGCGTGCCCCCCACCTGCGACCATCCGGAACCTCTCCAAGCACATGTATTCTTCCTCAACACTCTTCTAGTTATGTAAGTATACTGTGTTCATTAGAAATTTTGGAAAATACAGGAAAGGAAAAGATAGGAAATAAAAATGACCCATGATCCCATGACCCAAATATGAGCGATGCTAACATCAATTTCTGGGTCTTTTTTCAAAAAAGGGTTTTTTCCCCAGCTTAATAAATGCATTAAGGAAAATTTCTCAAGTCATTAAGTATCAATAACACAATTTTCTCTAAAGAGGCTTTTTAAAAACTGTCTTTTTAAAAAATTAGAAGAAAATTAACACTTATTGTAAAAATTAAACAACATAGCATATAAAATAAAAATCCTCCCTTCCCTCCTCCATGCAGTCCTACTTAGAACAGGCAACTGTGTTAGTGGTTTGATTACCCACGGTCTTTACTAGACCCAGGGATGCCATGATATGGAGGGCCTCGGTTATAAATTTAACCAAACCCCTGCTTTTGGGCCCCATAGGTGGCTTCCAGTTTCTTATTATTACCGGCAGTGCTTGCCAAGCAGCCCTGAACAGAGTTTGGAGCACATCCTTGATTATTTCCTTAGGATAAATTCCTAAAGAGGAAACACTGAAGCAAAGTGGAGACACGCTTCCATGGCTTTTGATCCATAATGTCGGAACGGTTCACAGACCGAGGGGCTGGGCAAGTGCACAAAAAACACAGCAATTGAGCACAACCTAGACATCCAGCAGGGCTGGGTCGATAGCTGCAGGCCTGCAGAGGGCGCCCACAGCCGCCACGCAGAGAGAGGGCAGGGAGAGTGTCCAGGATAGGTGGGGGTGTAGATTCCTGTGCTGTCTGAGTGGTGTGTGACGGCCACAGGATCAGACGTTTCAGGTAAAGAGCAGCAGGGGGGCCAGGGAGCCTCTGGTGCCCCATCCCCAGAACCAGGCAGGCCGGGCCCAGACGCCCTCGCTCTCTCCCCGCAGGCCCAGATGATCTTCCTCAGCTGCGGCCACGTCTGCTGCTGCCAGCAGTGCTGCCAGCCGCTGCGCACCTGCCCACTGTGCCGCCAGGAGATCGCCCAGCGCCTCCGCATCTACCACAGCAGCTGAGCGCCAGCCGCCAGCCCAGGCCCAGCCCCACCTCCACCACCTCTGCCCAGGGCTCCAGCTCACCCCCTGCTCTAGCCAGACTAGTACGACCCCCCTCCGTCCTGGCCGCTTTCCCCACAGCCTGGGAGGGCGTCTCCCACCCCAATCTCCAAGCACGCCTGGGCCAGGCGGGGCGGGCAGCGCCCTGACCGATGACGTAGCTGGTCTGCATCCTGTGGAGGAAGAGAGAGGACCCCTTATGGCACGAGGACAGGTTCTGGGGTCTGGAGAGGCAGCTGTGCCACATCGGGGCACAGAACTGAGTGTCCTGACCAGTGTGGCTCTGCCCTCCAAGAGCCTCCATGTCCTCATCAGGGGAGCAACTCGGCCGGTGGTGGGAGTGCAGGAGGGCGCTGGCGAGGGGAGGGGAGGCTATGGGTGGAGTTGGCGTGCGGTATGGCCATAGATCACCACAGGCTGTCCTGGGATTCACCAGCTAGATGTGTTCAGCGCAGGCCTTGTACCACAAGCGACGCCACCCCTGCCTGCCTCCCCCTCTCCTCCCCAGCGCTCTGGGCCCCTCTGCTCTCCAGATCTACACCTCCTCACCCCACACAGCTCACAGGCAGGCAATGAGCTTTGCAGACCCAAAGCAGAACATCAATAAATCCACCCCTAGCCTGCTCCCTTCGAGTCATCACTGGGTCTTGACTTTCAAGCCCATGCGGTTGTGCAGGTTGTTCATTGCACAGTTCTACAAGGAGCCACGTGCCGTGTACTTGCTGTAGAGTTGCAAGTTTATTGTGCATTTTCTGGCTGATAGTTTTGAGCCAAGGGCGGCTTTTTCTCTGGGCCAGAGGTAGGCCTACTTGGGGCGCCAGGGCTCTGCCTCCAGCTGACTCTGACTGAGGCCAGCCTTCCAGACTCTATCTCCGCACCTATTCAAGATGGGACATGATGGGGCCCTGATGTGGGCCAGTGGCACTGAGCACTGAGTGCTCACTTCAGGGGCAGTGCCCTGAGGCGGCTGGATGCAGGGGATAGGCCCTGAGTTGGCAGAAGGAGCCCTGTCTCCCCTGGGCTTCAATTTCCCTACCTCATTCGGACCTTCAGTCCTCTAGGCTGAAACGGGGCGGGAGGAAGATCCTTGTGGTGTGAGTCCTGCTTTCCAGGCAGGAGCTGGGACCTCTTCCCAGAATGTCTTCCCCCTGGGAGCCTCTGATGGTCCCCCTCCCCACATACCCTCCTGGGCTCCACTTGGCCGAGAGGGGAGACTGAGGCCTGAGATGGGCAGAGCCACTTTGCAGAGCACGACATTGTGTAGATCTCCTTGAATCCTCACCAGGCCCTGGGAGAAGGGGCTATTATGATCTCTTTATCAGATGAGGAGCCTGAGGCTGGGTTTAGTGACTTGCCAAGGACAACAGGGAGAGCCCCACAGGCCCTGCTGTTTTCTCACCTGAGTCTTTGTTGACAAGCCCTCGGCCACTGGCCACCATGTACAGGCTGGCACCAGGGAAGCCAGTTTCCCCCAAGGTGATTGGCTGCTATTCCACCCAGGAGGGACATGTTTTTACCCATGGATGGGGCAACCCATCCCTACCAGCTGTGGGGGGTGGGGGGGCTGTCCCCATGCCCCATAACCGCAGCCAAGGTTGCCCACCTTCCTGGGCCTCAGTGTACACGTTGGTGAGATGGTAGTGAGGATGGTCCCCACCTCCTGGAGCTGCCGTGAGGCTCCTGGGCCTGCACGGGAAGTGCACGGCCCACGGCAGGTGCTCAGGAAGTGCTAGCTGTGTGATCAGGAGTCGACGCTGGCGTCACTGTTTGGATCCAGCAAGAGCCCAGGGCCCGCCCTGCTGCGGATGCCCCAGGGCCAAGTGGCCTTAAAGCTGCTGATGTCCCTCTTGGGCTCACCGTTGCCCAGGCTGCCTAAGGAGCACCCTGCACGGATCCAGCTGAGGAAGCCTCCTGAGCCGCCATCAGGCTAGTCACCTACACACTCTGCGTCCCTTCTCTCGGAGCCTGTTTCCTCCTCTGTAAACTGGGATAAGAAGAACTCTGACCTGGCGCCTAGAGGTACTCGGTCAGGCCAGGAGCCCAGAAAGCCAAGGCGAGCGGGCGCTCCTAGACACAGTCTCAGCCCAGGCCTCCCGCTGCCCGCACCACACACAGGCCACTGGCTTTAAATAAAGCATTTATTGATTAGTAGAAGCTTAAACAGTTTGCATAATATTTTCAATACGTTATCTGGAAAGGATGATTGAAAAACCCCAAAAGAAGGCACTAGAAGAGAGCATCTTAAGACGGAATGTGTTGGTAGAAGAGGTGAGGCGTTTTGAGATTAGGGCTGGGGGGACTGGGGAGTCCCTGAGCTCCAGCGACCAGCACACGTCCTGTGGGTCCAAGGCCCTGGCCCCGGGGAAGTGGATCAAGGGGACGGAGGAGGCAGGGCTGGGGGACCCCACTGTGAGGACCCTGGAGTCGGGTTCTACCCTGCCTACCCTCCCCTCAAAGGAGCAGGGGAGGGAGCCTGGCAAGGCCCGGAGGTCCCAGCCCCTGGGGACGGCGGTTGCCAGGCTGGGGCTGCCTCGGCTTGACCCTCACCCCCAGGAGCAGGAGGCTGAGGAAGGAGGACATTTGAAAAGGGGCCTGGAGTTTTCAGAGAGAGGCGACTTGGTGACTCAGAGGAAGCAGGGGCCAAGCCACAGCCCGGCTCCAAATCAGAGTGGCCACCAGCAGTGCCCCGAGGAGCCTCCGCCCCTCAGGAGCCCACCAGCTCCGTCAGTGGACAGCGCGTACCTTGGAGGTGGCCCGCAGAAGACAGAGCCCACACCCACTAAACCCCGCCTCTGAGCAACGTGCCACCCTCCCCCCAGCCCAGCCCAGCCCAGAGTGAGAGCACAAAAGGGGGGACAAGGGGACGGAGGGACCCCCAGAGACTGGATCCCAGCAAGTGGCTGAGACTGGAGGGGTCGGGGGTGGCAAAGGCCTGCTCGGGCTTCCAGCACCCTCCCTCTGCCATCACCTGCCTCGCAGACACTCCCAATGACACCTACTCCTCCTCCCTCGGGACACTTCCTCTCCCCAGACCAGCACATTCCGGGCCTTTCTCATTGCACCCCCAGACCAATAGCCCTATCCCCCCTGTGAGGCACCCCCAGCATGAAGACCCCTCCTCGAACCTCCCGTCACCTGGGGCAAGGAAGGCGAGGCCAGTGCCCTCTCCGAAAGAAAGTGCCCTCTGGGGCCCAGCCCGGAGGGGCGGGGAGGGAGCGGGCTCAGAGGTGGGCCTCAGCGCTCCCTCTTCCCAGTTCCAATGAGCCCCTTGTGGCGAGGGGAGGATGCACGGTCTCTGAGTCACAGCAAACAATGCCTTTACCTCCCTCTTTCCAAGGATGGCAAGACCCACAAGGGAAAGAGGCCACAGAGGAAGGGCAGGAAGAGAAGACCCAGGGACCCAGGGGCTAGCAGACGTTCCCCAGCCCCTCAGCTGTGCCCAGCCCCCAGCACCAGGAGGAAAGCCGAGATCATCCCACAGAAGAGCAAACGGAGCAACAAAGTGTGACGGAGCCCAGTAAAGTGACTGAGGTGGGCCCGTCGCTGCCCAGCCCTGGAGGTGCCGTACCAGCCCTGCCCGCCTCCACTAGAAGGCACAGGTCTGGTGCTCCCTGCCCAGAGCAGAGCCTGCAGTGCCCCGTAGGCAGGGGCCCTGTGCCATGTCCAACAGAGACTCGGGGGTGAACAGCCTAGAACTCAGTCTGCACCCCTGCACTGTCCTCAGTGGTGGTGTGGATGGGGGGGCGGCCCCCAGGGCTGGACACCTGCTCCCCGGTCTCCTGGTCGCTGGGCTTGGGAGGCTCGAGGTCCACAGCCTTTCCAGGTGGGAGCTGCCGGAGCGGCGAGGCAGGTGGCGAGGAGGCCTCAGGGGCTGCCACGGGCTGGGGGCTCTCCGGCTGGGGGCTCTCTAGCGTGGGGGCCCCATTGAGCAGGGGGCCGGCCGGCGCGGGGCTCTCGGCCCGCACATCCTGGGCCAGCAGGCCACGGAGCTCAGTGACACTGTCCGGGGACGCAGGTGATGGCTCAGGGCCAGCCTCGAAGGGCAGCCCTGCCTCCTCGTCCTGGACCACAGACACCACCTGCTTGCCGCGCCGTCGCTTCTCTGAGAGAGTGGCTACCTCCGGGACGCTGGGGCTGCCACCGTCCCCACCGCTGCCACCGTACTCCTCCCCCCAGTCGATGGGCGCGCCCTCGGCCAGGAGGTGCAGGTTGGGGTCGCTGTTGTGCATGACCACGCTGTCCCGGTACAGGTTGTGCTTCCTCTGCACGGCGGCCTCCTTCACGGCTGCGGGGCCGAAAGTGAGGTCAGGACGTTCACCACGGGAACATGGCCGTCAGCACGCCCTACACCGTGCCCAGTGTGACCCGCAGCATCCCCCAGAGGCCTCTCCACAGCCTGAGTGGGTGTCGTGATGGGGACATGACTTACTCCAGGCCTTGCTGCCGGGAAGGAGGAGCTGTGACCCGAACCCCGAGCCCAAGCTAGAAACCACCGTGTGTGTCACTCTGTTACTCATCCAACACTCCCCACAATGCCAACGACCCACAAAGAAACTAAGGCCCAGAGATGCGATGTTACCTTCCTGGGCCACACGTGGGCCTAGGTTTCATGCTTTTCTTTGCAGCTGAGCTGCCCCACCAGGAAACCCTCTGGGAGGCCCCCTCCATCCCCTCCTGGCAGTAAGAATCCCAAGGGCAGTGCAGCACTGGGGTTGGGGGCAGCTGGCCCTCCCGGGTGGTGGGGCCACACGTACCCTGCAGGATGTCCTTCATGACCGTCTGCAGCACCACCTCCTCGTACGTGTTCTCCACCAGGATGAACCTGGCAAAGTCCTCAAAGATCAGCTCCTGGAACCGGGGCAGCTCCTGGGGGGCAGGGCGGGCGCAGGGGCAGAGAGAGGGACAGTCAGGGTCTCGAGTCCCATCTGGCCAGCTAGGCAGGCCTCCGCGGGCTCTCAGGGAGCAGAGGGCCGAGGCCCAAGGGGCTGGAGTGGTGGGGTGAGCAGGGGCAGGGGTGCTCACCGACTTGCAGGTGGGGGCCAGCTTCCTGAGCAGGAACGGGATGGTGATCTGCAGCAGGGCCTCCCGAAAGAAGCGCTTCCGCACGGTGCTGCTGTCGTAGTCGTATTTCTGCGGGAGCGCGGCCGGGTCAGCGGGCCCCACTGGCCCTCCGCCCTGAGCCTCAGTGTCCTCACCTGCACAAGGGGTCGGAGGCGCCTCCCGTAGGGGCAGCAACCCTGGTGCCAGCCCAGGACTAGGCTCAGGGCTCGGCCACACTTAGGAGAGGGCCGGGCCGGGCGGGCGCTCACCTTCAGCACCCGCTCCAGGATCCGCTGGATGGACTTGCACAGCTCCTCTTTGGTGGGCCCCTTCCCCAGCTCCTGGTGCAGGAGGGTCTCAAAGGTGTACACAGCGTTGTCCATTTGCTGCGGGGCAACCAAGGCACTTGAAGGCCCAGAGTGACCCCAGCCCTTCGGGCTAGCCTCTGAGGGGCTCCTCAACCAGCCGCCCCAGGCCTGCCTGGGAGGCGTGGGGGCACCTGTGTGCTCATTCACCTGTTCACTCACCCACATCTTTACTGAGTGCCTACTGTGTGCTGGCACAGTGCTGGCTACCAGGGCCAGTCCCTGACTCAAGGAAACAGGAAACAGAGGTCCTGGGCCCTGCAGGAAGGGGTTTGGGGAGCAAGGAGGGCTTCCCGGAGGAAGGGAACTCTAAGCCAAGACCTGAAAAGTGAGTCCGGATTAGCCAGGTGAACAGAGGGACAGGTGTTCCAAGAAGATGGGAGAGCAGCACAGCATGTGTGGAGGGCGGGGCCCAGTTAAGAGTGAGGCTGGCATGGGGGAGACAGGGACCTGCGAAGGCAGGTATGGAGTGAGCATGGGTGCGGGGTGAGCTGGGGCAGCAGCCTCAGGCTCACCTCACGCATGTGGATCTGGGCTCGCTGCTTGAACACAGACGTGCTGGAGACGTCGAAACGCTGCTGCAGCCCATCGAGCCGCAGCGGCTCCATCTTCTCGTAGCAGCTCTGCATCTTGAGGGGGTGGTACGCCAGCTGGGACAGCTTCTCCATGTACTGCAGGGAGGCAGGGATGCCTGAGCTGAGCTGGGGCCGCCTGAGGGGTGAGGCAGCCTCCACAGACCCATGCCTTGCGTGGGCCCTCAGAGAGCAGGCCCTAGAGCTGGCACCAGCGCCAGGGAAGGACACCTAGGTGTGGTGCCCACAAGGGCAAGCCCTGAAGGGCCCGGGACAGGAAGGGTGAGGATCTGAAGTCAGGAGGAGCATGGTCCAGCAGCACAATGCCGTGGAGAGAGGCCAGCCTGGGTGCTGGAAGAAGGGTTCTCGGGCCCTTCTGCGGCACTGGGTGACCTTGGGCAAGTCGCTCACCCTCTCTGAGCCTCGGTTTCCTCAGCCTCAAAATCAAGAGATAGTATTTCATGATCCCTAAGGTCCTTTCTGGTTCTCAAATTCTATGATTATTATCTGCAGACTCCTCAATTTGTGGTGTGGTAGAGGTAGCTAAGATTACAAGATCAGTTCTCTCTGCACCTGACAACAATGTGGGGCTCCAGGCAGCCGAGTACCCCAATATGGGGTCTGTGAAAGGGCAGTGACCCCGAGAACCAGCTAACTGAGGAGCAGTGGGAGAGACGGGCTGTCTCCATGTGTGGGGTACATGAAGTGGCATCTATGTATTTAATTCTACCTTGATAATTACGTTACTCATATCTGAAGCTTGCCTTTCTTTCCATCTTTTCCTCCTTCCCTCCCTCTCTCTCTCTTAAGTTCTTTGCCATTTAACAACCCAGTTGGGGGCTGGCCCAGTGGTGCAGCGGTTAAGTTCACGTGTTCCGCTTCAGCGGCCCAGGGTTCGCCGGTTTGGATCCTGAGCGCAGACCTACTCACCACTCATCAAGCCATGCTCTGGCGGTGTCCCATATAGAAGAGCTACAACTCTACAACTATGACACACAACTATGTACTGGGGCTTTGGGGAGAAAAAAGAAAAAAAAAAAATAATAACCACTTTGCTTACAAAGGCCGGTGGCGGGGGGTTAAGGTCCCCCTCCTTCCTAACTACTGGCCCCCAACAGGACAGCCCATAGCTCTGGCCTCCCGTGCTCGGCCCTCGGTCTCCAGCAGAATCTCTGTTTACAGGTTACGCCCAGGAGGGGAGTGGCCCGCTCCGGATCACAGTGAGGGCCTGATGGGGCAGACCAGACCCAAACCCAAGAGCCGCTCCCCTCCCCGGGGGCTGGGTCGCCTCACCTCGCCCAGCTTATCGATGCCGCCCTCGTTGATGACATTCAGGTTCATGTCGGTGACCTCCTTGAAGAAGACGTCCCGCACCTCGGTGAAGCCCTGGCTGGTGGGCACCATCAGGGCCTCCAGGATGGACGGGATATAGGGCTGCACGTGGTTCCGGACACACACCTCCGCCTTGGGGAGGATGAAGGCTGCGCCCAGAGGGAGCTGTTAGCTCACACCTCCCCCGGAGCAACTCCCGGTCCTTCCAGAACCCCAGGCTCGAGGCAGGCTGTTGCATTATTTTTTACAGAAAACCACTGGTGACAACATTAGCAAACTGGATGATTCTAGAGAAACAGTTGCCAAAGATAATAAATCCATGCAGCAAACATAGCGGTACTCTGAGATCGGACCCTGATATTTTTGAAATTACAATGGCAAGAAACTAAGGGGAATGCTAGTCTAAAGGTCTGTCAGTTTTTCTACTTAGCTAGAGGTAGAGAAAAACTCATCTTTGGGGGTCTTGCTCCTTTGTTTAAAAAAAAAAAAAGCACTTCAGTAGATTTGATGAGCCTCTGGGTTTTGCAAACACAGAGACCGATCCTGCTCTGGAACGGTGGAGCCCGGCTTAGCGTCCTACGTAAAGGCTGCTTCCCCGTGGGCAGGGACCATCTCCGGGACATTCTGACCAAGGCATTTGTACCCAGGGAGTCTTTTAATGTCCCTCTCTCTCCTCTGCCCAGCTAATGTTGTTTATTCCAGGAAATAAATGCCAACTCTGGGCGTCCTAGCTAGCTCATAGTGAATACAGCGGGGAGAGAATAACCCTCGGGCAGCTGACAACCACTAAAACCACACACAGCCAGTGTGTTACAGGTGACAAGGGAGCGAAAGGATCCCATCTGGCTGAGAACAGAAAAGAGCGTAAACTGACCCAGAAAAGCCAGACTTGCCGAGAAAGCGATCATCACCAAATTAAGCTGACATCTGCTCAACAACACGTGAAAATCTGTGATTGACCAAAGATGAGAAGAAGGCCTGAACCTCCTGGACAGAAATTTAGATCTTTAAGATCTAGGTTTACAGAAATAACAGCCCCAAAACAACTCACAGGAGTTGGAAGAGAACAATGCTCAGATTTGACTTTGATCTTTTGAAACAATCAATGAATCAAGTCATTGCTGTGAAATGTACACGAATCCATGAAATAGACAGGAGGTCGGCCCTGGCCCAGGAGGGCCCGAGGTCCCAGCGTGTCTGCCTGGCAATGACAAGCACGGCGGGCGGCCTGCCTACCTCGGATCTTGCTGGCCAGGTGCTCCTTGGAGGTGATGATCTGGTCCATGTCGGTGCGGATGGCGGCCTCCATGGCCGGCCGGGCCAGCTGTAGCTTGGACAGCACGGCCTCAAGGCGTGCCTTGGCCTGCTCGTACACCATGCGGTACACGGCGTCCGAGATCTGCGGGCAGAGCCGCGGCGTCAGCGCCAGGCTGAGGGGGCCAGACAGCTGCAAGCCCCCCGCCCCTGCTCCCGGGCCCAGGCCGGCCCACCTGGATCCACTGCCGCTGTCGCTCCTGCGGTTTCCCCTTCAGCCGTGGGGCGAGCTCCGCCTTCAGCTCAGGGCCCAGCTCCTCCATCACCAGGTTTGTCAGGATCTACGACCGGGAGGCACAAGCCAGGCAGCGCTTGGACCATGTCCAGCTGATACGTTTCTCTCCGTGTTCCGGCAAGTCCAGCCACTCAAGCTCCCACCTCCTCGGGGGTTGGCCCTTTGCTCCACATCTCCACTGAGCTTCTCTCCTGAGTATCATTCCCACAGGTCCCAGCTTATCTGCTGGGGTGTCCTGCAGGATCCTCAGGCTCAGGGGTCCCACCTCAGGGCCTTTGCACGTGCTGCCTTCCTGTCTGGAATACCACACCCCCTTCCCTCTTGCCTAAGCATGGAAGTGTTTGTGTGTGTGTAAAATGTGTGTTTCTCCTGCTGCACAGAGAGCCCGCTGAGGCCCAGGGCTACATCCCTCTTGTTCACAGTGGCACCCTGGCACCTGGTCCAGGGTAAGTGTTCAGTAAATGACTGAGCAGAGTAACAAGTACCTCAACCTGCATGACCCACTCAGCCTCCACCTGTTTGAATCTGAGCTTGTCATCTCCGCCCAAACCTACAGTGCCCCAGAGCCCTGTCGGTGTCCAGCCCCACCCTCTGGACCCAGGGTGACTTCCACAGTCTCCCCACCAGCCCTCCCAGCCTCACCTGCACCTCATTCCCACACAGCATCTCCCAGGTGCCGTACAGCTCCTTCGACTGGCGGTACATGCGGATGGCGTCCGTGAATGCAGGGCCCTCCACCTTGGAGTCCTCGGGGATCCCTACTCAGGAGAGGGAGGGAGTGAGGAGGTCGGCAGGACGGCCCAGCAGCCTCCACCAAGACCAACTGACTGCCGGCCAAACCCCACCCCCCCGAACCCCACCTGCGACCCCCACAGCCCCTGTAGTAACTGTGGCAGGAGTAGATGCAGTGACCGTCACAGCGATGATAACCCACCACCAACAGCAGCGAGGCAATCCTCCTTATCGTCTCAAATCCTCCCACCCACCCCAAGACATGGGCACTGTCATTAACCCGACTTCACAGACGAAAAAACAAACAGGCTCCAAGGTCAGGCCACTGCCAAGGGTCCAAGGGCGGCGAGTGGCAGGGCCACGACTAGAGGCCACCCCGCCCCGACAGGAGAGGCCGCCCAGCACAGCGGAGAGGGCGCCCTCGTTCCGGTCCTGCTCCCTCCCCTTACTGTCTGCATCCGGGGCCTGCACACTTTCCCTGCCAAGGGCCAGACAGTAAACATTTGCAGTTCTGCATGCCAGACGATCTCTGTTGCGACCACTCAACTCTGCCACTGCAGCGTGAAAGTGGCCACAGCCAATCTGTGAACAAACGAGCCGGCAAAACTTCATTTACAGAAATAGGCAATGGGCCGAAGGTGGCCCAGGGGCCAGAGTTTGCCAAGCTTTGTTCCAGATCACTGAACCCGAAAGGGCTTCGGTTTCCTCTTCTGAACAGCGGGAACAATGACCTGGCCTGGCCTCACACCCACTGTGAGGCACCGGGGGCCAGAGAGTGGGGACGGCCTGTGCATCGTGAAGTCCAGGGGCCTCAGCGCAGGCCCCGGGGCGGTACTGCATTGTTCTTCTTTTTTTTTTGTGAGGAAGATCAGCCCTGAGCTAACATCAATGCCAATCCTCTTCCTTTATTCCCCTTTTGCTCCCCAAAGCCCCAGTAGATAGTTGTATGTCATAGTTGCACATCCTTCTAGTTGCTGTATGTGGGACGCGGCCTCATCATGGCCGGAGAAGCGGTGCATCAGTGCACACCCGGGATCCGAACCCGGGCCACCCGTAGCGGAGCACGCGCACTTAACCGCTAAGCCACGGGGCCGGCCCTGCATCATTCTTTATTAGTAACTGCGCAGTGAACGGCTCTTGCTGCCCGGGGGCAGGCCCTGGGTCTGCCTTGTTCACCCCTGTGTGTCCAGGTCTGGCTAGAAAATACCATTTCTCTATTTTTGTTATTGCCGTGGGTGTTGGTGGCAGTGGCCCAGATGAGTTTGCCCACTTCCCCCGTGCTGGCAAGGTGGCTGGATGAGCAAGGCGTGGCCCTCCAGAATGGGTGCTGCGGGGACAAGCTGCAGGAAGTTGCAACATCCGACTTGGGGAAGAACGTGGTTCAACACCTCGGAGCCAGGCAGCAGGCGGCTCCGCTGGCCGCGAGCCTCCGACCGCTGTGTCCCCGGAGCCGAGGGAAGGGGAAACAGCAGCCTTGCCTCCAAAACCCCAGCTCCCACTGCGATGACTACGGGCTGAGTCACCCCCACAGAGAAAAAGCCCCTCTCTGGCGAGGGGAGGAACCCCCCCACATCCGGCTGACGGCGGGAATCACTGCCTGTCTGAGCTAGACGGGAGGTCAGCGGGGGGAAGCGGGCCCCGTCCCCATCCCCCCAGTGGCGGCTCCCTGGACTGGATGGGGACATTAGGGGGGGTCTCGTCCCTGTTGTTTCAGGACCTGAGATCAGGCAGGAGTGACTGGAGCAGAGCAGGGGTGTTCCAGCCGGGGCGCCTCGCAGAGGCCCTGGGGTGGGCGCTGCCCACCTGGGCCAGGGGAGGAAGGGGCACAGGTTCCCAGAGACCAGGTTTAGCCTGGAAAATCCGGGCGGTGCATTCTATGCAGCCTTTCTCGCATCAGGGCGTCTACATGCTACAGGCCACGAGTCAGGTGTGCAGGGCGGGGGCCGCTTTCCAGGTGTCTCCCCCACCCCCCAAATTCAAATGCTGAATTCCTAACCCCCAGTACCTCAGAATGTGACTGTGACTTAAAGAGGTGATTAAGTAAAGATGAGAGGGTTAGGCTGGGCCCTATCCAACATGACCGATGTCCTTATAAGAAAAGGACAGCTGGACACAGAAAACGTGCACACAGAGGGAGGACCGTGTGCCGACACAGGGAGGACCAAGTGCAGACACGGGGGAGACGGCCATCTGCGAGTCATGGAGAGAGGCCTCAGAAGAAATCAAACCTGCCGACACCTTGATCCTGGACTTCCAGCCTCCAGAACTGTGAGAAAATGAATTTCTGTTGTTTAAGCCCCCCAGTCTGCGGTACTTTGTTATGGCAGCCGAGCCAGCTAAGACATCAGCCCTGGGCTGAGACCTCGAAAAACTTCCCTTCTCTAATCCTCAAAACAGCCCTGTGAGGGACGGCTGTTCTCAGCCCCACTTCTCCCGATGAGGAGACAGGCTCAGAGAGGCAATGTTATTGGCATGAGGACACACAGCTAGGGAATGGCAGCACCATGGCTCAGATCAGGACTAGCTGCCTCCAGCCAGACCTGGAGACTTCCTGCCTGTGGGGTCCTCAGGGTCAGGCTGAGAAAGGAAACTGCATTCCTCAGTCCCGGGGGCAGGCAGAGGGGGACCACGGTCAGACAGGAAGAGGCCTTGACCTCGGCACCCCAGGCCCACCCCAGGGCTCAGCTCAGTGCCCCAGCTGCCTCTTGCCACCCCCAGCTGCTCCAGGAATGCAGGATGTGAGGGGGGCCCTGGGACGAGCTGGCGTCCACCCAGCTTGGCCTCCTTCCCCGCCCACCCCCCACTTCCTGGCAGTCCCCGGAGTGAGCAACTCCAGGCTCCAGAAATCCCAGGCCCTGCCTCCAAGGACACAGAGAACTTTCCCACAGTCCTCAAGGGGGAGGAAGGCTCATCCACAACCAGCCTTGTCAGCTCTGGAACACCTTCCCGCCTGAGGGCGCCCCTCTCCCCCTGCCTCCCCGCCAGCTCTCCCTGGCCCCCCTCCTGCCCACAGCACCCCACACCCAAGGGCGCCCCCTCCACCTCCCAGCTGAGCGCCCACTATGTGCCAGGCACGGGGCCAAGAGCACAACCGGAACCCGCTCATTTACTCCCCCCAATAATCCCGCCAGGTTGGAGCTCGTCATCATCGCACTGTGCTCACGGGGAAGCGAACGGCGGGCTCTTCTCCACCTTGTTCTGTCCCCACCCCCACCTGGCCTGGGGTCACCCTGCCAGGTCAGCCATTAGCCTTGGAAACCTGGAGAGGGTGGAGCAGGGCCAGGGACGGGGGAGGGAGGGAAGGAAGAGGGAGAAGGAGGGAGGGTGCCCGCGGCCAGGCAGCCAGAGCCCAGATCATCTCCGCCCAGTCCTGGCCCCACAGCCCACGGGGACCTGGGAACAGGAGGCCCTTTGTGGGCAGCAGGGCTGCGCCCAGGTGGCAGGGGCTGGCCTGACTGAAGACCTGGTCCCTCCCACCTGGCAGATTCCAGATGGGGCAGAGGCGGCTCTGGGGAGCTGAGAGGCGGGTGGGGTGAGCCAAGTCACCGCGGCAGCCCGGCCTCCCGGTGTGGGTGCCCACACCGTCCATCCACCGCGGTGTGGAGCTGTGCCCAAGGCCGGGAGGGTGGGGTGGGGGCGGGGGCAACAGCCTCCTTCTGCCGCATGGAGGCCAGGTCACCAGGATGGAAGTTCAGGATCCAGGACAAGGCAGAAAGACCCTCAGGGCCTCACCCTCCCCTCGGGAGACAATCATAAGCCTTTTTGATCAAACTCCTTAAAGCCCTACAAGGCCCACCTGACCTGACCCCAGTGCCCCCTCCAGCCCCCTTTCAGGTCAGCCCTTCCCCACTTCACGGCCTCGACACTGCTCTGGCCTCTGGGCCTCCCTTCAAGCTTGTTCCTTCCTGTCTGGAGCACTCCTTCCTCTACTGGAGGACTACTCATCCTTCAGGTCTCAGCTGAACCATCGCCTCCTCAAGGGAGCCGCCCTGATTGACCCCTCCTCATACACAGGATCAGCACCCCCCAGTACACACCCCCCCATGGCTCCCAGGGTGTCTCCTGCCCAGCACCCAGCGCAGCTGCAACTCATCACCCGCTGGTGTCCTCATCTGTTTAACATCTGTCTCCCCCGCCCCAGACTGCCGGCAGCATGGGGACAGGGACCATGTCTTGCTCCCTTGTTGCATCCTCAGTGCCCAGACACTAAAAATGTTTGTTGAACGAATGATTGAGCTGGAAGAGACCTCATAACTTTACAGATGAGAACACGGAGGCCCTGAGGGAGGAAGTGAACTCCCAGAATCCCAGGAAAGAAATGATATAATTAAAAAAAAAATCTTTACCAGTGGATTCTCACTGGGAATCCTCACAAACCTCTAAGACCCAGGAGGCATCATTATCCCCATTTTACAGAGGTTCCAAGAAGTAAGTCAGTCTCCTAAGGTCATGGTGCTAGAAAGTGGCAGAATCAGGATTGTGATTCTGTGACCCAGGGTCCAAGAACTCAACAAGTGTAGCCCTCTGAGAACAACTTCTGACATTTTTTCTGAGCAACACAGAATTATTTTCATCCAGCAAGAAGGTTAAGGGTAACATCACAATGGTTTCTTACAACCTCAGAAGGAAAATTACAACAGCTCACAGAGCAGGGTTGCCACACCGCACTCAGCCACTAGGTGTCACCATTCAGCACATAACCCAGGTAACGGCCCACCTGCCCCACAAAGGTGAGGCCACTCACCATTGTTGCAGTGCCGGATGCAGTCCTGCAGGACAGCCTGCCACTTGTCCTGCTCCGCTTCCGTCATCAGGCAGAAGTAGTAGTGACGTGCAGAGGGATGCCAGAGGATGAGCGGGAACTGCGTGGGGCACTTGAGGATGGGGGCGGTGCCTGATTTCGACGTGGTCCCTGTGGAGACAGCGTCTGCTGAGCAGCTGCCCTCTGCGGCCAGAGGAGGGCAGGCAGCTGATCCCTGGGCCCAGCTCTGAGGGGCAGGCTCAGGCCCAGAGAGGGCTAGCCTGTCCCGGGGTGACCAGAGAGACAGTGGGGAGGTAGCATCCTTCCTTCTCGCTGTGTCCTCCACAGCCTGGCTGAAGGAACCTCAGAATCCCCCAGCATCTATTCAGACCCGTTTCTTAGCACTGGTAATGTGGTCACATCCACCTCCCTCTTGGGGAAGGTTCTAAACGCCGTGCATGAGGCACAAATAACACAGGGCCAGACCCTCAGGGTCAAAGGCTGAGCCTTACCTTCTTGGGTTTCCTTCCAAATTTCAGCTGTGGAGGCCAAAGTGTGGTTTAAATGTCCAAGGGGGGCAGGAGGCATGGGAGTGGATAGAAAATGAAAAGGAGAATTTTCTCTCTCTTTCTGTTTTGTCCACATGGATATTTGAGATCCAGCGAGATAAGGGGTCCTGGGCTGTGACCTCCCCACTGTTGTTAATAATACGACAATGACAGTTCTTCTCTGCGCCCTGGCTCTGCGTCCCCTTGCTGGGCGCGGTGCACACAACACCTCCTGGGGTCTACACAACACTCCAAGGTCAGTCCTCGCAGTGCTGTGTTGCCCGAGAAGACACAGCAAAAACCAAGCCAGATCGGGGCTGGAAGCCAGGATTGCCGGATTCCAGCAGAGCCCCCAACCACACGGGGCGCTTTACTCCCAAGTCCTCTCCGGGGGCACAAGCTGCCCCCCAGGCTGGCATCTCCCCCTCCGCTTAGTTTCCCTGGGATCATATGAGAGGCAGAGGTGTTTATGTTAGGCTTCTGGAATCTCTGATGGGGGGCAGGGGGCGGGTAGAAACAGAACACCTAGAATAATTCCTCCAAATGCAGTACTGACTCAGCAGTTTACAAAGCAGAGTCATCTCGACCGTCTTCTCCTGGGAATCTCTCAAGGACTCCGGGAGGTGGGAAGGGCGGAGAGTGAGACCCTCACTGCACAACGTGATCCTAAGGCTTAGGAAGCAGGGGACCCAGTGGGGGGCCACACTGCTCCAGCCCCAATGCACTGGGTGGCCTCAGGCAAACCCCCTCTCAGGCCCACAAGGCCTCCCCTTCAAGGGCACCTGCTGCCAGCTCTAGGCCCAGCTGGTCTTTCTGCAAATGTGGAGCCTGGAGCTCTGGGATCAGGGCCGCCCTCTCCCCTGGCCAAATCCCCAGGCCTGTGCAGGGAATGTCGGCCAGGGACGCAGAGTCCTTTACCTGGTAAGGAGTTGCCAACCAGCTCCAGGTACTGATCCACGGAGGTGAGGATTTTGTAGCCTGCACTGTTGATGATGGCTCGGGGTGGGACCTGCCGCTCATAGGCCTGAGGAGGGGGCAAGAGAGATGGTCCATGGGGGTTATGGGTGTGGCCAAGCCCCAATCCCATCTCCAACTCTGGCTCCAGGGCCCTACTCAGTGTGGCCTGCCAAGGCGGGGATGAGAAGGGGGAGGGAGAAGAGGAGGAGGGAGAGAGGGAGAGGGCAGAGGAAGAGGAGTTTGACCAGCGCGGTGACTAGAGACAACATGGTATAGTGACCAGACTGGGCTCTGGGCTCCAATCCTGGCTCCACTGAGTACGTCTGTGTGATGAAAAAGTTCCTTCACCTCCTATACTTCAGCTTCCTCATCTGTAAAGCCAGGGTGACAACAGCTCCTACCTCCCAGGGCTGCGTGAGGCCTGAGACGATCCACGTAAAATGTGTAGCTCAGCGTCGGCACAGCGAGGACCAGTGAGCATGGCTGAGGTCATTGTTAGCACTACTGTGACTACTGCCTCTACTATCAGCAGCTACCACTAGCGAGTGTTCACTACACACCAGGCGCTGCGCTAAGGGCATTGCATGCTTCATTTCCCAGAGTTCTCACAATCCAAGAGGTGGGTACCATTATCAGCCACAAGTTCACACAGCTGGTAAGTGGCAGACGTAGGACATGAACCTGGTCTGTCAGCCTCCAGAGCCCAGGGTCTTTGACCATTAGCCTGAACTGCCCACCAAGTTCCTAGGTTCTGAGCATCACATAAGTTGCCTCTGGAGGAGAATTACATCTGGGCGTTGCTTTCTTACACCAATGGAAGGAAAAGGAGTTCTGATGTAATAGCTCATACGGTAGGGCTGCCATGCTGCACCCTGCCACTAGGTGTCACTGGTCAATCCATTTCTTGAGAGTGGCTCAGAACTTCTGGGGCAAAGATTTGCAAAGTGTGGTCGCTGATCAGCAGCAGCATCAACATCACCTAGAACTTGTTAGACATGCAAATACTTGGCCCCACTCCAGACTTGAATCAAATTCGGGATAGGCGCAGGAACCTGTTTTTTAAGGAGCCCTCCAGGTAACCCTGAGGCACGCTGTCATTTTGAGAACCACTGCCCTGGGGCATCAGGATGCTCCTGACTCCATGTTCCTCTGCCACTAATTTCCCTTGAAACAGTCAGCACTCCGGCCTGTCCTTTTGGCTGCTCCGGAGCAATGATGGGTAGAAGAAATTGGGTCTGTGGCTCAACCAGGAGGGGCTTCCCCAAGGGCCCAAAGCAAAGAAAAGGAACAATTGCAGGACACTTATCAACAGACTGGGGGGCAGAGAGTTGCAAGGGGGGAAATCAAAAAGGTAAAAGATGGGACCACTACCCAGGGGTAAGCTGGCCAGACTCATGTTTTCAGTTTGCTGTGGCTGCTGAGGAGCAAGGATGGAGAGGTGGTGGGGTGGGGGTAGGAGCTAGTGACGAGTTGGTTGTGGGGAGAGAGGCAGTGAAAAGTGACCCCAAGAGCTGGGTGTCGGGCTGGGTGAAATGCCGTTTAGAGGGGCACCCAGCAGAGCAAGCAGGTTTGGGGAGGTGGGAAGGAGGGCGGGTGCTGAGGTTCTGGTTTGGCCCTGGTGACCACTGAGGGGGGATGCTGGGAGGCAGGCTGAAGATGGGGGTCTGGAGGCTTGGGTTTAGGAGCAGGGGGCATGCAGTGATAACTAGCACAGAGGAGGAGGCTGGTGGGGCAGGAGGAAGAAACAGGCCCAGCTGGGCCCGGGAGGAGCTGGGGTTGGGGCCTCACCACTTTGTTCTCATAAAGCACCAGCCCGTAGTTGTGGGGCACGAGGCTGAAGCGGTTCCTCCACTTCTTGTTGTCCTCCTGGTACTGGAAGAGGTTCCCCGAGAAGATGATGCGCTCATCCAGCGGCACCTGCGGGAGGGAGGGGGGTGGGGAGTGAGGCCGGCTCCTGCCACTGCTCGGCAGGAGCAGAGGTCACCCCAGAAGGTAAGAGCCGGGCCAGCAGTGCCTGCGAGCTCACCCCTGCTGAGCACACCCTCCATCCTGATCTCCCTGAGTCCCCACATAGTCCTCCTGAGTCTCACCCATCTGGCAGATGAGGAAAGTGAGGCTCAGGACAGTGAAGGGGCTCCCCAGGGTCCAGGTGGAGCAGTGGTGAGGCCAGGACATGAATCCAGGCCAGGCACCACGATTCAGGGCCCAGGCGGGACCAAAGTCTCCCACTCCGTCTGCAGGCTGCTTCCACATCCACCCACCACTGTGACGTGGGCGCCAGGCAGTCACTCCAGCAGGAGGGGACACGCCCACAGGCCAGGCCTGTGAAGGCCCCAGCACCCAGGCAAGTCTCTTCCCAGCTCTGGGCCTCAGTTTCCCCTCAGGACAACAAAAGACCAAGGTGGCTCCAGAGAGCCTCCCCAGCTCTGACAGCTGGCAGATGGCCCCCATGAATCTGGGTGGGGATGGAAGGGACCTCAGTCCAGAGGGTTTGACGTCTGACTGGCGTCCTGGCAGACTGGTGGGCAGTGTGGGCCGGCCTTCCTGCAAAGCCCCAGCTCTGACTCTGCCTCTGACTCAGTGTGACTTCCGCCTGTCCCGGCACCTCTGTGAGCCTCAGTTTCCTCATCTGTAAAATGGGAACCGTGGCAGCACTGACTTCATCGAGGTATCTCAAGGATTCTATGAGATGACGCATGCAGAGACCACGCAAGCAGCGGGTACCAGGCAGGCAGTGCGCTCAGCTCACAAGACGCGGGCCACCCTGACCACTGAGAATCTCTCAGCCTGTGTCGGTCTCCCAGATCCACGGCCTGACTTATTTGAGGAGGGGGCGAGGGTGATCATCCGGGGGAGAGACTTCCTGAGGAGACCAGCACAGGGAAGCTTCGGGAAAGGAGAAATAGAGGCCAAAAGGGAGCAGGCTTACTCCTGGACAGGAGGAGCTGGGGAGTCTAGTGTTCCTTGGTTTCCAGGCAGCTTCTATCTGTTCTAGGATAAATGTGGTGCCTTTTATGAAAAGAAACACATATCATATGTAAAATGGGAGAAAGTATTAATTTAATGGTGCCTAACCCTTCCCAGCTTCCTTGCTCTGCTTCTGGGCCCCTCTCAAGCCACCCCAGGCCCTGTCTCTTCACAGGCAGCTCTCTCTTCCCAGCAACCTCCCTGCCACTCAAGGGGAAATGCCAAAACACTCCTGGAAAATGAGGACACATTGTACTCAAACAATAGGACCCCGCAGGCTGCTTCCTACCCAGGGATAAAAATATTTACAGGAAAAGAAAATGGTCCCACCATCACCCCCCCACTCCCCCACAGTGGGCTTTGCCCATCACAAAGCTATGCTAAGTGGTCTATATTTAGACCGGGCCTAGTCTCAACCCAGCTCTCTTTTGAATCTTTTCTAGAAAGAGCAGACAGAGCTCTCCTGACACCCTGGTAAGACCCTTGCTCCCCCCAGGCTCTGGTCTGCGTCCTCCTCCCTGCTTAGGGCAGGAGCCCAGGACTCAGGGGCAGGGGGAGGCTGTGGCCAACGACCAAGCTCCCATCTGGCAGGCCTTCCCCGGCAGGGGCTCAGCACCCCAACCCCCAAGCCCACCCCCAGATCCTTGGGCAGCCGGAATGGATGGTTAGTTGCAGGTTTGGGTTTTATTTTCAAGACTTTCAAATGGCAGAGTCCTGTTTCCACTGGAAGGCCTGCAGGAAACGAAACGGAACCAACAGCCCAGGCAAACCGTCTCGGACTCTGCAAAACTCTCGGATGCCGCGCTAGTTCCGGCCCCGCTGCACCACCCACACCACGGAGCCTGGACCAGCGGCTCCACCTCTCCCAGCCTCGGTGTCCACATCTGTGATACGGATCTAGTCATAATCCCTCAGAGCCGTGTCGTGCCAGGTAGACGAACAGTGCCCGCACAGAACACCCGCTGTTTTCATTATTACCGTTACTATTGTCATCGTATTATCATTATCTCTATTATTGTTTCTAATGAAAACAATCGGTGTTATTATGGTGATGATGATTAATATTATTATTATTTCTATTGTTACGACATTATCATCATGACTTAGCATCATGCTTCCTGAGCGGCAAAATAGGACCAAAAGTCCCTATTTTCAGGGATTGTGGGCGATTTCATTAAACTCTTCTTGCTTACGTGTTACTTCTGTTTTTCTGCAATGAATCTGCACCCTTATGAGTGTTAAAGGCATTTCTCCCGCGGAGTAAATGTCTGGTGCTGTCAGCGGCCCCTGCTTCTGCCTTGGGTTACTGGGACCTGGGCCGCCTGTGACTGTTCTTTCCAGATGGGGAGCAGTCAGCTCCAGCTCTGCCCACTCGGAGCGGCTCACCTGGGCTGGCCCCAAGGCCTCCTTTCCTAACACACAGGTGTGCATCTGGTAGGCACCCAGGCCAGGCCACACCTCCAGGCACCTCTGCCCCTCTGCTGTCATGGGGACAGGAGGTTGCCATGACACCAGAGGAACAGACAGCCTCTTCTGGGTCCAAAAGCAAAGGGCGTGTGATGCTCTGACACAGAGCCCTGACCTCCCCTCCAGGTCCTCAGCTGAGATGGCCCTTCTTCCAGGAAGCCCTCGTGGGCCACCCGGACGAGGTCAGGCCCCTACTCTCTGAGTTCCCTGTCATCTCCTTCCTAGTACCCACTTTATCGTGTAAATGGCTGTTTACCGTCTGTCTCCTCGAGTGTCTGCGGGGCCAGCAAGGGCAGTGTGACCCCGTCACCTGCCCTGACACAGTCAGTGAGTGTCCCCGACTGGGCCCGCCCATCTTCTCTCAGGGTCATCCCTGGGTCTCCTCAGGGCTCTCCCACCCCCTGAGCAAACGCCTCCAGCTGTTCCTCCTGCTGAGAAGACATCAAAGGGTCACGAATCCTCAAAGCCGGGTCAAGTGAGGCTGGCCCCTGCCCCTTCGGGTCTCCTGGTAAAGGGGTACATTTTCAGTCACCTAGTTTTGGGGGAAGAAGGGGAGAGGAGGGAAAGGTCCCCTCCCAGTCTGGGGCCTTCTCGGGCTCTTTCTGCTCTGCCATCTCCCTGTCCCCCTACTATGCTCACACCGGTCCCCTTCCTGAGAGGCCTCCCCATAGCCTCCCTCCAAATCCCTTCTGGCCTTCGGAACCCCATGAAATCCCCACCCCCTCCACGAAGCTGCTCTGACTCCTCCGGCCCCTGATGACTCCTCTCTGAATGCCATTTCACAGACAGAGAAATTGAGGCCCAGCAAGGTGAAGCCACATGTCGGGGGTTACCCAGCCAGTCAGAACTCACCCCCCTTAGTAATCCCATCTGCTCCCCCTTACCACACCCCATCTATTCTCTCACTGGGTCCTCACCACAGCGCTGGGCAGGAGGTACCCATCTGTCAGACAAGGAGACTGAGCCTGGAAGGTTGAATCAACTGCCCGAGCCATCAGCTAATAAGAGGACTTGACTCAGGTCCCCCTGAGTTCTTTCCTACCAGGCCACAGGGTTCCGGCCTCCAGCCCTCCTCTCCAGCACGGCCCCCAGCACCTCGAAGCCTGGGCAGAGGCTGACCCGGGCAGCCCAGAGGAAGCCAACAGGACAGGGTGGGGAAGTGTGGCAAGGTGGGCAAGGGCACCTTTGCAGCCCACCAACCATGGACTTCAGCCACTGATGACCTGAGCGCCAGGCACTGGGGTGGCCTGGATGGCCTGGTCTGGACCCCACTCACAGAGGGATCGGCTCAGCCAGTCGGATTCCCCAGAGGGAAGGTGGTGGGCACTCTGCCCCAGGGCCACCAGCCAGGAGTAAGCAGCCTCCGGGCTGCGGCTCAGCCACTCCAGGGCCAGGCCACCTGCAGAGGAGGTGGGGCTGGCACCCTTCCTCCTCATCACCTCTCCCTCTGCCACCTGCCTGGCCACCCAGGGAGCAGAGGGTGATGGTCACTGAAAGAGAATGACCCCAGCCCTGGAGTGTGTAGTGCCCTCACACAAGACTTCCCCAGGCTGAAAAGGGGCCCCTTGCACCACCCCCAGAGGAGCAAGGGCTGGCCTCTCACCCCAAGTGCTCAGACGCGGGACTGGCGGCTACCAGCTGGGCACTCAGAGCCCCAACTGTGTTCCTGACATTCCCCCACTTTTTCTGCACCATTCCCACCCCCAGCCCCACTTGGAGGCCAGTCACAGGGTCCCTGAACCAGGAGGCTTTGCTTGCCCCCTCTGGCCCATGCTGACCCCCAGGCTGGAGCCACAAAGCTTCCAGTCCCTCACTTGACAAACATTTACTGGGCAAACATCATCCTACTACTAATAATGGGATAACGAGGCCAGGGATGATGAGTGTCCGCCAGCACCCACCAAGCACCTTCCCTGCTCCAGGCACTGGCTGACCGAATCTTTAGTCCTCACAGCCACCCCATGCAAGAGATGTTCTCATCCCATTTTACAGATGAGTAAACTGAGGCTCCACCAGGTAAGGTCATTTGCATATGGGCACACAGCCTATAGGAAGAGGAGCTGGGTTTGAACCCGGGCCTGTCAAGATGACCCCAGGGCCCAGCTCTGCCGATGCAGGGGCTCAGCTGGAGGAGTCACCCACGGTGATAAAGGGGCCTCGACAACACCACCAGGTTATCTTCTGATTCAGAAGCTGGGTGGGGCCTTTGGAGAGCATCGCGGCAACAACGGGAAACTGAGGCCCAAGTAAGCAAGCAGCAAGCAGATGTCAGAGCCCACCCGGAACCCTCTGGGCGCCCCTCACCTTGCGCCAGAGCAGCTGGGCCTGCGGCGACCCGGTGCCCTCGATCTCGTGGCGCATGCTATTGAAGAGGGCGACGCCATACTGGTCCTCATAAAAACGCAGGAACTCCGTCAGGATCTTCCCGGTTTTCTCTGCAAGGGAAGGACAAACAGGACGGTGAGGTCGTCATGGTTACTTAGCTGCAGCGACCCTGCCCCAGGGAAGGGCGTCCCCAACGCCCCCAACTCCTGGTTGTAAAGTTGTTTGCACAAGCTCGGCACTTCCATCCACACTGCATCTCTGGCCAGAGCCGAGCATTTCCTGCGCACAATGGGTGACCCTCCGGACAGGAAACCCGGCAACGACCGGAGACAGAGAAATCACCGCAGAGAAAACACAAGAAACCGACAGATGAGGGAAAAGACGCTCGGCCTCCCGGTCACCACGCACGTGCAAACGGAACCAAGATCCCGGTCAGACCAGGCAGGACGTGGACGGACGGGCACCTTAACCCAAGGCTGGGTGCGGGAAATTGGGACGGCCTTGTTGGAGGGTGACCGGTGGCTGTGTGCACAACTTTAAGGGTGCATGCGGTGCCCTCTGATGCCACGCTCACTCCTCTAGGAACCTACCCACAGAACAACTCACAGGGGCATAGCAGGCACATGCGCACCAAGGCAATCACCGGAAACGAGCCGAATGTGCGTGTGGAGAATGATCCAGTCCAGCACAACAGCTCCCCCGGGACAGGAAGAAGAGGGAGGGCATCTACAGGCATATGTCCCAACAAAGGGACGGTGTCCACACTCTGGCACGTACAGAATCACATGCTGGCGATCATCCCATTTAAAAGGATTCCCGTCTGTGCATATAAACGACTTATGCTTGGAGACTTAGAGGCACAGGTCCAGAAGCAGCATTAGACCGTGCAGGATGGGAGCTCCGGGTGGGGGAGAGAGGAGCGCGGAGTAAAGTTCATTTTCTGCTTTATTCACTTTTATAGCATTTGGATTATTTTACAAGCATGATTCCTTCCACAATAAAAAATAAACATTCTAAAATGAACTCATCTACCAAGTTAACAACCTTTTTGCTTTCACTGGCCGTTGGCTTTTCTCGTCGGCTGAAGCAGTTTCTGAACAGAGAAGGTGAGCGCTGTGGCCTCCAGAGCGGGCCCAGCACACATCAGACCCCTGGTATTTACGCTGCCTGGGCATCCCCATGCAAGGACGAAGAAACGGAGGACCAGAGAGGGTCATGACCCACGATGACGGGGCCTTCTCCTTCGGAGAGACTTCCTGGTCCTGGGCAGCCGTAGCTTGAGTCCCAACCTGGGCTTTGTGCTGGCCCACTGTGCAGCCCCCTCTCTGGGCCTCAGTTTCCCCCAGCACACTGAGAGGGCTGGACTCAGTGACGGACAGGCCCTGCCACCTCTGACAGTCTTAGATTCCAGATTTCAAAGACCTGGTCCTTCCTCAAAAGAGAAGAGCCTGACGTGATACCGTCCCTTCCATGGGTGGTCTCTGGATACTAAGGGCACCCAGCTAGGACATTTTATTTAATCCCCTCAATAGCTCTGTGAAGTAGGGCTGGTATTATCCTCATTTTAACAGAGATGGAAACTGAGACCCAGAGAGGTTAGGTCAGTGGCACAAGGTCACACAGCTAGTAGGCAGTGGAGCCAGGGTACAATCTTGGGGCCCAGCCAGGAGGTGGTGGCCGGGGAGGAAGGCTGAAGGCGTGTGCCACATCCCACACCCAGGGTCTCAGGCAGGCCCCCTCCCTCCACTCCCTGCAGAGGCAGCTCAGCCCATGTACCCCTCCACATGCCTGGCCCTGCCTGTGCTCCCCTTTCCTGGAATGAGGTCATGTCTGTCCAAATTCTTTTTGGGGGGAGGAAGGGGAGAACAAATGAGGAATTTGCTTTGAATGCCTATTTTTTAAAAACCATAAACAACCAGAACTCTCTCAAAGATCACGGGAATTGTTCTGAGAAATGATGAGGCAGGATGTGGTGGGGGGCGGGGGGCAGGGGGAGAGATGGGGTAATGAATTGGGGCCAAAGAGAGAAAATAAGATTGTAGACAACAATAATATTGATAAGCCATGTAATCGCCATCATTAGCGCTGCCATTCATTGAGTGTTAACCTGAGCCAGAGGGTGGGCGGGATTTACACGCATGATCCCAAAGAATCTTCATGAAAACCCTAGGGAGTCAGTGCTATTGTTTTCCCATTTCAGGGATGAGGAGGCCTGCAGACCCAGGACTGGAGAGCCAGGTTCTCAGCAGCCAGCCCACACAGCCTCAGCCCAGGGTTTTGTCCTGACTCTGCCCCAAGCAGCCTGACACCCAACAGGCTCTCTCCCATCGTGCAGGGTGGGTCAGCTTGGGCCCTTGGATCTTGAGGGTCCTTTGGCCACGGTTCTGGGAAGCCTGACCCTTGAGGAGCCAGGCCCAGTAAGAAGCTGCCATCCTTGTGGCAGGACTGGAACCCGGGTCTCCCTGACTCATAGCATGCTCTCAGCTGCCGGGTCAGCAAAGCCCAGACATCACATCCAGGCAGGGAGGGGCTGGGTCTAGAAGGTCCCCCGGGCTGGACGAGGGGTGGGTGGTGGGAGGACGGGAAGGGTACCGCCCAGCCAGAAGGCCCAGGCATCACCCTACCCGGGGGCGTGGAGGCCCAAGTTGGACGGGGCTGTGGGTGGCAGAGGAAGCCAGGGGAGGCTGAGGAAGTGAAAACCAGAACGAGGTGACCCAAACAGAGCCAGAAGGCAAAGAAGATGAGGCTGGCAGGCAGAAGCATCCGACCTGAAGGGGCAGCGCAGGAGGCCAGGATGAAATTACTCTGGACCCTCGCGTGTGGATGCAGACGAGGCGTCCGAGTGAGGCAATGGGAACAGGAGCGGAGGCACGAGGACTGGCGGGGAGAAGGCACTGGGCAGAGGGTGGAGGAGAGGGTGTGGGCAGAAACTTGAGGGGTGCCTCGTTCAGTGGGGAAGGAAAAGAGGAGACACTCCAAGCACCCCACACCCCAAACACACGGCAGCGGCCCTGGCCCCCATTTCCACCTGCAATTACAGGCACGCCTTGCTACCCACACTAGAGAACTCTATCGATCTGGACCTGTTTTCACATAAACCCTTTGCTACCTCAAATTCCAGAACCAAACAGACCAGAGAGTGTGGGGTTTCCCACTACCCAAACTTGCTCCCCCAACTCGGGAGCCAAATGAATTGGGAGACAGAGGGATGCTAGTATCTAAGAATTGGCTGCCAACCCCGGGAGGGGGGGCCTGGTGCCCTTTTGCTCACTACTAGACCCCCTTGCTCATCCCTATGGCCTGGCACAGGCAGGTGCTGAGCAAGGGGGTCATCCACTCGCCGAACAGGTCCTGAGGGCCCACTGTGCGCCAGGCCCCCAGGGCTGGGGAAGCTGTGGGGCAAGGGGTGGACCACGGCATTCCTGGAGTGGTTTAGGACTGAGAGGAGGGTCCTGGGAAGCACAAGAAACTGGGTGGGCTCGAGCTAAGTTTGGAAAGGGAAGACCGTGGGGAAGCAGGGCCGAGGGTGGCTTCTTGGCAGAGGCAGCCCCGAGCACATTCTTGAGAAATGTCCTAAGATAGCTTGGGAGGAAATGCCTTGCGCTTGGTACAAAGGAAGTGCCACAGGAAGGCAGAGGATGAAGACTCGGGATGCTGTGGGGGCCTAGGCAGGCGGGGGAGGGGGTCCAGCCTGGACAAAGGGCTCATGGGGAGAAGCCCTGAACAGGGGCCACCTCTCTGGCCAGATGCTGGTGGGGGAGGACCCAGGCGGGCCCTGTGGCTCTGGGGAAGGCCGGGCCTCGATCCTCCTGCTGTGCTCTGGGGCCACGGCCCAGGCAGCCACCACCCTGTAGGCGCTGTTCAGCACCCCACTTTCTCCCTTCTTGCCACCCTGCAGCGGCTACCTCCCTGGGGCTGCCAGGGGGTTTTTATGACTCAAATCCCACCACAGCGTCCCTGCCTGGGTGTCTGTGGGTGGTCCCCAAGGCCTCAGGCACCCCTCTCTCCTCCACACCTGCCCCCACCAGCTCTTCCCGCTTCCTCCCACGGCTTCTAGAGACTCCACATGCCGTGGATTTGGGAGCTCCGAGACCAAGGCTCACCACCCCAAAAGGGCCTGTGAGCCAGAGAGGGTGAGGGGCTCACCTGATGTCGCACAGCCAAACCGAGGCAGTTGGGGTTCGAGCTGCAGCCTGCTCACCCCCTCCTGCTCCTGGCTCTGACCACTGTCCACAGGGCCCCACAGGGCAGCCCGTCTCCACAAGGGCAGAGAGGAAGCAGAGGCCTCAGCTGGCTGTAGTGTTCCAGTTGCTGTTGGAAACTACAGAGATGCTGGGGTGGAGCAGTCTGAGGGTGCGAGCTGGACTCGCCGACCTTCTACATTTTCTCATCCATCCTCCCTGCCTCCCTCCCCACACTGCCCTCCAGCCCCAGGCTCCCAGCCTCCTGGCCAGGAGCACAGGGTGGGGGCTGGAGTCCCAGTTCTGCCAGACGCCAGCCCTGCAAGCTGCCTAGCTCTCCGAGAGCCTCAAGTTTCTCATCTGTAAAATGGGGATAGCAGAATCTATTCACAGTGCTCTGCAGGAGCAGGACAGCAAGTGAAGTGCTCAGCTCAGGACCTCCATAAACGTTACTATTAATCATAATAGTGCTCAGCTTATAACAACATGGTAAGAGACCATTTGAAATTTTTTCTAGCAGGTATAACTCTTATAGCCTGAAAAAATCCAATAAAGACTTTTTTAAAAAAAGAAATAGACAAGAATCACAAAATAATAATAATGATAATGATGAGTAGGTCTTCAGCAGACAATGATCAGACAAAGGGAGAGCCCACTGGGAGAAGGAACAGCAAAGGCAAAGGCAAGGGGTGTGTGCATGGAACACCCTGGAACCCAGGTTCCCACCTGACCTGGGTGGGGCTCCCCCAGCACAATCCTCGGCCTCTGCTGGTACCCAGAGCCAATCCCTGCTCCCCTGTGTGCCCCTCTGCCAGCACATCCCGCAGAATTAGGAGGTAAGCTCACCCCACTGAGATGCAGGGCCCAACACACACCCAGATTCTTCAAATGGCCCCAGCGGTAAATACAGGTAAATGAAAACTCCACCTTTCAG